CAGGGCCTGAGCAGAGCCAATTACACCTGAAAGGGAAAACCAGGCTCAGGAGCAAATAATCATTTATTTGTTTTTGGTTTTTTTAAATGGGATAATTGGGAGACGGGAAGTTTGGGGGAACCCTGCCTGCCCCAACCTCCAGCTCTGGATTCCTTTGGGAACTTGTCCAGATTCTCCAGGGATGGGGATTCCTCCCTGCCCCAGGGCTGCACATTCTCTTTATCCCATCCCTTTCCCACCCACTTGCATCCAAACCCTTTCCTTTTCCTTTCAAACTCCGTGTTCCCTTCTCTTTAACCCCTTCTTGGCCAGCAGAATCCCCCTCTGCACCCATGATTTCCAAACCCAGCTGCAATTTCGACTCCTGGGGGGCCTCCCTGGCACCCCTAACCCCATCCTCCCCCCTCCCCAGGAATGCCACCCATGCAGGTGCACCACGGCCCCCCTGGCATGGGGCAGCACCACCCAGGACCACCAGGCTCTGGGGGGCAGCCCCCCCCCAGGCCCCCCCCGGGGATGCCACACCCGGGACCCCCCCCCATGGGGCTCCCCCCTCGGGGGCCACACTTTGGATCTCCAATGGGTGAGTGGGGCCTGCTCTGGGCCACGAGGAGGAGGAGGAGGAGGAGGGGGGTGAAGGAAAATCTGGGGGATCTGGCACCCCCCCCTACTTTGGGGTCTTCACAGGGCTTCCTCATTGGGACCCTGCAACCCCCCCATGGGGATAGCCCCAGTTTTGGGGTGGTTCTGGAGGCCCACGGGGGTCTTGGGAGCAATTCCTGATTCTGGGGAGTGTTTGCCAAGCTGGGTGGGGGCACCCCTGGGTGTGGGTGTGGGTGGCACCTCCAGGGAGTTTTGGGAAGTGGGTTTGGGTTTGGATCATGTTCCTCCAAGGGGTTTTGGGGATCTCTGTCCTTTCCCTCTGGCACTGCCCCCCCTGTTTTTGGAGCAATTCCTGATTTTGGGGAGTGTTTGCCAAGCTCGGGGGGCACCCCTGGGTGTGGGTGGGGTAGGGGTGGCACCTCCAGGGAGTTTTGGGAGGTGGGTTTGGGTTTGGATCATGTTCCTGCAGGGGGTTTGGGGGTCTCTGTCCCTGCCCTGGCACTGACCCCCATCCCCTGTTTTTGGAGCAATTCCTGATTTTGGGGAGTGTTTGCCAAGCTGGGGGGGGGGCACCCCTGGGTGTGGGTGGGGTAGGGGTGGCACCTCCAGGGAATTCTGGGAGGTGGGTTTGGATCATGTTCCTGCAAGGGGTTTGGGGGTCTCTGTCCCTGCCCTGGCACTGACCCCCCTCCCCTGTTTTTGGAGCAATTCCTGATTTTGGGGAGTGTTTGCCAAGCTGGGTGGGGGGCACCTGCTGCATGTGGCACCCCTGGCTGTGGGTGGGGTGTGGTGGGCACCTCCAGGGAGCTTTGGGAGGTGGGTTTGGGGGTCTCTGTCCCTGCCCTGGCACTGACCCCCCTCCCCTGTCCCCACAGGTCACCCTGGGCCGCTGCCTCACCATGGGCTCCGCGGGCCCCCCCCGCTGATGCCGCCCCACGGCTACAATGGACCCCCCAGGCCCCCCCCCCTATGGCTACCAGAGGGTCCCTCTGCCCCCTCGACCGGCCCAGAGACCCCCTGGAGTCCCCCCACGAGGGCCCCTGCGGGGACCCCTGCCCTGAGGGGGGCACCCTGTGCTCCCCATCCCTCCCCAGCCCTGGGCATCAACATTCCCACTCCTGCCAAGGCCTGGGGGCCATCCCCTGCTCCTCCCTTCCCTCCCTGTTTCTTCCCCCTATTTGTTTTTATAGTTTTTTATTGTTTTTCATTTTCTTCCCTCTCCCCATCTCTTCCTTGTTTCTCTCCCCCTGGAAGCTTTTCCAAGCTTCCTTTTTACTGGGTTTTGTTGGTTTTGTATGAAAAGCAGTGGCCAACCACTTGCAAATAAAGGATTTAGGAACCAAAAGGGTTTCTGGATTGGGACCGAGATCTCTTCCCTGCTTGGGCCATTGGGAAGAGCGAGGCTGGAGGGATTTGGGGCAGAGCTGAGCCATGGTTTGGTCCCAGCTCCACCTGTGAGCCTGGAAGATTGTGCTCCCTTCAGCTGCTCCAAGGAATGTCTGGATTCCCATTCTTGATCTGCTCAAATCCAGGGAGCCGAGGTTGGACTCTGGAATATTTTGGTGCCAAGGTTTAAGCCAAAGTCAAACATTCCCCTGGGAAATCCTCAAAAGGTTTTTCCTGCCCCTGGGCAATGCCAGAGCCTCCAAGAGCTGGGAGTTTGTGGGGGGACGTGGAAGTGGGAATTTGCTGCTTCCTTCCTTCTTCATCCCTTCTTCATCTTCTTACAGCCAGGTGGGAGCCCAGGATGGGATGGAAGGGAAGGTTGGAACCCCCTCCTGATCCTTCACCTGCAGAAATGTGGGGAGAAGCCCACGGGGATTGCTGGAATGAGTGGATTTGGGTGCCAGGGGTGGGAATGGGGCTTCCCTGTGGTGCTGAAGAAATCTCCAGCATCCAAAGGTTCCTGTCTGGATGCAGGGAGCCCCAGGGTGGCATTTCCCTGCTCCTCGGTCCTGGAAACCACCAGGATCCCCCCCAGGGCAGCCAATTGCCCTGCATGGACATCATCATCATCATCATCATCATCATCATCATCATCATCATCATCATCATCATCATCATCATCATCATCATCATCCCCTTCTCCCCTGGAGGCACCCACTGTCACCCCATTTTATCCCCTCATCCCTGGTGTTCTCCTGTCATTCCCAGTCACATCCTCTCTTCCCTATGATTGTGATCCTTTATGAGCCCTGATTTTCTCCCCTTTCCTCCCATTTCACCCCAGTTTTTATCCCATTCCCTTCATCTCTTCCCTATGCCTGCAATCTTTTGTCAGCCCTGATTTTCTCCCCTTTCCTCCCATTTTATCCCATTCCCTTCATCTCTTTCCCAGTCACATCCTCTCTTCCCTATGTCTGCAATCCTTTATGAGCCCTGATTTTCTCCCCTTTCCTCCCATTTCACCCCAGTTTTTATCCCATTCCCTTCATCTCTTCCCCCTGACTGCAATCTTTTGTCAGCCCTGATTTTCTCCCCTTTCCTCCCATTTTACCCCAGTTTTTATCCCATTCCCTTCATCTCTTTCCCAGTCACATCCTCTCTTCCCCCTGACTGCAATCTTTTGTCAGCCCTGATTTTCTCCCCTTTCCTCCCATTTCACCCCAGTTTTTATCCCATTCCCCTCATCTCTTTCCCACGTTTTGGGCCGGATGGGGCTCTCAGGACAAGAGGAGCCATTCTCTGTCCTCCTGCCCAGCCCTTTCCCTCTGATGACCCACACAACCGCCCTGGGGGCTCTGTGGTGGCAGTGGCACATGAGTCGCAGGGTGCCTGAGGCCGTGGCACTCCTTGTCCCCTCCCCTGTGATCCCTGCAGGGCACAGCCTGGATCCTGGCGCTGCCCATTTCTTCCACCCTTGTCCTGCACTTCCACCCCTCTTTTAGGGTTTTTTGGTTTTTTTCCCCAACTATCAATGTCACAATTTGCTGCTCAGCTCGTGGATTTCTAAATCCTTCCCAATCCTTCCCACACTGGTCCCCATCCTTTGTTTTTCCCAGTCTGAGGGGTGCAGTGCTAATCTCGATGGATCCTGACAGAATGTGAGGCTTTGGGGGTGGCACCCTGGAAATTGGGGAGGGATGAGGGGGGTTCAGGGAAGGTTGGGGCTCTGGGAATGTTGGGGTGCAGGATGAGGGAGCTCTGGCAATGTTGGGGTGCACATGAGGGGGCTCTGGGAATGTTGGGGTGCAGGATGAGGGGGCTCTGGGAATGTTGGGGTTCAGGATGAGGGGGCTCTGGCAATGTTGGGGTTCAGGATGAGGGGGCTCTGGGAATGTTGGGGTGCAGGATGAGGGAGCTCTGGGAATGCTGGGGTGCAGGATGAGGGGCTCTGGGAATGTTGGGGTGCACATGAGGGAGCTCTGGGAATGTTGGGGTGCAGGATGAGGGGGCTCTGGGAATGTTGGGGTGCAGGATGAGGGGGCTCTGGGAATTCTGGGATGGAGGATGAGGGGGCTCTGGGAATGTTGGGGTGCAGGATGAGGGAGCTCTGGGAATTCTGGGATGGAGGATGAGGGGGCTCTGGGAATGTTGGGGTGCACATGAGGGGGCTCTGGGAATTCTGGGGTGCAGGATGAGGGGGCTCTGGGAATGTTGGGGTGCACATGAGGGAGCTCTGGGAATGTTGGGGTGCAGGATGAGGGGGCTCTGGGAATGCTGGAATGCCACTAAAGGGGATCAGGGCGGATTTTGCTTGTGGGGTCACCCCAAATTCCCCCCACTTTTAGCTCAGCCAGTCCCAGGAGCACCCAGCACCCCACAGCCCTGAGGTTTTGGGGTTTTTTGGGTTTTTTTTGCAGCTCCCAATTTCCCACCCTCAGCAATCCATCCATGGAAAACGGGGGTGGCTTTGGACATCCCGTGCTGCAACGTGCATCTCCAGCCCTAAAAATTCCCTAAAAAAAAAAAATCCATCGGGGTTTTTTTTTTGTGTGTCGCGTTGTAGCCTCGGGGCCGTGTCTGACCAGCCCAGGCGGGGACGATTTGATCCCAAAAAATCCCAATCCAGCCCCGCGGAGGCCGTGACTCAGCCGTGACGGGGGCGGGGGGCGGCAGCGCGGGTTGGGGGCGGGCTGAGCTTCACCGAGAGCTCCGGGGGGCGGAGGGGGGGGGTCCCCGCTTGATGCCCCCCACCCCTCCCGCATCCCCTCTGCACCCGCAGCCTCCGGAGCGGCTCCATCCCGGCGGCTCCATCGCGGGAACCGCGATCCCCGGCAGCTCCGCTTGCGCATCCCGGGGGATCCAGCGCTCCCCACCCCCGGTGGGCCGAGCCCCCCGCCCCCGCCGAGCCCCCCCCGGTTCCCCGCGTGCCGTGGTTGATCCCTCCCTTCCCGGGGCTGCGCCGATGGACTCTCCCAGCGCTCCGTGTGTGCGGCGGAGGCTGCGGCGCTAGCGCTGGTACCCGGAGCATCCTCTGTCATCTCCTTCATCACCGGAGCATCCTTGCTCAAACCGGAGCATCCCCCTGGAGGAGCTGGAGCGGGGCGAGGGCTGAGCCAGGTAAGGGGGAACAAAAAATGGGTTTATAGCCCGCATCTCCCCCCCGCTCCCCGCGGCGGCGTTAATCGGAGCCGCTGATGGATTCGGGGTTCGGCTTCTCCTTCCCCACTTGCTGTGGCCATTTTGTCCTGGAAAACCTCCCCGGGAGCCGGGCTCTGCTTTCGGATGTGCGTTTTTGGGGGGCTCCTCTCATGCTCCCCCCGCAGAGCAGCCGGAGGGGATCGGGAATTCGCCGCAGGGATGGGAGGGGGGAACCGGGGGGGTTTTGGGGAAGGGGTAGCGGGGGGGGGGATGTTGGGGGGTGACCTTGGACACGAGCGGCTCCCAACTCTCCCCCCTTGTCGCCATGTTCCTGGCGTTCCGCAGGGAGCCTGGGGGCTGCAGGGCTGGGGGGGGGGGGATGCAGCCCCCCCATCCTGGGACTCTCGGGGGTTTTGGGGTGCACGGTTCCATCCATCCTCGGCTTCTCTTGGAGGAGACAGATCCAGAGCCCATAACCTTGTGCAGAGCTGTCCAACGCCACGGCGGGGCTGCAGGGCCAGCGCCGTGTTCAGCCCCCAAAATGGGCATTTTTGGGGCATCTCCCCGGCTCCCACATGCCAGGGATTGTGCTCTGGGGCATTTCTGGCTCTCTTGTGGGATCAAAGCCCCCGATCTCAGCCAGCTCCGGCTCCTGGCGTCGGCTCGGCCGCTCGAGGCTCCCCGGTTGGTGCGGCCGCTCTCTGTCACACGGAGCCAGCCGTGACCTTGCTCCCCCAGCCCATCCTCTTCCTCACCGTGCTCCCAGCCTCTCCCTGCTCCCCCTTCCTCCTCCTGACCCCCAGCACCTCCTGGGCTGTGCAATGCCGGCCCCGCATGGGCAGATTCCAAAGGGAACCTCGAGCCTGGCTGGAGCGAGATGACCTTGGTCAGGGATCCAGGAGCCCCGGGGAGGGGACTGGGGTCTCCCTGCAGCCGGGGGGGGGAATTTGCCGTTTTATCCTCTAGAACCACCTGCCTGCCCGTGCCGTGCCGCAGCCCCCCTCCCTGCAGCCTTCCCAAAGAGCTCCATTCTAAATTTAGCGTCCCTGCGTGCCCTGTCCCCTCTCCTGGCCAGGGGGGGACACGACGCCGGCTGCGTCCCTCTGCTCTCCGCTCCTTCCCGCCTGGCCAGAGATAAAAATAACGCTTGGGGGGGGGGTGTGGGGGGGGTCGCGACAGCCCCCGAGGGTGGAGGAGCAGCAGCACCGGGGGCTGGGGGGCTGCAGGTCCGTCCCTGTCACGAGCTGAGCCGGGCTCTGTGCAGTGGGTGTGGGGAAGAAGGGGTGGCGTGCTGGGATGTGAGGGCACAAGGAGATGCCGCCCCCAGGTATTTGGGTGCCCCTTTCCTCCCCCCGGGGGACTCAAGGTCCCCCCCAGCCCCCTTTGGCCGGGTCAGCAGGTGCCAGGGCTGGCGTCTCCTGCAGTAAATCCTGCCTGGCAGCTCCTGCAGTGAGCGTGGCCTGGCACACTCGGGTCATTGTCACTCGAGGGGATCCTCTGAGGGGCTCCTGTGCCCTGGGCCACCCAGCCAGGGCGGTGCTGGGAGGGTTTGGGAACCTTCTGACCTCCTCATCCTCCCTGTGGTGCCCGGGGGAATGGGGAGCTTCAGCCCAGACCTTGTTCTTTGGGGTGACTCTCAGTCCTGGGGTGCTGAGGGGTGGCTGAGTCCCTGCTGTCCCCCTGTGCCTTGGGATGAGGGCAGAAGGGATGGATCCAGGGGGACTGGGGGGTCCCAGGGAGCCCCCCAGGTGAGGGGAAGCTCAGCCTGTCCCCACCCCAGCCCCACCTGCTGCTTCACCAGGGGGTCCCCAAACCACAGAACCACAGAATGATGAGGTGGGAAGAGCCCTCTAAGGTCAGAGAGTCCAACCTGTGCCCTAACACCTCAACTGTAGCACCCAGTGCCATGTCCAGTCTTCTTTTAAACACATCCAGAGATGGTGATTCCATCTCCCTGGGAAGAGCATTCCAGTGCTTTATTATTCTTTCAGTGAAAAATTTTTTTCCTAATACCCAACTGGGAAGACAATTCCAGTACTTTATTATTCTTTGGGTGAAATTTTTTTTTTTCCCCTAACATCCAACCCATCCCTTCCCTGACGCAGCTTGAGACTGTGTCCTCTAATCCTCCTGTTTCCATCTGAGATGCAGAAAAACCACGAGGTGACACTCAGGGCCACCACCACCCCACTCAGCCTTGCTTTTCTCTGGGCTTCCCAGGTCCAGGCTGGCATCCAGGGTCCTCCCGCCCCCCATTGCACCACGGATGGGTGGCTCCACCACCCCTGTCCCCTCACCCCGGGCCTGAGGGCGCAGCCCCCGCAGCAGAGACACCCCCAGCCCCCGCAGCAGCCCCGAGCCAGCCCCGAGGGCACCATGGAGGAGTCGTTCCGGGACCGGACCGCCTTCATCCGCGGCGCCAAGGACATCGCCAAGGAGGTGAAGAAACACGCGGCCAAGAAGGTGAGCAGGGGCATGGACCGAGTGCAGGACGAGTACACCCGCCGCTCCTACTCCCGCTTCGAGGAGGAGGAGGACGATGAAGACTACGCGCCCCAGGACGGCTACTACAGAGGGGGCGAGGGCGCCAACGAGGAGGAGGGGGTGTCCAGCGACGCCACGGAAGGCCACGATGAGGAGGATGAGATCTACGAGGGCGAATACCAAGGGATCCCCCGGCAGGAGTCGCTGAAGGGCGGGGAGCGCCTGGGGGCCGCGGCGGCCGCCGGAGCTTTCGATGACAGCGAGGGGCAGCGGAGGAAGGACCGGGAGGAGCTGGCGCAGCAGTACGAGCTCATCCTGCAGGAATGCGGCCACGGCCGCTTCCAGTGGACCCTCTACTTTGTCCTGGGCCTGGCCCTGATGGCTGACGGCGTGGAGATCTTTGTGGTGGGCTTCGTCCTGCCCAGCGCCGAGAAGGACATGTGCCTGTCCGACTCCAACAAGGGCATGCTGGGTGAGGAGAGGGGCACGGGGGGCACGCAGGGGGGGACAGGAGGGTCAGGGGGAGGTGTGGGGAGATGGGGAATGTAGGGGGACATGAGGACACATTGAGGAGCACGGGAGGGTGGGGAGGGGGAAGGACATGGGGGGCTCAGGAAGATGTTGGGGGGGTCATAGGGGCTGTGGAAGAACACAGGAAGAATTGGGAGGCCATGGGGTGTGGGGACCAGGAAGAACTGGAAGGCCATGGGGTGTGGGACCAGGAAGGGATGTGGGGACCAGGAAGAATTGGGAGGCCATGGGGTGTGGGGACCAGGAAGAAGTGGGAGGCCATGGGGTGTGGGGACCAGGAAGAATTGGGAGGCCATGGGGTGTGGGGACCAGGAAGAAGTGGGAGGCCATGGGGTGTGGGGACCAGGAAGAACTGGGAGGCCATGGAGTGTCCAGGAAGGGATGTGGGGCTCCCACCATCCTCCTCCCAGTCCCACACTGGTCCCCACATGAGCAATGGCTGAAATTTGGGCTGACCAGTGGATGCTGAGGCTGGGTTTGGGGGAGCCATGGGAGGGGGGGTTTATTCCATGGCTTCCCCCTTCTCTGTGATGCCTGCCAGAGCCTGACACCCCCCAGACCCAGGGGACACCAGTGCCCCCCATCCCTGAGCTGTGGCAACCTTGGGACAGGGGCAGGGCTGGGTGAGGGGGTCCTGGGGCCTCTTGTCCCACAGCCCTTGAGCAGAGCAGGGCACAACAGGGAATTCTGTCCCCTCCTCTCAAGGGCGCCCAGCATTTCAGGGAGAAGATCCCATGATGCTCCCCCTGCTCCAGGCAACTCGGGGTGCGGGTCCCTGTGTCCCCCAGCCCTGACCTCGCTGTGTGTCCCCTCCCCAGGGCTCATCGTGTACCTGGGCATGATGGTGGGCGCGTTCGTGTGGGGCGGGCTGGCCGACCGGCTGGGCCGAAGGCAGTGCCTCCTCATCTCCCTCTCCGTCAACAGCGTCTTCGCCTTCTTCTCCTCCTTCGTCCAGGGCTACGGCACCTTCCTCTTCTGCCGCCTGCTCTCGGGCGTGGGGTAAGGGGGGCCCAGCTCTTGGCTTTGCTTCCTTCGTCCCCCAGACCCAGGAAGGAATGGGGAATCTGATTCTGTGTTCTCAGAAGGCTAATTTGTTATTTTATGATATTATATTATGTTAAAGAATGCGAAACTGTACTACACTAAAGAATACAGAAAGGGTACTTAAAGGGGAGGCCAGCTTTTGTATTTTTGTCCCCCCCAGAGGAAGGAAGGATGAATCTGATTCTGTGTTTTCAGAAGGCTAATTTATTATTTTATGATACGATATGATATGATATTATGATGCTATATTATATTAATATTAACGATACTATACTAAAGAATACAGAAAGGATACCTACAGGAAGGGCCAGTTGTTGTATTTGTGTTTCCCCCAGAGAAAGGCAGGAATGATGAATCTGACTCTGTGTTCTCATAAAGCTAATTTATTATTTTATGATATGATATGATATTATATTATGATATTATATTAACTATACTATACTAAAGAATACAGAAAGGATACCTACAGGAAGGGCCAGTTGTTGTATTTTTGTTCCCCCCAGAGGAAGGAAGGAAGGATGAATCTGATTCTGTGTTTTCAGAAGGCTAATTTATTATGATATGATATGATATGATATTATATGATATGATATTATATTATATTATATTATATTATATTATGATACTATATTATATTAATATTAACGATACTATACTAAAGAATACAGAAAGGATACCTACAGGAAGGGCCAGTTGTTGTATTTGTGTTCCCCCCAGACAAAGGAAAGAATGATGGATCTGATTCCATGTTCTCAGAAAGCTAATTTATTATTTTATGATATGATATGATATTATATTATGATATTATATTAACTATACTATACTAAAGAATACAGAAAGGATACCTACAGGAAGGGCCAGTTGTTGTATTTTTGTTCCCCCCAGAGGAAGGAAGGAAGGATGAATCTGATTCTGTGTTTTCAGAAGGCTAATTTATTATGATATGATATGATATGATATGATATGATATTATATTATATTATGATACTATATTATATTAATATTAACTATACTATACTAAAGAATACAGAAAGGATACCTACAGGAAGGGCCAGTTGTTGTATTTGTGTTCCCCCCAGACAAAGGAAGGAATGATGGATCTGATTCCATGTTCTCAGAAAGCTAATTTATTATTTTATGATACTATATTATATTATTATACTGTATTATATAAATATTAACTGTACTATACTAAAGAATACAGAAAGGATACTTGCAGAAGGTTAAAAAGATAATAATGAAAAACTTGTGGCTCTCTCCAGAGTCCCCAGTTGGCCCCAGTTGGCCATTGAGTGAAAACAACTCACAGCAGAGACCAATGAAACAACCACCTGTGGGCAAACAACCTCCAAACCACATTCCAAAGCAGCAAAACACAGGAGAAGCAAACCACATAATTACTGTTCTCCTTTTCCTCTGAGGCTTCTCAGCTTCCCGGGAGAAAAATCCTGGGCAAAGGGATTTTCCCAGAAAATGTGAATTGCACACAGGGACCCGCAGAGCTGGGGCCGATCCCCGCTGCGTGTGGTGGGGCAGGGGGTGATGCTGCTCCCTCCCCTCCATCCCCAGCATCGGCGGCTCCATCCCCATCGTCTTCTCCTACTTCTCGGAGTTCCTGGCGCAGGAGAAGCGCGGGGAGCACCTGAGCTGGCTCTGCATGTTCTGGATGATCGGGGGCATCTACGCGTCCGCCATGGCCTGGGCCATCATCCCGCACTACGGTAGGAGCCCTGGGCCGGTGGCACACGGGGGGTGAGCCGGGGCTCGGCCCCACCACCGTGTCCTGTCCCCCCTGTCCAGGCTGGAGCTTCCAGATGGGCTCTGCGTACCAATTCCACAGCTGGAGGGTTTTCGTCCTCGTCTGCGCCTTCCCCTCGGTCTTCGCCATCGGGGCGCTCACCACCATGCCGGAGAGCCCACGCTTCTACCTTGAGGTGGGGTCTGGGGGGGAATTCGGGGAATTTGGGGTGCATTGGGGAGCTGGAGTGGGTCCCCAGGAAGGGACGCCCAGGGGGTGGTGAGGCCTGGACAGGAAGCCCCAGGTGGGTTTTGGAGAGGGGTGGAACTGGGCAGGAACCCCCCAAGCGGATGATGGGACCCAGAGGGATGAGGGGACCCTGAGATGATGAAGATGATGGAGGGGTCCCCAGGTGGGTGGGGAGACCTTGAGGAGGTGATGAAGATGGTGGAGGGGTCCCCAGGTGGATGGTGGGACCCAGAGGGATGGGGGGGACCCTGAGGAGGTGATGAAGATGAAGATGAGGATGAGGGAGGGATCCCTGGGTAGGTGGTAGGACTCAGGTGGGTGGTGGAACCCATAGGGATGAGGGGACCCTGAGGAGGTGATGAAGATGAAGATGAGGGGGGGATCCCCGGGTGGGTGCTGGAACCCAGGCAGGGACAGCTGATGGGGGGTCAGGGTCCAGGTTTGGGGTGTCCCAGGGTGACCTGGGACCCGTCCCTGCCCTCACAGAACGGGAAGCACGACGAGGCCTGGATGGTGCTGAAGCAGGTCCATGACACCAACATGAGGGCCAAGGGCCACCCCGAGAGGGTCTTCTCGGTAAGGACCCCCCAGGGCTGACCCCCCTGGGGTCCCCAGCACCCCAAGTGAGGGTGGGGTGTCCTCCAGGAGCAGGGGTGCAATTCCCACCTCCGGGAAAAGCACCACCAGGGGAATGCTGCTGTAACAAGTGGGGAAACTGAGGCACAGCTGGGTGCTGGTGGAGGATTTGGGTGCAAGGAGTGAGGTTTTGGGTGCAAGGAGTGAAGTTTTTGGTGGCTTCCTGGTGTCCCCAATCTGTCCCACCCACAGGTCACCCACATCAAGACCATCAAGCGGGAGGACGAGCTCATCGAGATCCAGTCGGACACCGGGACGTGGTACCGGCGCTGGCTGGTCCGATGCCTCAACCTGTCCCAGCAGGTGAGGCCGGGGCCACCCAGGGCTCCCTGTGCCCCCTGTCACCTCCCGTGTCCTTGTCACCTCCCGTGTCCCTGCGCAGGTCTGGAGCAACTTCCAGCAGTGCTTCGTGCCCGAGTACCGGCGGGTGACACTGATGATGATGGCGGTGTGGTTCACCATGTCCTTCAGGTGCTGCGGGGTGCGGTGGGGTGGGATCCGTGGGTGGGATCAATGGGATGGGATCAATGGGATGGGAACCATGGGATCAATGGGATGGGATCCAGGGAATCAATGGGATGGGATCGATGGGATGGGAACCATGGGATCAATGGGATCAATGGGATGGGAACCGTAGGATCAATGGGATGGGATCCAGGGAATCAATGGGATGGGATCCATGGGATCAATGGGATGGGATCCATGGGATCAATGGGATGGGATCAATGGGATGGGATGGGATCCATGGGATCAATGGGATGGGATCAATGGGATCAATGGGATGGGATGGGATGGGATAGGATGGGATCAATGGGATGGGATGAGATCCATGGGATGAGATGGGATCAATGGGATGGGATGGAATGGGATTGGATCCATGTGATCACGGGGATGGGATGGAATGGGACAGGATCCATGGGATGGGATGGGATTGATGGGATGGGATGGGATCCATGGGATGGGATGGGATGGAATGGGACGGGATCCATGGGATGGGATGGGATGGAATGGGACGGGATCCATGGGATGGGATGGGATCGATGGGATGGGATGGGATCAGTGGGATGGGATCCATGGGATGGGATGGGGCAGCACGGAGCGGGATGTGATGGAACAAATATCCCTGGGATAGCCCTGGGAGCCCCGGGCCAGCTCTGGCAAGCCCAGGTGTGTGGTGCCCGCTCACCCCTGTCCCCGCAGCTACTACGGGCTCACCGTGTGGTTCCCGGACATGATCAAGCACCTGCAGAGCATCGAGTACGCGTCGCGCACCAAGCTCTTCACGCGCGAGAAGGTTCGGCACTTCACCTTCAACTTCACCCTGGAGAACCAAGTGCACCGTGGTGGGGAGTATTTCAACGACAAGTGAGCGAGGGGAGGCTGAGCCTGGCCTTGCTGAGCTTGGGGCCGAGCTTGGGGGGCAGCTGGGCTCTCCTTCCTGTCCCGCCCTGTGCAGGTTCATCGGGCTGAAGATGAAGTCAGTGACGTTCGAGGACTCGCTCTTTGAGGAGTGCTACTTCGAGGACATCACTTCCAGCAACACCTTCTTCAAGAACTGCACCTTCATCTCCACCGTCTTCTACAACACAGGTGGGGCAATGGGGTCCCCGGGAGGGGGTGACCCACCAGGGTGGCCCCCGGGGTTTGGATGGAGATGGATGTGGGCCACCAGCTTGGAGGAAGGTCAGGAAAGCCCCCAATGACATGATGGAGTTGGGGTGGCAGAGATAACCTGACCCACCAGGGTTTGGATGGAGATGAGGGTGGGCCACCAGCTTGGAGGAAGGTCAGGAAAGTTCTTGATGGCATGATGGAGTTGGGGTGGCAGAGATAACCTGACCCACCAGGGTTTGGATGGAGTTGGGGGTGGGCCACCAGTGTGGAGGAAGGTCAGGAAAGTCCTCAATGCCATGATGGAGTTGGGGTGGCAGAGATAATGTGACCCAGCAGCTTGGAGGAAGGTCAGGAAAGCCCCCAGTGGCACCATGGAGTTGGGGTGGTAGAGATAACCTGACCCACCAGGGTTTGGATGAAGATGGGGGTGAGCCACCAGGTTGGAGGAAGGTCCCCAGTGGCACCATGGAGTTGGGGTGGCAGAGATAAGGAGCAGAGTGGTCCCCAAGGAGGTGATGGAGGTGTGGCTGACCCACCAGGTGGGGTGAGAGGGTTCAGCAGGTGTGCACAGGGATGGGGTGACCCCGTGGCCCCGCTGTGCCCCCAGATCTGTTCGAGTACAAGTTCATCAACAGCCGGGTGGTGAACAGCACGTTCCTGCACAACAAGGAGGGCTGCCAGCTGGACTTCAGCGACGACAACAACGCCTACATGATCTACTTTGTCAGCTTCCTGGGCACCCTGGCCGTGCTCCCCGGGAACATCGTCTCGGCCCTGCTCATGGACAAGATCGGCCGCCTGCGCATGCTGGGTGGGCAACGGGACGGGCTCGGGGCAGCCTTGGCGGGGCTGAGGGGTCCTGGAGGTGCCTTCAGCCCAAACCAGGCTCTTGATCTTCTTGAGCCACAACCATCACCTTTACCTTGGTGGGTCACCCCATCTCCATCACCCCTCTGAGGAATTTCCTGCTCCTCCTCCCACCCGTTGGTCACCTCCATCTCTGGTGGCCTCTTGGGGACCTCCTGGTGGGTCACCCCCATCTCTTGACCCACCACCATCACCTTTACCTTGGTGGGTCACCCCACCTTCATCCATCACCCCTTTGGGGACTTTCCTCGTCCTCCTCCCACCCATTGGTCAATTCCATCTCTGGGGACCTCCTGGTGGGTCACCCCCAGCTCTTGATCCATCACCTTTACCCTGGTGGGTCACCCCAGCTCCATCACCCTTTGAGGACGTTCTTCATCCTCCTCCCACCCATCGGTCACCTCCATCTCTGGTGACCTCTTGGGGACCTCCTGGGGACCTCCTGGTGGGTCACCCCACCTCCATCATGCCCTTTCCTGATCCTACTCCCACCCGTTGGTCACCTCCATCTCTGGTGACCTCTTGGGGACCTCCTTGTGGGTCACCCCCATCTCCCTCTCCCTTTTGGGACTCTCAGTCCCGACCTCGTGCCTCAGTTTCCCCGCGCTCTGACGTGTCCACGTGTCCCCCAGCTGGCTCCAGTGTCATGTCCTGCATCAGCTGCTTCTTCCTGTCCTTTGGCAACAGCGAGTCTGCCATGATCGCCCTGCTCTGCCTCTTTGGGGGGGTCAGCATCGCCTCCTGGAACGCGCTCGACGTGCTCACCGTGGAGCTCTACCCCTCTGACAAGAGGTGAGGCCATGGGATGCAGGTTTTGGGTGCATGGAGTGAAGTTTTGGGTGCTGGGTGAGAAGTTCTGGGTGCTGAGTGGGAGGTTTGGGGTGCCGGGTGCCCATTTCAGGGTTTGGAGTTCCCATTTTGGGGTGCTGGGTGCCAGCTGTGGGTTCCCAGCTGTTTCTGGGTGCTGCCTGCCAGCCCTGGTACTCATGTTGGGGTGCTGGGTGCCCGTCTAAGGATTTTGACTTCCCATTTTGGGGTTTGGAGTTGCCATTTTGGGGTGCTGAGTGTCCATTTCAAGATTTGGAGTTGCCATTTTGGGGTGTTGGGTGCCTCTTTCAGGGTTTGGAGTTGCCATTTTGGGGTGTTGGGTGCCTCTTTCAGGGTCTGGAGTTCCCATTTTGGGGTGCTGGGTGCCCATTTCAGGGTTTGGAGTTCCCATTTTGGGGTGCTGGGTGCCCATTTCAGGGTTTGGAGTTCCCATTTTGGGGTGCTGGGTGCCCCTTTCAGGGTTCGGAGTTGCCATTTTGGGGTGTTGGGTGCCCATTTCAGGATTTTGACTTCCCATTTTGGGGTTTGGAGTTCCTATTTTGGGGGGCTGGGTGCCTATTTAAAGGTTTTGAATTCCCATTTTGGGGTGCTGGGTGCCCCTTTCAGGGTCTGGAGTTCCCATTTCAGGGTGCTGGGTGCCCATTTTGGAGCGCCCAGGTGCCCATTTCAACCCTCCAGGTGCCAATTCCGCGGTACCACCTGCCCTCTGCAGGTACCCCCTGAGCCCGAGCACCCACCCCTACCCCCGGGGGGTGCCCCCACCAACCCCAACCCTCCTCATCCTCCCCAGGACGACGGCCTTTGGCTTCCTGAACGCCCTGTGCAAGCTGGCAGCCGTGCTGGGCATCAGCATCTTCACCTCCTTCGTGGGCATCACCAAGGCCGTGCCCATCCTCTTTGCCTCAGCCGCTCTGGCCCTCGGCAGCTCCCTGGCCCTCAAACTGCCCGAGACGAGGGGCCAGGTCCTGCAGTGATGGGGGGCTGGGGGAGAGGGACCCCCACCCTCCCCTTTCCCTGGGGTACCCCCCAAAATCCAGCATTTCCCCCCCTCTCTCTCCTCTCCATCTCCTCGTGCCCCCGGGGTTAGTTCTGCGTTAGACACTGTGAAACGTCTTCTTGGAGCATTTGGGATCTTTTTCATTTGCACTTGGACCCAACCACCCCCCCCAAAAAAATCCCTCTGTACCCCCAAAGCCTCCCTGACATCCCCCCCCCCAAAAAATTCCCCCCCTGAGCCCCAATTCTCCCCCTCAGAGCCTCCCCAGTTTCTTTTCTCGGTGTCACCCCCTGTGTGAGTTGCTGCTCATTCCTGGGGGGCTTTAGGGGACAGGATTTAGAGGGGGGGCCCCGACCCTCTGAACCCCCCCCCAAATCTCTGTGCACCCCCAAATCCTTGCTGAGCCAAGGAGGAGGAAGCAGTGGGAGCCCCCTGTGCCTCAGTTTCCCCGTCCCCAGCAGGGTCCCCCCCAAACCCCCACAGATTTTTTGGGGGGGGGGGGTTTGAGAGCCCTTGGGGCGCCTCGGGGTGGGAGGGGGAGCAGAAAATATTGGGGTGCAGCTCCCTTTGGGGGGTGCAGCTCCCTTTGGACCCCCTTGACAATTTGAGGGTGCCCCCCCCCTCCCTTTAAAGCACATGCCCCCCCCCCGCAGGATGCCCCAATTTTGGGGTGCCCCCTCCCCCCCAATTTTCAGGGTGCAAAGCACAGCCCCCCCCCCCATGGTCTCATTTGGGGTGCAGCAGTGGGGGATCCCCAAAACTGCCAGTTAGGGATTTTTAACTGATTTTTAAAGGATTTTCCCCATTTGAGGGAGGATGGTGTGGGTCAGGGGGGGCTCCCTGCACCCCCTTTCCCTCCTCCCTGCGCCCCAAGTCCCCCCCACATCCCCTATTAATAATCCCCTATTCCTTTTTCCTCCCCCCACCCCAAAACCACCAGCGGTTTGCAAAGCACAAACAGCCCCTAAACCCCCCCCCCAAAAAAGAAAAAAATCGGGGTACAAGGGGTCCCCAGTGCTCAAATCGGGGTTCAGGGGGGGTCCCAGTGCTGTGTCCCCTCAAAATTTGGGGTTTGGGGGGGTCCCTCATGCTCTGCCCCTTTCCCATAGGGTCGGGCAGAGCTGGGGGGCCCCCCCAGCCCCAGGGCAGCCCCCCCCATTCCAAGCAGCCCCCCCCGTGTGCTTTGTCCCCTCCTTGGTGTAGCTGGTCCTTGGGGGGCCCCCCCCGGCCCCCCCCTGTAGCTCTGTCGTGCCGTGCTGTAGTTTCAGGTGTTTGTAAATTAATTAAAATGGAAAAAAAAAAACCAAAAACAAACAACATCCCAAAAAAAAAGAAAAAAAAAAGGCAGAAAATAGTTACCACCACCTCCCCCCCCCAAAAAAAAGGATTCTCCAGCTGCCCACAGAACAGTTTTATTTAAATTAATGAATGAATGAATTCAGTTTAAATGGGAGGGACACCCCAAAAATCCCCCACAGGGTGGGTGCTGGGTTGGGGCAGGGCATCACATGGCAGGGGGGGGGGCACCCCAATTATTTCTGCCCCCTCCCAACGCTGAAACCAGGGTGGGGGTCCCAGGAACCCCACGTTGTTCCTGGAGGGGTCCTGGTGTTCCTGGGGGGGTCCCAGGAGCCCCCTGTTGTTCCTGGGGGGTCCTGTGAGCTCCACACCGTTTTTGGGGGGGTTCTTGGCAGCCCCACGTCGTTCCTGAGGGGCTCCCAGCAGCCCCACGTTGTTCCTGGGGGTGGGTCCTGATGTTCCTGGAGGGGTCCTGATGTTCCTGGGGGGGGTCCCGTGAGCTCCACACCGTTTTTAGGGGGGTCTCATGAGCCTCACGTTGTTCCTGGGGGGGTCCCAGCAGCCTCACGCCGCTCCCGGGGCTCTCCCAGAGCCTTCAATGCTTCCCCGCCGCCTCCTCCTCCTCCTCCTCGCCGCGTCTCTTCTCCCTCTTGGACCCCCCCAGGCAAGGGGGCGCGGGGGGGTTCTGGGGGTCGCTCTGCCACTGCTCGGGGGTGCGGGCGGTGACCTGCAGGGCGTGCAGGGGCCCGGCCAGCTCGGCCCGCAGCGCCTCGTGCACCAGGCGGTGCCGCTGCAGCGGCGACAGCCCCGCGAAGAGCCCGCTCACCACCAGCACCCCGAAATGAGTCTCGGCACCGGGGGGGCCCCCGTGGCGGGGGGAGTCGTCCCGAATCTCCAGGTGGGTGGGCTGGAGGGCTGCGGTCAGCTTGGCACGGATGGTGCGGGCCAGGGGACCGCCCGTGCCGCCCATGGCAGCGCCCGCGGCCGCAAGGAGGGGACCCCGCATCGGGGAAGGGCTGCAAGAGAGAGCGGGGAATTGGGGGGTGCAGGGGGAGAAACCCCCCCCGGTTCCCACCTGGCACCGGAGGGGTTTGAGGATTTTTGGGGGAGGCTGGAGGAGAGGGTGATGGTGGGGGGGGTAGGGATGAGGATGGAGGGTCTCAGGAGGGGGGGTTTGGGGGGCTCTGCCGGGTTATTGGGGGCGTCGGAATGGGGAACAAGGGGGGCTTGGAGGGGGTGGAATGGGGAATAAGGGGGAGCTGGGGGTGGCGGGACGGGGAATAAGGGGGAGCTGGGGGGGGGGGGGGCCGGAATGGGGAACAAGGGGGGGTCTGAGGGCGGAGGAATGGGGAACAAAGTGGGGAAATGGGGAATAATCGGGGGCTGGGGCGAGTGGAAGGGGCAATAACGGGGTGCTGGCACCGGCGAGTCTGAGGTAGCCCTGCCGGACCAGCCCTTGCTCCGGGTACGGCGGAGGGGGCGCACGGGGGTGTCCCGGGGATCTTTCAGGCCCGGAGCTCTCGGGAAGGCCCTAACGCCCCTCAGAGCCCCCCTGTCCCCCGCGGGTACCCCGCGATCCTCCCACAGGGCACCCCTGGGGACCAGCAGGTGCTGCCAAAGCCCCCAAAGCCTTCGGTTCCCTGCCGGTACCTCCGATCCTCCCCGGTCCCCTCACGGCGCCCTCACCGCTCCCGCCGTCACGTGACACCGCCGCAGCTGCGCCACGTGACTCCACCCGCCCAATCACCGCAGGCGGCGTTTGCCCCGCCCATACACACAAACCACGCCCTCTTTATCCTTATATGGATAACCAGGCGGAGACTGAGGTGTGGGGGCGTGGCCAGATGTGCATGGGGGACACGGGACCGTTTAATTTCTCCTCATTTTTTTCCTTATTCTTTCCCTAATTTCATCCTGATTTTTCCAGGTTCATCCCTGATTTTCCTACTTTTATCCTGATTTTTCCATATTCACCCCTATTTTTCCAGCGCTGCCCTCATATTTTCCAAATTCACTCTCATTTTTTATTTCTCCTCATTTCTTTCCTTATCATTTTCCTATTTCATCCTGATTTTTCCCTGACCATCCTTATTTTTCCAGGTTCACCTTCATTTTCCGAGTTTGCTCTTATGGGATTCCCTAAAAACTAAAAGAAGGGGGTTCTTTCGGTGCTTTTTTGGGGGGTTCTTCTGGGTTTTTAATTTTTTTTTATTTTTCTGTGGTTCCTGCCAGTCCTGCTGCCACCTCGTGGCGTGGATCCTCTTCTCAAACTTCTCTCTGACTCACAGAAATCCCTGTAAAACCTCTTCCCCAAATCCCCAAATTCCAAAATCCCCAAATCCCTGTCGTAGTTGAGATGGAGACAACACCAAGCAACGCTCTCCATTTTCAGGAGGCTTCAGACCTGTTTTTAATCTATTTACGCTTTTTATCCATTTTTACAAAGCTCATAAATTTACACTCATTGCTCACAAGAAACAAAAAAAGTGGTTATTGGGACAGTTTCAGGTTTCTCTTATTTCTCCTTCTTTTTTCTCCTTTTTTCTTTCTTGGTTTCTGTGTCAAGGACCTTGGTAAGAAATTCTTCCAGGGGTGAACATGGATCTCAAACTCCTCTGTAAAACTTCTCCCCAAATCCCCAAATTCCCAAAAAATCCCTGTCATAGTTGAGATGGAGACAACACCAAGCAACGCTCTCCATTTTCAGGAGGCTTCAGACCTGTTTTTATTCTATTTATGCTTTTTATCCGCTCTTACAAAACTCATAAATTTACGCTTTACTCGGTCGCGAGAGACGAACAAAGTGTTTATTGGAACAGACGGTTCCAAGTTTCTCTTATTTCTCCTTTTTTTTTTCTTGGTTTCTATGCCAAGGACCTGGGTAGGAAATTCTTCCAGGGGTGGATCCCAAACTCCTCCGTGGCTCACAGAAATCTCCGTAAAACTTCTCCCACACCTGGAGAGCCCCGAGGGATTCCATGCCCACCTCGCCCCCTCCTCCGTGTGTGCTTGGGAAACCTCGGCCCTGCCTTCCCCTCCCCGCTGGAATTTTCCTTTTGGGATCCAAAATCCCCCCTGGCTATTTTTAAAGCGCCCTCGGAGCCCACTCAGCTCCCGCTCCCCTGTCAGAATCTTCAGCTGTTTTTTCCTCCCTCTGCCCCCCAGCCTGGGTGGCAACAGCCGGGATTCCCTCCTCATTCCCGCCCCAGGCAGGGACCAGGATTTTCCTCGGGATTTGGGGGGATTTGGTGCCCATCTCGTGGCATTTTCTGGGGTAAGGGGAGCGCTGGGATCCTTGGATGAGGTGTGGGGATGGAAGGATGGGATTTGTGCTTGGCATGGGATTTTTCATATTTTTATTTCCCTTATTTATGTTTGGGATGGGATTTATTTCCTTGATTTCTGGAGGAATGGTGTTTATTTCCTTGATTTCTGGGGGGATGGGATTTATTTCCCTTATTTATGGAATGGGATTTATTTCCTTTATTTATGCTTGGGATGAGGTTTATTTCCTTTATTTCTGGAGGAATGGTGTTTATTTCCTTGATTTCTGGAGGGATGGGATTTATTTCCCTTATTTCTGGAGGAATGGGATTTATTTCCCTTATTTATGGAATGGGATTTATTTCCTTTATTTATGCTTGGGATGAGGTTTATTTCCTTTATTTCTGGAGGGATGAGGTTTATTTCCTTTATTTCTAGAGAGATGGGATTCATTTCCTTTATTTATTATGGAGGGATGGGATTTATTTCCTTTATTTCTAGAGAGATGGGATTCATTTCCTTTATTTATTATGGAGGGATGGGATTTATTTCCTTGATTTCTAGAGGGATGGGATTCATTTCCTTTATTTATTATGGAGGGATGGGATTTATTTCCTTGATTTCTGGAGGGATGGGATTCATTTCCTTTATTTATTATGGAGGGATGGGATTTATTTCCTTGATTTCTGGAGGGATGGGATTTATTTCGTTAATTTATGTTTGGGATGGGATTTATTTCCATTATTTCTGGAGGGATGGGATTTATTTCCTTCCAAGCATGGCATGGAAGGAAGAATGCATGCTTTGGGATTGATTCTGCATCCTGGAAAGAAGAGGGATCCACGCTTCCAGCCCTCTGGCAAACACTGATTTCCCCAAATTCCTCTCTTCCCACCCCAATCCCAGAGCAAATCCTGGGCTCAGATGGGCACCAGGATTTCCTCCCTGCAGGTGGAAAACAGCAGGAACTCGGTTTAGGAGCCAGAGGGATTTCCTCAATGTGTTCCCAAGGGGATTTGTGGGTGCTGGAAATGCTGAGGGACCCAACTTCCCCACCCATCTCCTCCATGGCCCCTGGAATGGACCTGGAAAATCCCAGTTTGGACATTCCTGACCATTCCTGACCATTCCTGACCATTCCTGACCATTCCTGACTGTTCCTTCTCCTTGCAGGGGTTGGTGCAGCACTTCCTGCAGGTTTAGGTGGGATTTCAGGTGGAAATGGACCTGGAAAATCCCCGTTTGGACATTCCTGACCCTTCCTGACCATTCCTTCTCCTTGCAGGGGTTGGTGCAGCACTTCCTGCAGGTGTAGGTGGCATTTCAGGAGCGCAGCCAGCATGGCCTGGCAGTCATTGACCCCTGGGGACATCGGCCACCAGCCCTGGGGACACTGGGGTGACCCCTGGGGACATTGGCCAGCTTTGGCCCATGCCATGTTTGCCTTCAGGACCTGGCTGTGCCCCAGGAGACAAAATGCTGGGAAAAGTGTTCCCTGGCAGGGACCATCCCCTTCCCTGCTGGACACGTCCCACAGGGAAAAGCTTTTCCCACAGGGATTCACCCCTGGGTGGTGCCCACAGGAGCTTCCAAGGAGGGAAACCCAGGGCAGCTCCCACATTCCCCACGGGCTGGGGGCTCCCCAAACCTGGAGCTGCCGTGCCCCACCTTCTCCACGCTCTGGCTGTTGTTCCAGGGCTGGAGCAGGGCCCAGCTAAATTTAGAGGGATCGATTTCAACCCCCGCCTCTGCCCCGCGGGGGGAAAGGACAGAGCAAAGGTGGCCAGGGACGAGGAGCCACGGGGGGCTCCCTTCTCTGCCCCCTGGAAGGGCTCCCAGGACCCCAAATTGATCCAGCTGCAGGACCATGGAGGAGCCCAGAGGGGCTGGAATTCTCCCGAGTCTCTGTGGCTGTCACTTGGGGCAGAGCTTGTGACAAGGACGCGGGGAAGGAGCTCCCTGAGGAGGCTGAACCAGGTGAGGGGGCAGTGGGAGAGCAGGAACGAGGCTCCAAGGATGTGGTTGGCACCAAGGGATGGCTCTGGTCCCACCTGTGGTGTCCCCAAAGTGAGGGTGGAGTGAAATGCTCAACGCCCACCCCTGTGAGGAAACAGCTCAAGCAGCGCCGGGGCAGGGGGGGTTTAGGTTGGATATCAGGGTGATAAAATTTCAGGGTGATGAAATTTCCTCATGGAAAAGGTGGTCAAGGTGTGGCATGGGCTGCCCAGGTGGAGTCACATCCCTGGAGGTGTGGATGTGCCACCGGGGGACAAGTGGTGGCCTTGGAAGTGCTGGGTTGGACTTGTTCCCATGGTCTGTGGGGCACCCGAAGGAATCTTGGGGTACCTGGAAGAATCTTGGGGCACCTGGGGAATTTGAAGGAATCTCGTGGTCCATGGGGTGTCCAAAGGAATCTTGTGGTCCAAGGGGTACCTGGAGGAATTTTGGAGTACCTGGAGGAATCTTGGGGTACCTGGAGGAATCTTGGGGTACCTGAAGGAATCTTGTGGTCCAAGGGGTACGTGGAGGAATTTTGGAGTACCTGGAGGAATCTTGGGGTACCTGGAGGAATCTTGTGGTCCAAGGGGTACCTGCAGGAATTTTGGAGTACCTGGAGGAATTTTGGAGTACCTGGAGGAATCTTGGGGTACCTGAAGGAATCTTGTGGTCCATGGGGCACCTGGAGGAATCTTGCTGGGTGTGGCTTCACCTGAGTTTTCCACTGCTCAAATGGTGTTTAACAAGTGCCCCTCTCAGTCCCATCGCTCCAATCCCCCCTCTGCTTCCAGGGGAGCTGCTGAATGAAGCCAGGAGCTGCTGGTGGGTGAGAGACCCCCCGAGCTCTGCATGGATGGGAATGGGGAGAGCTGCCCACAGTAGGAGCCCAGGGCAGCTGGAAAACTTTGGCTTCTTCCTCCGAGCTTTTCTGCTCCTCTTCCTCTTCAGGCATGGTAAGGATCCACGTGGGCAGAGTTGTTCTCTGTAAAAATCAGGAGAAAAGCACTTCCAGGAGGAATCTCCGTGAGAATCTCGAGCTGGATGGTGGGGGGAATGTTGTGGTTTAGGTTTAGTTTGGTGGGTTAGAGGTGTGAGATGTTGGTGATTTTTTGGGTGTTCAGTTTTGAGTAGGTTTAAACAGGTTTAAAGAAAAGGGAAAACCCCCTATGGTTCAGGGAATTTTTTTTTTATTTTAGCTGGTTAAAACTAACTAAAACAAAGGAGAGTTCTGTCTTGTTGTCTGTTAATTTGCAGACAGATTCAGTTTAGATGTAATGTCATATAGTGTATAGAAGAATAGTATAATAAATTAATAATAAAATTAATAATTACAATAGTGCAATTTTATTAATAATAGTATAATAAATTAATAATAAAATTAATAATGATAATAGTATCATAGTTTTAATAATAGTATAATAAATTAATAATTAATTAGCTTTCTGATAAGATGGAGTCAGATGCATCACTTCTCTCCCCTCGTTGGGGTTGCCTGCAAATATTACAGGGAGATGTCTTGGTTTGGAAAGACAGGAGTCTGCTAAGGAAGGCAGGAGCCTCCCCTGAAATGGAGAATGTAAATCCTCCCCACCCCTCCCAATTGCTATAAATTTTAAATTAAGGGCCTCTCAAGCAGAAAATATGGGAGCAGGAAATAACAGTTCTTTAATAGGGAAGAAAATAAAAGGATAAAATAAACAATGCTGTAAACCAAAACAACACTGCCAGAGTCAGAACCCAACCTGACACCCTGTGGGTCAGGGTGTGGGCAGCAGAACCGTTGGAATTGTGGCTCAGCCCTCCTGCACTGCCAGGGGTGGCTCTGCTGGAGCAGGGATCCTGGAGAAAGGTGCAGCCTCTTCCTCTGAAGATCCAGTGGGAGAGGCAGCTGCTGTTCCTCTGGGAAATCCAGCAGAGAAGCTGTGCTGGTGTTCCAGAATCTCCAGATTATATCCAGGCAGGAATGCTTGGCTCCTCCCTCCAGGCAGAGCTGTGCTGGTGTCCCAGAATCTCCAGATTATATCCAGGTAGGAATGCTTGGCTCCTCCCTCCAGGCAGAGCCGTGCTGGTGTTCCAGAATCTCCAGATTCTATCCAGGTAGGAATGCTTGGCTCCTCCCTCCGGGCAGAGCTGTGCTGGTGTTCCAGAATCTCCAGATTGTTGAATTTGCAGGCAACTCTGACATGGGAAGAGATGAGAATCTTGACTCCATGTTTCAGAAGGCTGATCTATTATTTTATGATATATAGATATATATTATATTAAAAGAAAATGATATATTAAAACTATACTAAAGAATAGAAGAAAAGATTTCATCAGAAGGCTTGAAAGGAATAGAATGGAATGATAATAAAATCTTGCGACTGACCAGAGAGTCTGAGACAGCCGGACTGTGATTGGCCATTAATTAAAAACAACCACATGTGACCAATCAAAGATGCACCAGTTGCATTTCACAGCAGCAGATAATCATTGTTTACATTTCGTTTCTGAGGCTTCTCAGCTTCTCAAGAGAAAAAGATCTTAACGAAAGGATTTTTCATAAAATATGTCCGTGACAATAAGGAAAACTGCCCACTTGACAAAAGCCAGCAGCCATTCAGATGATAACAGAACACGTCTTGCCCCGAAATCTGCAACGGCAGAGGAGAGGCTGCCCCTTCCCCAACCCACCCCTTCTTCCTCAGTCTCTTCCCAGTGCAAGATCCTCCGCTGCAACTCGGAGTACGTGGCGGCCACGCTGCACCTGCGCGGCCCCGAGCGCGGCGCCGCCTTCTGCACCGCGCTGCGCTCCTACTCGCTGTGCACGCGCCGCACCGCCCGCACCTGCCGCGGCGACCTGGCCTTCCACTCCGCCGTGCACGGCATCGAGGACCTCATGATCCAGAACAACTGCTCCAAGGAAGGCCCCACGGCCCCGCCGCGGCCCCGGCCCGCGGCGCCCAACGCCGCGCACGGCTTCGAGTCGCTCGATATCTGCGATTACGAGAGGAGTTTCCTCTACAAGCACGGCCGGCCCCCCGGTTTCCAGCACTGTGCTGCTTTTGGGGACCCCCACATCCGAACCTTTCACGATGATTTCCACACGTGCCGGGTGGAGGGCTCCTGGCCGCTCTTGGACAATGATTACCTGTTTGTGCAAGCCACCAGTTCGCCGGTGGCCAAGGGGTCCAACGCAACAGTCACCAGCAAGGTAAGGTTAGCGCACAGGATGGGTGGCAAATCCAGGGTCAGGGCACCTCCTGTGCTTCCCAAAATCCTTGGAACCCCTTCAGACCCGGGGGGGGATGAGGAAGGAGGGACAACAGTGGTGAAGGTTGTTGAGGGGACCCTCAAATACTCCTGCTGCTGTCAGGTGATTGTGTGGTCCATGGGGTACCTGGAGGAATTTGTGGTCCATGGGGGTACCTGGAGGAATTTGTGGTCCATGGGGTGCCTGGAGAAATCTTGTGGTCCATGGGGGTACCTAAAGGAATTCTGTGGTCCATGGGGTGCCTGGAGGAATCTTGGAGTACCTGAAGGAATCTCGTGGTCCATAGAATACCTGGAGGAATCTTGCTGGGTTTGGTTCCACCTGAGTTTTTCCATTGCTTAAATGGTGTTAAAAAAAGAAGGAAATATTGTGGTTGTCCCCAAAGGGCTGTGGCGGGGATGGTTTAAGGACAGATAGGTGAGGTGGGACCTCCATCCTGAGATCCCCCCAACCCCTGTGATGGAACCACACCCACCACACTCACCGCCCTCCAACCAACCCCACTCCCCGCAGCTCACCATCATCTTCAAAAACATGAAGGAGTGCATCGACCAGAAGGTCTACCAGGCCGAGCTGGACAACCTCCCCGCAGCCTTCCAGGACGGCTCCGTCAACGGCGGCGCGCGTCCCGGCGGGAGCAGTTTGTCCGTCCGCGAGCTCAGCCCCGGCCGGCACGTGGAGATCCGCGCCGGCTACATCGGCACCACCATCGCCGTGCGCCAGGCCGGCCGCCAGCTCTCCTTCTCCATCCGCGCCGCCGAGGAGGTGGCCAGGGCCTTCACGGAGGAGCAGGACCTGCAGCTCTGCGTGGGCGGCTGTCCCCACAGCCAGCGCATGTCCCGCAGCCCTCGCGGGCGCGGGCGCGTCCCCGCGGAGACGGCGCGGGCGCTCTGCCGGGAGATGCTGCCCGTGGAGGATGTCTACTTCCAGTCGTGTGTCTTTGATGTGGTGACCTCGGGGGACGCCAACTTCACCATGGCAGCGCACGGGGCGCTGGAGGACGCTCGGCTCTTCCTGCCCGATGCTGAGAAGCTCCACATCTTCCAAGCTGGGGGAGGCTGCCAGCTCAGCTCTCCGTCGTTGCTGCTCCTCCTCTTCCTCCTCCCGTGTGGATTTTGGGCTGGTTTGTTGCACTTTTAAGCCCTGCCTGCTCCATAGGGAACCTGTGAGAGCTGCTGGCTCCACCTTGAAGGTTCCTCACCTTGAAGGAGGTGTCTCAGAGACCCAAGAGAGGGAAGGGGTGAAGCCCTGGTTTGCACCCACTGGTCTCACATGGATGGTGCAGCTGCTCCCAGCTCCTCTCCTGAAGGCAGTTCCAAATTTTTCTGTTCCATTCTGACATGTTCCTTTTCCCCTAAGGATGTGGCACTGCAGAGCATCAAAGAAAAATAAACCCCCAGGGTTAGAAACCCCCTCTGTCCCTCAGAGCCTTTCCGTAAATTATTTCCCACCTTTGTCCCCGTGTTAATCCAGCAGAATTCCACCCAGGAACCCTACAGATCCAGAAATGACAGACTCAAAGCCCAAAGCCCAATTTTTAGCAGTTTAAAAAAAAAAAAAAAAAAAGGATTTGGGATCCAGCTGCTCCCAAAGCAGAGCAAGGCCACAAATCATTCTGGGGAACGTTGGGACCAAGAGGGAGACTTTTGAGTAGAAATCAGCCGGGTTTTGTCCATGTGCTCCTCTTACAGGATAAATAACAAGTGAATCTCCAGCAGTGGGAGCTGTGGAGCTTGAGATCTCCTATATATCCCAGGCCACTGTTGCTATTTTTCCTTGTTTTCTTGGCACCTGTTGTGGACTCAATTTAGCTGGGTCTGGACTTGGGAAGCGGTGTCAGGTTCTAGGGAGGACAAAACACCCCTTGGGAGCTCTCTCCCTTGGGCCCAGATTCTCTGTCGCTGCTCAAATCCAACCCAAACTGGAGCTTTTGCTTGGAAAAATGGAATTCCTGATGGCAGGGAGCCAGCTGGGCACACAGAGGGGCAGGGCATTGCCCCGTGGAAGGTGCAGGATTGCAGAGGGGAGGGCAAATTTCACACATTTTCAGAGGATTTCAGTAAAGCAGATGGAGCTCTACAGGAGAAATCATTTCCTTGGTGAAGGCTTTCCTTTATTTTTAATAAAGTGTTAAAAACTTGGCCATCCCTCTCCCACAGAATTGCAGGAAGGGCCTGTGGACGTGGGGGAAAAGGGAATTTCCGCCCCGCCAGGCACGGAGGCTCCATCAAGGGAGGTTCTACAACTCAAGTTTCAATACATCCACGGAGTTTTCTGGAGTTTTCTCTTTACTCTTTTGTGCCAAGAGCACAAAGAACGCACAGGAAATAATTTCATGGACATCGCTGCGAGTTCCCCCTCAGATGGGTGCTCAGAGCACACAGTGAGGAGCAGGAGGCCTGCTCCATGTTTTTTATTCTGCTCCTGGTAATCCCTGGTGGGTTTGACATTAAAGGGTCTATTTTTGAGCCCCCCCATTTCCTGTCATCTGTCTCTTCGTGTCTTTGGGCAGCAGTGGCAGATGAGGATAAGAATATCTCCTTCCTCCCCTGTTCCTCTGACTCCGGAGCTTTGGGTGGATGGAGAGGAAAGCAAGCTGCTTCCTGATGTGCTCCACGTGTCCCTTTGGGAAGAAAATCATCTGGGGGGGGATAAAACCCTCTGGAGGGGGAGAAAATCCTCCATGGGGAGAAGGTTTTCCATGGGGATGAAACCCCCTTGTAGGGATGAAATCCTCAGGAGCAGCATTGGCGGTGCTGGAGCTCCTGGTGGGAATGGGGTGGGTTTGATGCTGCAGAACCCAATTGTCCTCTTTAGTTGTTGGCCTGTAGAGCCACTCAACAAGAATTCCCTGGGGAAAGGAGGGCTCCCAGTGGAACCAGACCTTCCCTCCTCCTGAACAGGCAGGAACCTGTGCCACCAGGACTGGGCCTGGAGCTTTCCTTGCCAGCCCTTTCTCAGGAGCCACCTCTGAAATTCAGAGAGCAGCTCCCAAACTGAAAATGTCCCGGAATTCTGATTTGGAGAGCTCTGGTTCCAGCTTTGAGGCTTGGCAGCTCCACCCGACCCAGATTTACACCAGGAGTGGCCCAACAGGGACAATTCTGACAACGGGATTACAACGTGGAGGAGCTGTTGCTGATGAATTATGGACTCATTAAGGTCGGGGAAACTTCTGAGATCATTAATCATTAACTCTCCCGTAGCACTGCCAAGGCCACTCCTGACCCATGACCACAGGCACCACTTGTTTTTGAACACATCCAGGATGGTTCCAAGGTCTGACCTCTCTTCCCACGAACACAATTCCCAAAATACCCAACCCAAACCTTCTCCTGAGGCCTCTTCCTCATGGGAGACCACCCTGAACCCCCTCAGCTCCAGCTGGGTGGTGAATTCCCCCAAGTGGGCCCTGTTGGAGCTGGATGGAGAGGCTGAGATGGTTTTTAGCAGGTGACATCAGCCAGGGAGGGGAAGGGTCGATCCAAAGTCCTTTGACGTCAATGGAAACAACTTTGTTGACATCAACAACTCGGCTTGGCGCCGACGTTCGGCTCCTGGGCTTGGGGTGGGGGAAGAGGCCTGTCCCTGCCCCGGGGTGGCTCTGAGCAGGAGCAGGGTGGAATAATTTGGGAATGGGCCAGGACCACCCCATGTTTGGCACTTTTTCCCCATTTAGATGAACCCCATGCATGGTCACGGCTCGGGTTTGAAACTCTGTAGGGTGTCAAGAGGAGGTGGTGGCCCTGGGACAGAGGAGATGGTGGCCTTGTGACAGAGGGAGGTGGAGGCCCTGTGATGGTGGCCCTGGGACAGAGGGAGATGGTGGATGATGGATGGATGGATGGATGGATGGATGGATGGATGGATGGATGGATGATGGATGGATGGATGGATGATGGATGATGGATGGATGATGGATGGATGGACGGACAGATGGATGGATGGATGGATGATGGATGGATGGATGGATGGACGGATGGATGGATGATGGACGGATGGATGATGGATGGATGGATGGATGGATGGATGGATGGATGGATGGATGATGGACGGACGGATGGATGGATGGAGGGATGATGGATGGATGGATGATGGATGGATGATGGATGGATGATGGATGATGATGGATGATGGATGGATGGATGATGGATGGATGGATGGATGGAGGGATGGATGATGGATGGATGATGGATGGATGATGGATGGATGATGGATGATGGATGATGGATGGATGATGGATGGATGGATGGATGGATGGATGGATGGATGATGGATGGATGGATGGATGATGGATGGATGGATGATGGATGGATGGATGATGGATGATGGATGGATGGATGGATGGATGGATGATGGATGATGGATGGATGGATGGATGATGGATGGATGGATGATGGATGGATGGATGATGGATGGATGATGATGGATGGATGATGGATGGATGGATGGATGGATGGATGATGGATGGATGGATGGATGATGGATGGATGGATGATGGATGGATGGATGATGGATGATGGATGGATGGATGGATGGATGGATGATGGATGATGGATGGATGATGGATGGGTGATGGATGATGGATGGATGATGGATGGATGGATGGATGGATGGATGGATGGATGGATGGATGGATGATGGATGGATGGAGGGATGATGGATGGATGGATGATGGATGGATGGATGATGGATGATGGATGGATGGATGGATGGATGGATGGATGGATGGATGGATGGATGGATGGATGGATGGATTGATGGATGGACAGATGGATGGATGATGGATGGAGAATCCTCTGCCATTTTGGGAAAGCCTCCAGATGTCCACAGATCCCAGCACTGCGGCACAGTCAGAGCTCCAGAGTTACAGGATTTCCATCCTCACCCCAATCCACAAGGAATCACAGAATTCCAGAATTCCTTCCTTCCACATTGCTTCTGGCTGGAAAAGACCTCCAAGATCATTTTGCTCATGGCAGGGACACTTCCAGACACCAGATGGCTCCAAGTCAACGCTTTTCCTCCCCGAGCTCGACACTCCCAGCTCGGAGCAGTTGAAAAGGAGGAAAAATTCCTCATTTCTTTGCTGTCTGAGGGGCTCCAGGGGCTCTGCCCCTCTCTGCTGTCGCTGCCCGTTCCTGCCAGGGCAGATGGCAAACCCGGGACTTTGCATTCCCAGGATCTGAATCCCTCCTTGTTTGTGGACGGCTGAGCTCTTCTGGAACCTTCTCTCCCTCTCCCTGCTCCAAAAACACCCTCGGGGCAGAGAACAGGGGAGGAAAGCCCACCTGGATGGAGGATTTCCACAGCCCAGTCTCCAGTGGGAGCTGGAAAAAATGGAATTTCACAGGGAAAAATCCTCCTGTGCAAGCCCTGAGGGAAGGGGAAAAGGGGATCCCAGATCTCTGTCCCTGCAGAATCTCAAATATGGGGGTCAAAAACTTTGGCTGTGGACAAAACAGCAAAAAAAAAGGGATTTAAATTTTTTTTTTAATTTTTTTTTTTTTTTTTTTTTTTTTTTTTTTTTTTACTTAGAGTTTGGGCAGTTGAGGGGTGTTTTAAAAAATTTGGATTTTCTTTTTGGTGTTATGAGAAGGGTGAGACAATAGAGATGTCATAACTAGACGTTAAAAAGAAATGTTATAGAAATAGAGAAATGTTTAAAATAATAAATAGAATAGAAATAAATCTTATAAAATAATAGAAATAAACGTTACCAAAATAGATGTAATAATTTATGTTATTACAATTAGAAGTTAACTATTTTTTAATTATAATATATTATAAATAGGTTTTGGTTTATTAGTTGTCATTACACTATGTTGTAAATGCTTTAAAGTTAATAATTTAAAATTACTCCTTGCGGGGTTTATTATAATGTATTTTTATAGTTCTATTTTTCTCAAGTATTATAATGTATTTTTTAACAGTTCTATTTTTTTTTAGTATCTAGTTTTATTTTTTAAACACTTTTCGAGTTCAATTTTCTTTCCTTAACAACGTTCACTTTACTTTATGGTATTTCTAAGTCAGTATTTCCCGTTTTCAGGTGTCTACAGGTGAGTTTTCTGCTAGGCTTTGGGTTTCCTCTTCGGCTATAAATTTATTTCCCACTCTGTGTGTGTATATATATATATATATTTATTTATTTTTTTATTTATTTATATCTATTATATATATATTTATATATATACATATATATAATATATTTTATATATTTTTATATATATTTATATTTATATATTTATAATTTGGAATATACATAATATATTATATATATAGCATAAAATAGTAAAATAACTAAAAATAAAATAGTAAAAAAAATAAATATAATATAAAGAGAATATAAATATAAATATATATAAAATATATAAAATACGTAATATAGAATATATAAAAATATAATATGTTATAAAAAATATATTTATTACTGTGGGACAAGCAGCTGCTTTCCAGGAGCCAACCCAGTTCCAGAGTCCCTTTTTTTTTTTCCCAGCTGGGCTCAATTCCCAGTGTTCCCAGTGCACAAACAAGCAGAGGAAGCGCAGGAAATGCTTTTTCCACCCCAGCTCCCGGCTGCACGCTCTGTCCCCATGCTCCAACCGCTTCGGATCCCTCCCTGCCCCTCTCTCCCTCCCCTCCCAGCCTGGAATACGCTGGAAGGGACCATATAAGGTGAGAAAAATGGAATAAACATCCCAGAGAAGCTGCAAGGATCCTCCTTCTCCCCAGCAGTCCCTGACTAAATTCTGCTTTTCTTTTTTACAGCAAGGACAAAGGCCGGGCTGCCCCAGGAGCAGCTGTGGCTTCTCCTGGCAACCCACCCTGATAACCTGGAGCAGAAAAAAGCACGGATCTTATCAGCAGAAAAATAAAAACCAAAAAAAAACCCCACGGATCTTATCAGCAGAAAAATAAAAACCAAAAAAAAACCCCACGGATCTTATCAGCACTGGAGGGCTGTGCTGGCAAAAACAAGGCTGAGCCGTGCCCAGTTCCTTCCCCTGCGTGAGTCACCCTCAGGGTTCATTTTCTGCCCCTGTGGCTTTGGAAGTGGGTTATTCCCAGGCTGAGTGAGTCACAGTGGCCTGGAATTCTCTTTTCCCTGTTTGGGAGCTCCAGGGAAAATGATGGAAACTCTCATTCTCCCCATCCATCCACCTGGGGAACCTCTGAGCCCATGGGAGGGGTGTTGAAGTGGTAAATAAAATTTTAGTGCTGGCAGGAGGTTGTCCCTGCCCAGAGGTGCTGGTGATTTTCTTGGTTTTGAAAGAGATTTGATATTGGGGAAAAATTGCCTTTTTCCAAGTGAAAATCCTGACACCCCACTCCAGATTCATTCAGATTTCCTGGAATTCTCTTTTCCCTGTTTAGGAGCTCCAGGAAAAATGATGGATCCTGTCATTCTGCCCATCCATCCACCTGGAGAACCTCTGAGCCCATGGGAGGGGGATGAACGCCTTAAATAACATTTTAGTGCCTTAAATTTAGTGCTGGCAGGAGGTTGTCCCTGCCCAGAGCTGCTGGTGATTCCCCTCCTGATTTTCTTGGTTTTGAAGGAGATTTGATATTGGGAAAATTGGCTTTTTGCAAGCAACAGCTTGGAGGGGCATGAATGCCTTAAATAAAATTTTAGTGCTGGCCAGAGGTTACTCCTGCCCTGGTGATTCCTGTCCTGATTTTCTTGGGTTTGATATTGGGAAAAATTGCCTTTTTCCAAGTGATAACCCTGACACTCCACCCCAGACCCATTCAGATTTCCCAGAATTCTCTTTTCCCTGTTTAGGAGCTCCAGGAAAAATGATGGACACTCTCACTCTGCCCATCCATCCACCTGGGGAACCTCTGAGCCCATGGGAGGGGTGTTAAAGTGTTAAATAAAATTTTAGTGCTGGCAGGAGGTTGACCCTGCCCTGGTGATTCCTGTCCTGATTTTCTTGGGTTTGATATTGGGGAAAAATTCCCTTTTTCCGAGTGAAAATCCCAGCCCTGCTCCAAAGCCACGCAGAATTCCTGGAGCAATCCTGAGCCTCGAGGGAATTGCTGGGATGGAGGGCAGGGGGGGAAAGGGCAGCGCTGACGGCCAGGCCCGGGGGAATTCAGGGAGCATTTTTGGGATGTGGAACGTGCCTGGGATCAAATCCCTGACAAGTTCCTTGGCGTGGAGCTCCAGGGCCCTTTGGCTTTGCTGGAATGTGTCTGAGGGGATGGGAACAGGAGAGGGAGAGCATAAACAGGGCTCTGACAGGGGTCAGAGATCTAAGGGGCCGAATATCCCCTGGCAGGGAGGGCTGGAAAAAGCTCCCCACCTTTCACCAAATTATTATTGTAATTATAATTATAATTAAAATTAAAATTATAATTATAATTTTATAATTTATAATATCTAGGCCTTTATATTTACATTATGAATATGAATGAATAGAAATATAATATAGAAATATATCACGTGAATATAAAAATATAAATGTACAAATATATGTTATGGAAATATACAATAGAATATAATATATAAATAGAATATGATAGATATAAAATATATAATTAATATATAATACAATATATAATTAAATAAATATATTATATAATACATAATACATAATACATAATATATAATACATAATACATAATATAAAATATATAATATATAATACACAATACACAATATATAATATAATATAATATAATATAATATAATATAATATAATATAATATAATATAATATAATATAGTATAATATAGTATAATATAATATAATATAATATATTGTATATAACTAATATATTAACATACTAATATATTAAATATAGTAAATATATACAGTATATTTACTGTATATTACTGTTTATATTATATTTGTACTGCTTTATATTTACAATATAAAGCAGTACAAATATAATATAAACATGAATAGATAACATAAACATTATACATTTGTATTATGTAAATATACACAATTTAATAAAATATAATTTAATAAAATAAATATGAATATATATATATAAAGTATGAACATAGAGAAATCAGCACATACACATATGATATAAATATATTACTTATATTTATATATTTCTATCAATGTACATTATAATTATATTATAATAAATAATAAATTTTTATAATAAATATTATAATTATATTATAATAAATCCCTAATTCTCCATTAACAGGGAGTAGAGAAAAAAAAGGCCAAGTTCCTCCATTCAGCACCAAGAAAAGGAATAATTCCCTCTCAAGGTGGAATTCCGTCCTGCGGCTTGGCAGGAGGGCAGTTTATGCCCCAGGGTTTATCCGGAGCTTTATCGGTTTATACGATCAGGTGTGAATTAACTCCGGGACGGGGAGGGGGAAAGAAGGGCAGGAAAAGCGCCAGGAACACCGGGACAAACAACCCCTGAAGGACAAACTCCCAACAGGAACAACAACAACAAAAAAAACCAAACCCAACAGAAAAACGCCTCCCTGGAAATGGCAGCCACTCCTATTTCCACTGCTGGCTCACCCCACGGACATTGTTCTCCTTCCTCTGCTTTGCCTGAGCTGGGAAAGGGCCAAAATTGGGGAAAAAAAAATTAAAAAAAAAAGAGGAAAAGAGGAAATTATTGTCGTGGAGTAATGCTGAATGTGAAATTAATTCTGATTTAGTGCTCAAATCCCAGCTGGAAGAAGGAGCCAGGGCTCCGTGGACATTGTTCCCCTCCTTCCTCTGGATTTTCCTGAGGTGGGAAAGCACCAAAAACTGGGGAAAAATAAGAGGAAAAGAGCAAATTTGTGTCCTGGAGTGAGCAATGCTGATCTAGGGAGAGAAATCTGATGGTTTCTCGGAAATTAGTCTCCTTTGGAGGGGTTGGGGAGGAGGAGAAATTCTGTTTTAGTGCTCAAATCCCTGCTGGAAAACAGGGCTGGGGTCCATGGACATTGTTCCCCTCCTTCCTCTGCATTTTCCTGAGGTGGGAAAGCACCAAAAACTGGGGGGAAAAAAGGGAAAAGGAGCAAAATTCCTGTCCTAGAGTGAGCAATGCTGATGGGAGGGAATTGTGATGGTTTCTCAGAAACCAAAGTCTCCTTTGGAGGGGTTGAGAAGGAGGAGAAATTCTGTTTTAGTGCTCAAATCCCTGGAAAACAGGGCCGGGCTCCATGGACATTGTTCTCCTCTTTTCTCTGCATTTTCCTGAGGTGGGAAAGCACCAAAAACTGGGGGTAAAAAAGGGAAAAAGAGCAAATTCTTTTCGTGGAGTAATCCTGATACAGGGAGAGAAATCTGATGGTTTCTGGGAAGTCAAAGTCTCTTTCGGAGGGGTTGGAAGGGAGGAGAAATTCAGTTTTAGTGCTCAAATCCCTGCTGGAAAACAGGGCCAGGGGGCACGGAATGGGTTTGGTTGTTTGTTGCAGCTTGGGTGGATGTTTGTGAAGGATTTTTGGGGGAAAAAAAGTGTCCCCAAGACAGAGTGGGAAGCAAAAAAACACTCCCAGAATTACACCAGAGTGAGGAAGGGAGCTCCAAATTCAGATTTTAAAGCTGAACCCCCAAACTCAGCCTTATTTACCCCAAGTAGTGGGGAGGGATGTGTGCGGGGGGGGGTGAAAATACCACTGAGGTGGTGGGAACACTCCCAAAAATACACCAGAAGGAGGGAGGGAACCCCCAAATTCAGGTTTTGATGCTGAACCCCCAAATTCACCCTTATTTACCCCAAATCATGGGGGGGGGAATGTGTGCAGGGGGGGTGTGAAAATATCACCCAGGGGGCTGAGGGAACCCCTCAGAGCCAGCTGAAGGATTCAAGGGGGTGGAAGCAGCAGAAAAGGGAAAATCCTGCCCGCATGAATCACCCCAGTTTCATCCGTACCCCAAATCCGCCCTAATTAACCCAAATTAATAGGGGAGAGTTCACTGGGGGGGGGGGGTGAAGGAGGGCAATGGAGGAGCCCCCAGGCTGCCCTGGGTGGGGAGAAGGATTCTGAGGAAGGAGGTGAAGCCTCCCCAGCCCATAGGGCCCCTCAGGGCCGCTCCCAGTGCTCCCAGTACAACGCGGCCTGTCCCAAACTGGGAACAACACCCCCGTGCCCCCCCCGCCCCAGCCTGGGAACATGACATCGTGTTCCGTGCTCGCCATTGGCCAGAGCCGCCGCCCATCCTCGCTCTCCATTGGCCTCCCGAGCTGTCACTCCGCCCCCGTCCGTCCCGCCCCCACTGAACACGCGCGGCTTTCCTTCACACGCTGTCCACGCTCCCCGGCCGCTGCTCTGATTGGTCAGTGCTGCCGTAAACAAGCCAGCGGCAGCCAATGAGCGCGCTGATCACGCGAGCAGCACGCCCGGCCACGCGCCCTCAGCGTGGAGGGCCCGGGAGCAACAGGCGCGGGCGGGGGTGGGCGGGCCCCCCGAGCCTATAAAAGGTGGAGACAGCTGCGGCTTCCTCAGAGCGCTCAGGTCCCGGGGCAGCAGCTCCTGTGGGAACTTCGCAGCGTCTCTCTAAACAAAGCCTTCGCTCCCTTTTTTCCTTTTTTTTTTTTTCTTTTTCTTTTGCCCCGGGCGGATTTTTGTTGCCCTACGGGGATAAAACCCTGCAGCCCTTACTTGATCAAACCCTTCATCCTCGTCCTACCCCAGCCATGGTGATGTTCAAGAAGGTGAAGAACTTCGCTGTGGCCTTCAGCGAGCCCGACAAGGTTTACTTCAGCGGGGACAAGGTGGCCGGGCGAGTGCTGGTGGAGGTGGCCGAGGTGACCCGTGTCACCGCCGTCAAGGTGCTGGCGTGTGGCGTGGCCAGGGTGACCTGGGCCAAGGGCCCGGCCCAGTGCCGGCAGGAGATGGAATACCTGCGCTTCGAAGACGTGCTGGCCCTTGAGGAGCAGCCCACAGGTGAGGCCATGCGGCTGGAAAAAGGGGTGAGGGTGGCCTTAAATGTTGGTTTATAAAGCCAGCCGAGCTCAGGGGTTGGTCACAGGAGGGGTGCGGTGAGGCTGGAGGGGGTAGGGGGTTTGGGAGAGGCGCAGCCTTAACGCTGCGTCTGGAGTTGGGAAAAAATAACCAAATCTAGGAAAACTTCAGCAACTTGGCCAAGCCTAGTCGAAGTTTGGGAGCTAAAGGACAAAATCAGAGCCTGGGGAGCTGCTGTGGCCTGTTGTGACTCCACAGGGGTTGGGAACATTGGTGGCACGGCCAGGATCACACCCTGGGGCTGGAGCTGGGAGATAAAAGGGGAAACTGGGGCTGGGGTGGAGCCACCGGGACGCTCTGTGCTGCCCCGGGGTGCTGGTGAGGTGAAGGGGCAGAACACGGGGTTCCCGGGTGTGCACAGGTGTTGGCCAACACCCTCGGAGCTGAGGATCACCCTGATGATCTCCCTCCCCTTTTCCTCCTCCAGATGAGGACGGCTCAGTTATCCTGAGACCCGGCAACAAGTACGAGTACAAATTCGGCTTCGAGCTGCCCCAGGGGTGAGTATGAGGCAGCAGCTGCCACTGGGGTTAAATTAAACTGGGAAAATCCATGTTTTGGCTCTGGAGTGACCTCCTGTGTGTCTCTAGGCCCCTGGGCACCACCTTCAAGGGGAAATATGGCTCTGTGGATTACTGGGTGCAGGCGTCTCTGGAGCGTCCGGCCTGCCCCACGCAGCAGATCAAGAAACGCTTCGAGGTGATGGATCCTGTGGATGTGAACACCCCAGAATTGCTGGTGAGCCCCTTTTCTCTCTCAGGGCTGGTGAGAAAAGCCCTTGGGGAGGAGGGTGAGCCCAAGCACCAGTGGTGGTTTTAATCAGATCTGGGCTGAGTTGGGATTAAGGGTGGGATTAAGGAGTTGTGGATAATTCCAGAAACTGACACTGGGTGGGGCGTGTGGTGTAGTCCAGGGCAATTCGAGGCTTGGCTGCAAAAAGGGGAAGGGGAAAAAGGAGGAAGGAAGGGTGGGAAGGACGAGATGGGGGCCGGTGTTTGACTGTTCCCTCTCCCCACAGTCTCCAGTAGCAGCCAAAAAGGAGAAGAAAGTGTCGTGCATGTTCATCCCAGATGGGCGCGTGTCCGTCAGCGCCCAGATCGACAGGAAAGGCTTCTGTGAAGGTGAGGATTGCTGGGAGCAGGGAACTGGAGCGGGGGAAGCAGCGAGGGAACCCCAAACACCTTTAACCAGTGGGGATTTCCCTTGGCAGGTGACGAAATCTGCATTAACGCCGACTTTGAGAACACCTGCTCGCGCATCGTGGTGCCCAAGGCGGCCATCGTGGCCAAGCACACCTACCTGGCCAACGGGCAGACCAAGGTGTTCTCCCAGAAACTCTCCTGTGTCCGTGGCAACCACATCATCTCCGGCACCTCAGAGTCCTGGCGTGGCAAAACCATCCGTGTGAGGAAGCTCAAGCCTTCCATCCTGGGCTGCAACATCCTCAGGGTGGAATATTTCCTGCAGGTGAGTTCCCATCTTCTGCTCCCACCTCTGGGGGATCTTTCTGGGGTTTTGTTTTATAGATATCTAAATTTTCTAAATTTTGGGGTTGGTTTTTTTTGTGTGTTTTTGGCAGATTTATGTCAGCGTGCCAGGCTCCAAGAAAATCATCCTGGAGCTGCCCCTGGTGATCGGGAGCCGCTCGGGCATCGGCAGCCGCAGCTCCAGCATGGCCAGTCAGACCAGCTCCGAGATGAGCTGGGTGGACCTGAACCTCCCCGACGCTCCTGAGGGTGAGCAGGGCGGGGTTGGGATGCACAGGGCGGGATTGGGATGCACAGGGCGGGGTTGGGATGCACAGGGCGGGATTGGGATGCACAGGGCGGGATTGGGATGCACAGGGCGGGATTGGGATGCACAGGGCGGGATTGGGATGCACAGGGTGGGATTGGAATGCACAGGGTGGGATTGGGATGCACAGGGTGGGATTGGGATGCACAGGGTGGGATTGGGATGCACAGGGAGGGATTGGGATGCACAGGGTGGGATTGGGATGCACAGGGTGGGATTGGGATGCACAGGGTGGGATTGGGATGCACAGGGTGGGATCCCCTCTCTTTGCTGGGCTCAGTGTGTGGATCCCGAGCTCACCGGCTCCTCCCCGCAGCTCCCCCGTGCTACCTGGACATCGTTCCCGAGGATCACCGCCTGGAGAGCCCCACCACGCCCCTGCTGGACGATCCCGACGGCTTCGACAGCCCCATCTTCATGTACGCTCCCGAGTTCAAGTTCATGCCTCCCCCGACCTACACGGAGGTGAGCGCGGCGGCAGCGCCAGGGCAGGGACCGGGCGGAGCCGGGGGCGCCTGCCCGGGTTCCTCACCCTCCTCCCGCTCCCAGGTGGATCCCTGCGTGTCCAACAACAACAACAACGCCAACAACGCCAACAACAACAACAACAACAACATCCAGTGAGCTCCACACCCGCACCCGGGGGGAGTCCGGACTCGTGTGTGTGCCACAAACCTGCAGCACAGCTGGGAGAAAGGGAAAAAGAAAAACGCCACATTCCTGAGGAGCTGCTGCATTTCCCGAGGGATTCCTGCATTGCCCGAGGGGTTCCTGCGTTTCCCGAGGGATTCCTGCATTGCCCGAGGGGTTCCTGCATTTCCCGAGGGATTCCTGCATTGCCCGAGGGATTCCTGCGTTTCCCGAGGGAATTCCTGCATTTCCCGAGGGATTCCTGCATTGCCCGCCTCAAATCTCGAGGGAAAACCCCAACCAAAATCCCTTGGAGGGGTGTGGGGGAAAGGAGGCAGATCCAGCGGGAAAAGCGCGGCTGTCGTGGTGCTCGTCCTGTCGCGACACACGCGCGACAGGCGGGGAGTTGTGGTTTTGAATGAATTCCATCCTGAATTTCGGGACTCTGGGCGCTCCCGCCGAGGGGAGAAGGGGGCGCTGTGACCGTGCGACATCGTCGGTCCGTCCTGTCGCGACACAAAGTGGGTGTCGCGACCTTTTTCTACTCTGTTTTTTTTTTGTATATAGCGTTTGTTGGGGAGGGAGGGGTGTGTGAGGGGGGGAAGCACAAAAAATGCAAATTTTGTACTTTTTCTTGGCCCCTGGGGGGCGAAGTTTGTAATAAAGTTGTAATAAATAAATGAAATTATTCTCTTGCCTGGTGTGTGTCTCCGTGTGGGTGGGAGGATGGCAGGAATCAGGAATGGAAATTAAATTTTGATTTTCCCAATTTTTTGGGTTTTTTTTTTTTTTTAGGGGGGTTTTCTAGGAGCAGCCCTGGGAGGGATTTCCTGGTTTTTCCAAGGGGGAAAAAAAAGCAAAAAAAACCAGAAAAATAATAGAAGGAGGGGAAACTGAGGCACAGAGAGATTAAAACAGGCAGAGTGGGGAAACTGAGGCAGGGCAGTATTCCTGCTTTTTTTCTTTTTTCTGGGGGGGCTTTTGGGGTTTTTCTGGGTTTTTTTTTCAGAGGAAAAAAGCTGAGGCAAAAATAAAAAATAAAATACAAAGAAGGGAAACTGAGGCACAGAGAGATTAAAACAGGCAGAGTGGGGAAACTGAGGCAGGGCAGTATTCCTGCTTTTTTTCTTTTTTCTGTGGGGGTGTTTGGGGTTTTATTGGTTTTTTTTCAGAGGAAAAAAGCAAAAATAAAAATACAAAGAAGGGAAACTGAGGCACAGAGAGATTAAACCAGGCAGAGCGGGGAAACTGAGGCAGGGCAGCATTCCTGCTTTTTTCTGGGGGGGGCTTTTGGGGTTTTACTGTTTTTTTTCAGAAGAAAATAGCAAAAAAAAAGCTGAGCCAAAAATAAAAAATAAAATACAAAGAAGGGAAACTGAGGCACGGAGAGATTAAACCAGGCAGAGTGGGGGAAACTGAGGCAGGCACGGGGCCGTTCCCGCTTCTCCTGCCTTTTTTAGGCCCTGCCGGAGCAGCCCGGGCTCGCTTTGGGGATGTGGGTGAGAGGCTGAGGTGCCCCACACCGGGGCCACGGCCTTGGCTCCGCTCCCTGCCCTTTCTCCCACTTGGAGCCCCCAAAATTCCTGTGCTGGGCCCTCCCCGTTTTCCAGTTTTATCCCAGGGTTTTTTTTTTTTTAATGGAATTTGAGCCATTCTGGTCCCCGGCCAAGGAGGGAAAAGGGCAGCCCTGCTCCGGGCCAGGATGGGCTGGGCTGAGAGGGGAGGCACAGAGAGCCCAGAAATCGGGGAGATGATCACAGAAAGTCCAAAAAAATCAGGGAAATGATCACAGAAAGACCAAAAAAATCAGAGAAATGATCCCAGAAAGACCAAAAAAATCAGGGAGATGCTCACAGAAAGCCCCAAAAATGAGGTAGATGCTCCCAGAGAGCCCCAAAAATGAGGGAGATGATCCCAGAAAGTCCAAAAAATCAGGGAGATGATCACAGAAAACCCCAAACAATCAGGGAGATGGTCCCAGAGAGCCCCAAAAATCAGGGAGATGATCCCAGAAAGCCCAAAAAAATCAGGGAGATGCTCACAGAGAGCCCCAAAAATCAGGGAGACACTCCAAGACAGACCAAAAAATTAGGGAGACGAGTCCAGAAAGCCCCAAAAATCAGGGAGATGATCCCAGACAGACCAAAAAATTAAGGAGATGATGCCAGAAAGCCCAAAAATCAGGGAGATGCTTCCAGAAAGCCCCAAGAAATCAGGGAAATGATCCCAGAAAGCCCCAAAAATCAGGGAGATGCTTCCAGACAGACCAGGACCCCCCAGAAAAATTAGGGATACAGAGCAAGGCCCCCCCCCCAAAAATTAGGGGAGACAGTCCCAGTCCCCCAGTGGTCACCCCACCCCCTGAAATTGTTGATTTTCCTCACCTAAAATTGTTGATTTTTCCCCTGAAATTGCTGATTTTCCCCATTAAATTGTTGATTTTTCCCCCCTAAAATTGTTGATTTTTCCCCCTGAAATTGCTGATTTCCCCCTTAAAATTGTTGATTTTTCCCCCCTAAAATTGTTGATTTTCCCCCTAAAATTGTTGATTTTCCCTCTGAAATTGTCGATTTTTCCCCCCATAAAATTGTTGATTTTTTCCCCCTAAAATTGTTGCTCTTCCCCCCATAAAATTGCTGCTTTTCCCCCCTGAAATTGTTGATTTTTTTCCCCCTAAAATTGCTGATTTCCCCCATAAAATTGTTGCTTTTCCCCCTAAAATTATTGATTTTTTTCCCCCTAAAATTGTTGATTTTTCCTCCTAAAATTGTTGCTCTTCCCCCCATAAAACTGTTGATTTTTCCCCCTGAAATTGATGATTTTTCCCCCTGAAATTGCTGATTTTCCCCCCCTGAAATTGTCGGTTTTTCCCCCCATAAAACTGTTGCTTTCCCCCTAAAATTGTTGATTTTCCCCCTGAAATTGTTGATTTTTTCCCCCTGGAATTGTTGATTTTCCCCCTTAAAATTATTGATTTTTTCCCCCCCTGAAATTGTTGCTTTTCCCCCCTAAATTTGTTGATTTTTCCCCCTAAAATTGCTGATTTTCCCTCTGAAATTGTCGATTTTCCCCCCCAAAAGCCTCCCCCAGCATCCCCACCCCAGGGCCTGAACTCTGCCCCCCTCCTCCCCATTTTACAGCCCTAATTAAACCAATTAAGGCCATAACCTTCCCTCATTATCCCCGTGGGTGCTGGGGCAGCTTTGGGGGGGTTCATCCTGACCCTCCCTGGGTTTTTTTGGGGTGCCCCCATTGTTTGGGAGCACTGGGGGCAGAATTTGGGGTGGGATCCGAGGGGATTTGGGCCCCTTGCCCAGCCCCAAATCCTTCTCCAGCTTTGTGGGGCAAACCCCACCTTAAAAATTACAGATTTTTGCCTGGAAAAGAGGAAAAAAAAAGGGGTAAAAAAGGGGTTTGGGAGCAGCTGGAAGTTGCTGGAATGTTCTGGAATGTTGGTGGCCACAAACAGGAACTGGAGAGGGAGGGGGGACCCGCATGTGACACTGGTGTGAGCAGCCCTGAGGCACAAACAAAGCCCAGAGCGAGAGAAAACCGCTCCTTGCTGCTTAAAAACCAACATGAAACTGCCCCAAAACTCCTCAGCCCCGCCCCAAAATATTTATTTTATTATGAAATAATATTCCTGCCCCAACACACCAAAAGAAGATGTCAGGGCACCCCAAAAAATGGCTCTGTCCAACCAAAAAATGGCTCAATCCCCCCTAAAAAATGGCTCAGTCCAACCAAAAAATGGCTCTGTCCCCCCACCAAAAAATGGCTCAGTCCAACCAAAAAATGGCTCAGTCCCACCAAAAAATGGCTCAGTCCCCCACCAAAAAATGGCTCAGTCCCCACCAAAAAATGGTTCTGTCCCCCCCCAAAAAATGGCTCTGTCACCCCAAAAAATGGCTCAGTCCCACCAAAAAATGGCTCAGTCCAACCAAAAAATGGCTCAGTCCCCACCCAAAAAATGGCTCAGACCCCCCCCAAAAAATGGCTCTGTCCAACCAAAAAATGGCTCAGACCCCCCAAAAAATGGCTCTGTCCCCCCCTAAAAAATGGCTCTGTCCCCCCCCAAAAAATGGCTCTGTCCCCACCCCAAAAAATGGCTCAGTCCCCACCCCAAAAAATGACTCTGTCCAACCCAAAAAATGGCTCAGTCCCCCCCCAAAAAATGGCTCAGTCCCCCCAAAAAATGGCTCTGTCCCCCCCCAAAAAATGGCTCTGTCCAACCAAAAAATGGCTCTGTCCCCCCCCAAAAAATGGCTCTGTCCCGCCACCAAAAAATGGCTCTGTCCCCCCCCAAAAAATGGCTCTGTCCCGCCACCAAAAAATGGCTCAGTCCCCCACCAAAAAATGGCTCTGTCCCCCCCTAAAAAATGGCTCTGTCCAACCAAAAAATGGCTCTGTCACCCCAAAAAATGGCTCAGTCCAACCAAAAAATGGCTCAGTCCCCCCCCAAAAAATGGCTCAGTCCCCCCCCAAAAATGGGCTCAGTCCCCCCCCAAAAAATGGCTCAGTCCCCCCCCAAAAAATCCACGTTTTCTCACATCCCTGAAAAAACAAAACAAATTTGCTTTTTCCTCCCCCAAAATCCACCTCATCGCCTAAACCCCTAAATGTATTATTTGAAAAATTACACCTTCACTTTTTGCCCCTTCCAAGTTTCCCACAATAAATCACTTTGCTCCCTCAAAAGTACCCAAAATGTATTTTTCCCTCCCCAAAAATACGTTTTTTACCCCCCAAAAGACATCTTGACCCACATGAAGTTACCTTTCCCTGCCCAAAACTCCACCTTTACTCCCCAAAAATCCACCTTGCCACCCCAAAAAATACCCTTTTCCCCCTAAAAAAACCTTTATGTCCCAAAACCCACTTTTTTCACCCCAATAAAGCACCTTCCCCTCCCAAATAAAACATTTCCTCCCAAATACCACCTTTTTTTTCTTCATAAAACACATTTTCCATCACAAAAAACCCCCACATTTCATCCCCCCCAAACCCCTTTGCCCATTTTAATCCCTCTGAGCCCTCGGTAACCCCCTTGTCCCCCCCTCCGTGCAAAAAAACAGCAAGAACGGAGCCAGAAATAGCAAAAATCCTTTAAAATTCACACAAAATCCACCCAAAAAAGCCCCAAAATTTGGGGGGTCCCGGCCCCGCCAGCGGGCCTGGAGCACCGGCGCCACCTGGTGGTGACAAAGGGAATGACAGGACAAGGGGGACACCAATGTCCCCAAGGGGGGGACGGGGACCCCAATGTCCCCCCAGTGTCCCCAAGGGGACCCCAATGTCCCCAAGGGGTATCAGGGTGTCCCCTGGGGAGGTGAGGGCAGCCCTGCAGTGCCAGGGCTGTGGGGCAGTGCCCGTTTTGGGGTTTGCCCCCTCTGGGGGTGCCCTTTTTTGGGGTCAGTGCCCATTTCGGGGGTCAGTGCCCGTTTTTGGGGTCAGTGCCCGTTTTTGGGGTCAGTGCCCATTTTTGGGGTGCTCATTTTAGGATCACTGCCCATTTTGGGGTACCCATTTTTAGGGTCAGTGCCCATTTTGGGGTGCCCATTTTGGGTCAGTGCCCACTTTAGGGTGCCCATTTTAGGATCACTGCCCATTTTTAGGGCCAGAGCCCATTTTTAGGGTCAGTGCCCATTTTGGGGTGCCCATTTTAGGATCAGTGCCCATTTTAGGATCACTGCCCGTTTTAGGGTCAGTTCCCATTTTGGGGTGCCCATTTTAGGACCAGTGCCCATTTTTAGGATCACTGCCCATTTTTGGGTGCCCATTTTAGGGTCAGTGCCCATTTTGGGGTGCCCATTTTTGGGGTCAGTTCCCATTTTGGGGTGCCCATTTTGGGGTGCCCATTTTAGGATCACTGCCCATTTTGGGGTGCCCATTTTAGGGTCAGTTCCCGTTTTGGGGTCAGTGCCCAGTTTTAGGGTCAGTGCCCATTTTTGGGTGCCCATTTTAGGATCAGTTCCCGTTTTGGGGTCAGTGCCCATTTTGGGGTGCCCATTTTAGGATCACTGCCCATTTTTGGGTGCCCATTTTAGGGTCAGTTCCCGTTTTGGGGTCAGTGCCCATTTTTAGGGTCAGTGCCCATTTTGGGGTGCCCATTTTAGGGTCAGTTCCCATTTTTAGGGCCAGAGCCCATTTTTGGGGTCAGTACACGGCCTCGTCGCCGTTGTCGTCGCTGTCGGGCCCGAAGCTCTCGCCGTTGTCGAAGTAGGACAGGACGTAGTCGGTCTCCTGGGGGGACACAGGGGACACGGGTGGCACCTGGGGACCCCTGAGCCCCCACACCCCTCAGGTCCTCCCCTTCCTCACCTCTTCGTGCTCCTCCTCATCGTACTCCTCCTCCTCCTCCTCCTTTCCTTCTTCTTCCTCCTCCTTCTCCTCTTCCTCCTCTGATGTCACCTCCTCCTCCTTCTTCTCCAGGCTCTGAGAGGGGACAAAAAAACCCCAAATCCACCCACTGGGGCCACCCCTGTGGAATTCACCTTGGCTGGAAAAATCTCCTCAATTTTCTCTGATAAAATCCAAGGATTTTTCACCTGGGAAGCTGAGAAACCTCAGGAAAATGAAAACAATTCTTGTCTCGTTTGCTTCTCCTGTGTTTTGCTCATGTGGGATAAATTTGGAGATTCTTTGATTGGATTCTGCTGTGAGTTGTTTTGAATAATTGGCCAATTAGTGCCAAACTGGGACAAGACTCTGGAAAGAGTCACAACTTTTCATTATTATTTTTTTTCATTATTATATTTTATATTTTTACGTTTATTTTTATATATTTTTATATTTATATTTATATATATTTTTATATTTTTATATTTTATCTTTTTTTTCATTATTATCTTTTTTTACTTACTTTTCAGTGAGTATCTTTTCTGTATTCTTTAGTACAGTATAATATAGTATTTTTAAATATAATATAGTAGGATAAAGTAATAAATAGTATTTTAAAGTAATAAATCAGCCTTCTGAGAATAATGGAGTCAGATTCATCATCCCTGCCTTCCTTGGGACATTCTCAATAAATACCATATATGTTAGTACAGTATAGTATTTTAAAATATATTTTATATATAGTTGAATAAATTCTATTCAATTATATATATATTAGAAATGTACAGATAGAAAAATATTTATATAAAATTATAAAATATATGAATGATAAAAAGTAATAAATCAGCCTTCTGAGAACATAGTATAGTACTTTTAAATATAATGTATTATATGTATTATTATTATATTATTATGTATATTATTATTATAATGTAATAAATAGTATTTTAAAATATAATATAGTATAATAAAGTCAGAAATAGGATTTTTAAATATAATATAGTATAATAAAGTCAGAAATAGGATTTTTCAATACAATATAGTAAAATAAAGTCATAAATAGGATTTTTCAATATAATATAGTATAAGAGAGTCATAAATAGGATTTTTAAAATATAATATAGAATAATAAAGTAATAAATAGGATTTTAAAATATAATATAGTAAAATAAAGTCATAAATAGGATTTTAAAATATAATATAGTATAAGAAAGTCATAAATAGGATTTTTAAAATATAATATAGAATAATAAAGTAATAAATAGGATTTTTAAAATATAATACAGTAAAATAAAGTAATAAATAGGATTTTTCAATATAATTTAGTAAAATAAAGTCATAAATAGGATTTTTAAATATAATATAGTATAAAAGTCAGAAATAGGATTTTTCAATATAATTTAGTATAATAAAGTCATAAATAGGATTTTTCAATATAATTTAGTATACTAAAGTCATAAATAGGATTTTTCAATATAATTTCGTATACTAAAGTCAGAAATAGGATTTTTCAGTATAATTTAGTATACTAAAGTCATAAATAGGATTTTTAAAATATAATACAGTAAAATAAAGTCATAAATAGCATTTTTCAGTATAATTTAGTATACCAAAGTCATAAATCAGCCTGCTGAGAGCACGGAGTCGGATCCAGCGCCCCTTCCCTCATCCCTGCAAACACAACAGCCCCAGGCTCACCTCCAGCTTCTTGATGGCCTCCTCCTTGTCCAGGGCCAGCTGCTGCTTGGGGACAGGGCCAGGGGTGCCTGGGGGGGCACAGGGCGCTGTCACCCCCCCCCCAGGGGACAGTGGGGACACTCAGGGAGGGGCAGGGCGGGGTCACTCACGGCCTCGGCGCGGCCGCCGCACGCGGATCCTCAGCTCCCGCGGGAGCCGCCGCCAGTCTGGGGGGGCAAAGATGGGGTTGGGGGGACCCCAAAAAGCTCCAGGCGCCCCTCAGGGCCCCCCCGTGTCCCCAGCAGGGCCCCCCCGTGTCCCCAGCAGGGCCCCCCTGTGTCACCCACCTGGGTTCCAGTCGATGGCGTTGTCCACGGGGCTGGAGAGCTGGTACTTGTCCGAGTAGCGCTCGATGTCTGCGGGGGCACGCGGGGATGTTTTGGGGACATTTTGGGGGATTTAGGGACATTTTGGGGGATTTGGGGGCACTCTGGGGGGATTTGGGGACATTTGATTTGGGGACACCCAGCCCCGGGGACACCCGTGGGAGGACACACATGGGGATGGTTGATGGGGGAATAAAATGGAGGGGATAAATAATGGGAATAAAAGGGGAATAAAATTTGGGGGGGGGATAAAATGGGGCAAATAAAATGGGAAAATGGGGGAAGAAAATGAGGGGGATAAAATGGGGGGGATAAATAAGGGAATAAAAGGGGAATAAAATGGGGGGGGATAAAATGGGGCAAATAAAACAGGGGAAGAAAGTGAGGGGGATAAAATGGGGGGGGATAAATAATGGCAATAAAAGGGGAATAAAATGGGGAGGGGGGGATAAAATGGGGCAAATAAAATGGGAAAATGGGGGAAGAAAATGAGGAGGATAAAATGGGGGGGGATAAATAATGGGAATAAAAGGGGAATAAAATGGGGAGGGGGGAATAAAATGGGGCAAATAAAACGGGGGAAGAAAATGAGGGGGATAAAATGGGGGGGGATAAATAATGGGAATAAAATGAGGGGAATAAAAAGGGAATGAAATGGGAGAGGATAAAATAGCGGGGGGTATGAAATGGGGGCAATGAAAGGAGGGGAATAAATACTGGGAATAAAAAAACGGGGGGGATAAAATGGGGAGAACAAAAAATGGAAGGAATTCAGTGGGGGTTATAAAACAGGGGGATAAAATGAGGGGGATAAATAATGGGGGGAATAAAATGGGGGGGGGAGATAAAATGGGGGGGAAATAAAATGGGGGGGAAATAAAATGGGGCAAATAAAATGGGGGGATACAATGAGGGGAATACACTGGGGGGGGATAAAACGGGGAATAAATACTGGGGAAATAAAATGGGGGGGGAATAAATACTGGGGAAATAAAATGGGGGGGGAATAAATAATGGGGAAATAAAATGGGGGGGGAATAAATACTGGGGAAATAAAATGGGGGGGGAATAAATAATGGGGAAATAAAATGGGGGGGGAATAAAATGGGGAAGGATAAAATGGGGGGGGGGGATAAAATGGGGGGCAATAAATAATGGGAATAAAATGGGAATGGAATGGGGGGAATGGAATGAAATGGAGGGGACTGAGGGCTGCGGGTGAGCTCTGGAGCTGCAGATTGGGACGAGCCCCGGCCCCAACCCCTCCCTGCCCCGGGGCACCGCAGGGCGGGCCCGGTGCCGGTGCCGCCGGTGCCGCCGGTGCTGCCGGTGCTGCCGGTACCTCTGCGGGGCGCCCCCGGTTTGACGAAGTACGGGAGCCCCTTCATGGCCCGGCGCAGCTCCTGCTTCAGGGCCAGCATGTACTCGCCCTCCTCGCCCCCGGGCAGGGGCGCGGCGCGGCGCTCCAGCACCTGCGGCACCCAGGGGAGGGAAAACAATGGGGTAAAACCACGGGATTCTGGCAAATCCTGAAATGAGGGTGGTGCGCTGTGGCAGAACGCGGTGCTGTGCTCATTCCCTTAGGTAGCGTGTTCTAGGTTTTATATATGTATATGTAAAATTAAAAAAAAAGTTATATATAATATTATAATATATAATAATAATATCTTATATAATAATATCTTATTATAATACGTGATATATATAATATACATTATATAATATATAATGATATAATTATATATGTATTATATCATAGATATATGCATAAAGTATATACATATATATTATATAATATAGACATTGTATATAATATATATTATATAATGATATAAGTATTATATCATAGATATATGCATAAAGTATATACATACATATGATATAATATAGACATTGTATATAATATATATTATATAATGATATAAGTATTATATCATAGATATATGCATAAAGTATATACATACGTATGATATAATATAGACATTTTATATAATATATATTATATAATGATATAAGTATTATATCATAGATATATGCATAAAGTATATACATATATATTATATAATATAGACATTGTATATAATATATATTATATAATGATATAAGTATTATATCATAGATATATGCATAAAGTATATACATACATATGATATAATATAGACATTGTCTATAATATATATTATATATAATACACAATAATATAATATTATATGTTACAATAATATACTATAGAGGATATATTATATATGTCATGTAACAATATAATAATATATTACATGTATTATTTATATATATATAATATATATTTTATATATATATATCCTAAAACCCGCAACTTAAGAAAATTAACACAGCATCACTTTCTAACATGACATGTATAGTATTCATTTTGATATTTGCCAAAAGCCAATCATAAAATACTTATTATAAATTAGGTTTTTTTATATATATATAGCTTATCATACTTATTATAAATTAGTATATGTATATATATATATCCTAAATCTAAAACAAATCTATATCTATATATATATATAACCTAATCCAAATTTTTATTACTCTAATTATATTGCTGTCTTTGTAGCACTATAATTATATAATTTCATTATTATTTATTAGTAGTACTTATTAGTATTATATTATAGTATATTATATTATATTATGATACTATTTATTGTTAGTATTTATTAGTATTATATTGTTTATTATATTTTCATTATACTATTACATAATATTTATTAATACTGATCATTATTTTACTTAATATATTGTATTATTATTACTACTACTACTACTACTACTACTACTACTACTATTATTACTATTATCATCATCATCATCATCACTATTAAACTTTTAAAATTTTAAAACCCAACTGATTGGCGTTTTTCCCCCCCGGGGATGCCCGAATTACCGGGGACTCACCGGGAAGAGCGGCGAGGGCTGCAGTGTGGGCGGCGGCAGCGCGTCCCCCTTCCCGATGCCCACGGCTTCCACGTTAAACGTCATCTGCCCCCGGCCCCGGCCGCGGCCCCGGCCCGCCATCCCGACCCTGGGGACAACGGGGACACATCTTCAACCTCCAAAAAAATCACATTTCATCCCTCCCCAAAACCGCTTTGCCCATTTTAATCCCTCTTAGCCCTCGGTAACCGCCTTATCCAACCCCTCTCCGTGCAAAAATCAGCAAGAACGGAGCCAGAATAGCAAAAATCCTTTAAAATTCACACCAAATCCACCCAAAAAAGCCCCAAAATTTGGGGACCCCCAATCCGGGCCTGGAGCACCGGCGCCACCTGGTGGTGACAAAGGGAATGACAGGACAAGGGGGACACCATTGTCCCCAAGGGGGGGACAGGGACCCCAATGTCCCCAATGTCCCCAGTGTTCCCAAGGGGGCCATCGCCGTTTTGCCCGGTGCCGGTGATGCCCCAAGTGCCGCTGCCCACCTCGGTTTGCCCCTCGGTCCGGTCCCGGGGCCTCTCTCACTCACCCGGTCCCGGTTATCCCCGGTGTCGCTTCTTTCCCCTCCCCAAACCTGCTGCCGGTGCTGACCCCAGTCCCGGTGAATCCCCCCGGTTCCCGCTCCACATCCTTGTCCCGGACCCCGTCTCTGTGCACCACCCAGTCCCGATGGCCTCCCCCGCTGGCTCCCGGTCTCGGTCCCCGTTTCCATCCCCATTCCTGGGTGTTCCCGGTGGCCCTCCCGCTCCCGGTATCCCCTCGTACCCCGGTCCCGGTGCCGATATCCCCTCGTACCCTGCTTCCGGTCCCGATATCGCCTCGTAGCCCGGTCCCGGTCCCGGTGTCCCCTCGTACCCCGGTCCCGCTCCCGCTCTGCGCAAGCGCAGTCGCTCCCCACGTGCGCGCGGCCGCCGTGGCCCCGCCCCGCGCAGAGGGGGCGGAGCTTGGGCGTAACCCCCGCGTTGATTGGCGGGTCAGGATGAGGGGCGGGGCTTAGAAGGGGATCACCGGAGGGGGCGGGGCCGGGGGCGCGGGGTGGGAACGGGGAGGATCAAAAAGGGGGATGAAAAATAGATGAAAAATGGATGAAAAATGGGTGAAAAACGGATGAAAAGGGGTTGAAAAGGGGCTGAAAAGGGGATGAAAAGGGGATTAAAAGGTCCCTGAGCCCCCCACGCCCGGACCCCCCAGCCCCTCTGCCCTGGGGTAGCTCAGGCCCCGGGTGCTGGTGCCACCCCAGCCCTGCCATGCTGTGCCCCCCAGTCCCGCTCCCCACTGCCCCCAGCCCCACTGTAGGAACCTCCAGGCCCGCTGCACCCCTGGCCTCCCCCAATTTCCGATGCTCCAGGGTCCTCAGCGCCCCCCATCCCCGCTGCCCCTCGCTCCTGCTGGGCTGTGCCCCCCGGTGCCGCTGCCCCACGGGCCCCCGAGAGCCCCCGGTGCCCCCCAAGCCCTGATCCCCCCCCGTCACTCCCACGCAGGGCCGGGCGCTGGATGCGCCGTGGGTGATTCATCCTGCTCCAGCCCCCCCCCGCGCCGACAGCAGCCAAAAATAGCGCTGCGGGAGGGGGGGGACCCTCCACATCACCTCCCGCCCCCCCGCCTCACCGGCGGCTGGCCGGGATGGCGGCCACGGGCCGCTGTCCCCGACAGCCCCAGCCCCGGGGCCGCGGGAACCGGGACCAGGGACCCCAGGCTCCGGTCGGCACGGTAAAACGGGGATGGAGAGGGGCGGGATGGGGGGGTCCCCGATGAGAGCGGGGGGGGGGTGAGGGGACAGCCCCCAGGCCCCGGGGGTGTCTCACGGAGGGGACCGGGAGGATTTTCCCCCGTTTTCCCGGCTGGTCGGAGCGGGATGAGCGGCTGTCGCCATGGGAACCGGGCGGGCAGGGATGGGAAGGATGGGGGTACGGGCAGGGATCGGGGTACCGGGAAGGATGGGGGTACGGGCAGGGATCAGGGTACCGGTGGGGATGGGGTGTGGGCAGGGATCGGGGGTACCGGCAGGAATGGGGTGTGGGCAGGGGAAGCAGGTGAGGCAAAGGGAGGAGAGGGAGGAGGATGAGGAGGGGGCGCAGGAAGGCATTTGAAGAATGGGGTTTGGGGGTGCGGGCAGGGCGGGGGGGGGGGACACAGCCTGGCGAGCTCGGGACCCCTCCTTTGCTGGGGAAACTGAGGCAGGGAGAGGGGACACCCCGTGCTGGGGGACTTGGGGGGGTCTCACTGCACCCTCTCCCCTCTCAGTGAGCGAGTTCCGCCCCCGTCCCCCCTGAGCCCGGCCATGCCCAGCGCCGCGGTACCACCGGGGGGGCTCCCCATGATCCCGGCCGAGGGTTCGGCGCTGCTCCGCGCCGTCTCCCAAGGGAAATTCCGCCTGACCCGCCTGCTGCTCGAAGGGGGAGCCTACATCAACGAGGGCAACGCGGCGGGCACCACGCCGCTGATGGCAGCGTGCAGGGCCGGCTACGCCGAACCCCCCGAGCAGCCGCGGATGGTTCAGTACCTCCTGGAGAACGGCGCCGACCCCAACATCCCCGACAAAGCCGGCAGAACGGCGCTGATGCACGCGTGTGCCGAGCGAGCCGGCCCCGCCGTGGTCGCCACTTTGCTGGCCCACGGCGCCGACCCCAGCGCCCGGGATTACGGCGGGGGCTCGGCGCTGGTTTATGCCCTGGAGCGGGGGGACCGGGAGACGCTGCAGGTGCTGCTGGACGCGTGTCGGGAGCGAGGGCGCGATGTCATCATCATCACCTCGGCCACGTCGCCGCGAGGCACCAAGACCACCCGGCAGTACCTGAACTCGCCCCCGTCGCCCGCCCTGTGCGCGTCCCCGTCGCAGGTGCAGGTGCGGGCGGCGGCGTCGCCGCCGGGGGCCGGCGGGAGGGATGAGGAGCGCGATGTGTTCCGCTTTCCTCCCGCCGCTCCCGCCGCTCCAGAGCCGTCCCGGGCCGGGCCCAAGCGGCAGCTGAAGAGGCTGAACTCGGAGCCGTGGGGGCTGGCGGTGCCGGGCGTGGAGGGGATGCGCGGGGGACACTCGGAGGGAAGCGCGGAGGGGACACAGGGACCCCCAGAGGGAGCACGGAGAGCTTTAGATGAGATATGGGGAGCCCCGGAGGGGACACGGGGACCCTCGCAAGGGTCGTGGGGTTCTCCTGAGGGGTCCTTAGAGGGGACACCGGGCCCCCCGGAGCAGCTGGCAGCAGGGCTGGAGGGGCTGCGGCTGCGGCCTCGCCGCCACAGCGTGGAGGGACGCGAGGGCTCGGGGCTGCCCGGAGCCACCTGGGCAGAACGGGTGCCCCCCGCGCCAGCCCCGGGCCGTTGGGTTCCCGATCCTCCTCCACGGGGCAAACCCCTACGACGGGAGCCGCCCAACGCCGAGCTCGGCCCCGCTGCCGGGCCGCTGCGGCAGCCGGCGGGGCTGCTGGAGCGCCGGGGCTCCGGAACGTTCCCCCCGGAGCCTCCGGGCAGGGCGGGGCTGCTGCCGCCGCTGCCGCCCCGGGCGCTGCTCCGCCGCCACTCCATGCAGCCGGAGGCTCTACGGCACCTCGGGGCCTTCTGCGGGGGGCTGGGAGCCGAGCCTGGCTCGTAGGGACCCCTCCCCAGGGTTCTGGAGACCCCCAAACCCCCCATCAAGGCCAGGAGCCCTTGGGGAAAGCCTCGCCCTGCTCTGGACCCTGCTGAGGGTCAGCTCCTCCATCCCTCTGTCGGCACAAACTCTGCACGAGCCCGAATTTGGGGAGCTGGTGGGTGCACCCCAACTGCCAGGGTCCCCCCAGGGTCCCCCTCCTGCTCCTGCCTCATCCTCCCAGCAGCTTTTTCCCCCAGGGTCTGGTATTAAAGGCCCCAGTGTAGCTCAGTGGCTGTGAGTGAGGGGTGCTGGGCACATCAGTGGGATTGGGTGCACAGCTGTTGCATCCCAATGGCAGTTTTAAGGGGAAAAAATGGGGTTTTTTTTAAGATTGTTCTACTGCCAGGCTGGGAGGGATTCCCAGGATCCTTGGGGATCCAGCAGCTTGGATGGAGAGGGATTTTAGGGAAAGGGGTTTGGGAGCTTTGATGAAGGACAAAGAACAAGAAGACAAACTTAGACAAAATCTTGTTATTTGACACAAAACAAGGAATGCCCAGTGGGATAAATACCATGGGAGATTTAGGAACCATTTGCCTGGAGCATGAAAAAAAAAACCTCCCAGGATATTCTGGGATGGGGAGCTGGGAGGGATCCCCCCCAAAACCCAAGGGAAATCCCCCCCAACCCTCAGAAACTGCTGCTTCCCTCATACTTGTCCTTTGAAAACAATAAAATTCCATAAAACCCACATTTCCCCAGGGGAATGGAGCTGGTTTGGCTCCTCCAGGCTGTGTACAGAGCCCAGTTTTCCCAGTTTCCCACCAGTTTGGAGGTGGAACATCAATGGGAGGAGGTTTGGATCCATCATCGGCGGCGCCGGTCCGGACTGCGGCTCCGCCGGCGCCCGCCCCTGGAAAAGAGGGAAAAGTGAGGAAGGGAAAGGGGAAAAAAAGGGGAAAAGGGGTAAAAAATATAAGGGAAAAAAGGGTAAGGGAATGGGGAATGTAAAGGGAGAAACGGGGAAAGGGAAGGGGAGAAAAGAGGAAATGGGGGAAAGGGAAAAGGAGATATGAGAATGAGGAATGTAAAGGGGGAAAGGGAAGGAAAGGGGAGGAAAGAGGAAAAAGGCAGGGAAAAGAGGAAATGAGAGGGAAAAGGGTACAGGAAATGGGGGAAAGAAGAAGGAAAAGGGTAGAGGAAATGGGGGAAAAGGGGGGAAAATTGTACAGGAAATAGGGGAAAGGGAAAAGAAAAGGGGAATAGGAAATGGGGGAAAGGAAAGGGAAAAGGGAATGAAAAAGGTACAAGAAATATGGGAAAGGAGAGGGAAAAGGGTACAGGAAATGGGGGAAAAGGGTACAGGAAATAGGGGAAAAGGATGGGAAAGGAGAAAGGGCACAAGAAATGGGGAAAAGGAAAGGAAAAATGGGAGGAAAAAGGTACAAGACATATGGGAAAGGAGAGGGAAAAGGGTAGGGGAAATGGGGGAAAAGGAGGGAAAAGGGTACAGGAAATGGGGGAAAGGAATGGGAAAAGGGTACAGGAAATGGGGGAAAAGAAAGGGAAAAGGAAGGGAAAAGGTACAAGAAATATGAGAAAGGAGAGGGAAAAGGGTACAGGAAATGGGGGAAAAGAAAGGGAAAAGGGAGGGAAAAGGGGACAGGAAATGGGGGAGAGGAGGGGGAAGGAAGGAGTCCAGGAGAGGAACATTTTGGGGTATTTTTGGGGCATTTATCCCTATTTTAACCCCGCCACCCCCATAATGGGGCACGGAACTCCCCCATTGCCCTCACCGAGGGAAATCCCACAATTCCCTCCCGTTGCCAGCCCCTGGAATTGCCAGGAATCCCCTGGAATTGCCAGGAGCTCCCTCACCTCCTCTTGCCCTTGGGAGGGCCCCTCACAAAGCACCAGTCCACGCTGACCGGCTGCCCCATCAGCTCCTGCCCGTTGAGCCCCTCCATGGCCGCCTGCGCCTCCTTGTACGTCTCGTACTCCACCAGCGTGTAACCCTGGAGTAGGAAGGGCTCAGGAGTGGGGTTGGGAACACACAGACACCAGGGGAACGCAGCTTTGGGGTGAACAGACCCCCCTGGCAGCCCAGGTTTAGGATTGGGAATGAGACAGATCCAGGGGAACTCAAATTTGGGGTGCTCAGACCCCCTGGCACTCCAGGTTTAGAATTGGGAATGACTCCAGGCACTGGGAACCCCAAGCTCGCTCTGGGGTTAGGATTGGGAATGAGCCCAGGCACCATGGGAACTCAAATTTGGGGTGCACAGACCCCCCCAACACCCCAGGTTTAGGATTGGGAAAGAGCCCAGGTCAGGTTTGGGGTGCACAGATGCCCTGGCAGCCCAGGTTTAGGATTGGGAATGAGACAGATCCAGGGGAACTCAAATTTGGGGTGCTCAGACCCCCCAAGACCCCAGGTTTAGGATTGGGAAAGAGCCCAGGTCAGGTTTGGGGTGCACAGACCCCCCAACACCCCAGGTTTAGGATTGGGAATGAGACAGATCCAGGGGAACTCAAATTTGGGGTGCACAGACCCCCTGACACCCCCAATTTAGGATTGGGAATGAGCCCAGACACCATGGGAACTCAAATTTGGGGTGCACAGACACCCCCAAGACCCCAGGTTTAGGATTGGGAATGACACAGACACCAGGGGAATGCAGCTTTGGGGTGAACAGTCCCCTTGACACCCCCAGTTTAGGACTGGGAATGACACAGACACCATGGGAACTCAAATTTGGGGTGCACAGACCCCCTGACACCCCCAATTTAGGATTGGGAATGAGAGAGACACCAGGGGAACTCAAATTTGGGGTGCTCAGACCCCCCCAACACCCCAGGTTTAGGATTGGGAAAGAGCCCAGGTCAGGTTTGGGGTGCACAGACCCCCTGGCACTCCAGGTTTAAGACTGGGAATGACACAGACACCATGGGAACTCAAATTTGGGGTGCACAGACCCCCTGACACCCCCAATTTAGGATTGGGAATGAGCCCAGACACCAGGGGAACTCAAATTTGGGGTGCTCAGACCCCCTGACACCCCAAGTTTAGGACTGGGAATGCCCCCAGGCATTGGGGGATCCCAGCTCCCAGCCCAACTCCCAGCTCAGTTTTGGGGTGCAGGAAGCTCCCCATAAATCAATTTGGAGCTGCAGATACTCCCATAACCCCCAGAATTGGGGTGCACCTCCCACCCTGGAGCTTGGGGGGGTCCCCAAAAGTGCCCCCTCCTGACCTTGAGGTACCCAGTGCGCCGGTCCAGGTTCAGGTGGATGTTTTTGATCTCCCCAAATTCAGCAAATCTGTCGTGCACGTCCTCCTCGGTGGCCTCCTCGTGCACCCCTGTCACAAAGAGGATCCAGCCCTCCACGGCTGGGCAGGAAAATTGGGGGGTCACAAGGCTGGGAATGAAGATTTGCCCCCCAGAAAATCCATGGAGCTTCCCCCAAGGGTGAGATTTGGAGGTTGAGCCAAAAGTGATGCTGGGAAAGTGGGGAAGAATCATCCCAATGTGGCACCAGCTCCTTCTTGTTGCTGTGGTGGGTCCCCAAAAAAGGGTTTGTTACCCCAAAATCCCCCCTTTTTCAGCTAGGAGAAGGAGATGGAGGCCCAGATCCTCCAGATCCTGGGTGAGGTTGGGAAAAGCTGAGCCCAGCAAAGCTGAACCCGAATCCAGATCCCATTTCCCACAGGGAAAGTGCCCCTGGTGACATTTGGGATTCCATGGGGCCCTCAGGAAGGAGCATCTGCCCCCAAATTCCCCCATTTCCACCTTGGGAAAGGGATGTGGAGCTGGGGTTTGCCCTAAAATAAATCCTGGGAATGAGGGGAGGGAAAGGAAGGGAAGGGAAGGGAAGGGAAGGGAAGGGAAGGGAAGGGAAGGGAAGGGAAGGGAAGGGAAGGGAAGGGAAGGGAAGGGAAGGGAAGGGAAGGGAAGGGAAGGGAAGGGAAGGGGTCCTGGGAATAAAGAAAAGGATTATGCCAGCCTATAATAAATCCTGGGAATGATAAAAGGGAAGGAATTGTCCTAGCCTAAAATAAACCCTGGGAATGAGAGAAGGGATTGTTCCAGACTAAAACAAATCCTGGGAAGAAGGAAAGGGAAAGGGAAAGGGAGGTCCCAGCATAAAATAAATCCTGGGAAGAAGGGAAGGGACTGTCCCAGCCCCCTCAAAGCCCTGCAGGTCCCCAGGGTCCCCTCACATCTCTGTGGCCCTGGCTCGTCCCCGTCCTGCTCCACGCTGTCGTAATCTTCGCGCACCCGAGCGCGGGATCCTTCCTCTGGGAAAACAAAAAGGGGGGGAAGAACAGGACCCCCAAACTTCAGGGGTCACCCAGAGGGCCAGGGAAGGGGTCTGGGGGTGTTTTGGGGTCTCACCTGAGCCGAAGCCGCGGCCCTTCCGCTTCTTGGCCTTTTCTTTCAGCTTGTGGATGCTCTCTGGTGGGGATTGGGGATCAGGGGGTCAGCAGGAGCAGGGAGCCCCCCAGAGGGATGGGGACCCCTCAACCTGGCTGGGAGGGCTGGGAATGACCACTGGGATGAGAATGACCACTGGGCTGGGAATGATCCCCCTGGGAATGACCACTGGCTGGGAATGACCACTGGCTGGGAATGACCACTGGGCTGGGAATGACACTCCTGGGAATGACCACTGGGATGGGAATTATGTCCCTGGGTCAAGAAAAACCCACCCGGGCCGGGCAGGACCCCTTGGGCTGGGCAGGACCCCCCGGTCCAGGCAGGGCCAGCCCCGGGCAAGCCAGGACGGTCTCCCCGTGACGGGAATGACCCCCCCGGGCCGGACAGAACCCCCCGAGTCCCTCCGGGCCAGGAACGGACAGCAGGACCCATCTCCCACACGGGGAATGACTCCCCGAGCCAGGCGTGACCCCCCAGCACCGAGCAGGAGCCCCCTGGCACCGGCAGCAACCCCCGGCCCAGGCCCGGGCTCTCCCTGAGGCCGACGCGGCCAGAGGCGGCGGGAGCGGCTCCGCTGAGCCGGGACCCGGCCGGATCGCTCGGCGGAGCCGCTCTGAGCCGGGCGGTATCGCCGCAGCCCCGCGCTCACCGTCCCCGTCCTCGTCCATAGCGAAATCCTCTCCGCCCGCCTCATGAAGATCCAGTACGTCCGCCATCTTGCCGGGAGTAGCGGTGCACGCCGGGAGCGCGCCGGAAGTGGGAGGGAACGGAGCGGAAGTACCGGGCGCGGCCATATTGGGAAGGGGGTGTGGCAGAACAGCCAGGGCGGCCATATTGGGGAGTGTGGCGGAAGTGTAGGCGCGGCCATATTAGGAATGGCGGTGAGCGGAAGTTTCCGGGTCCGCCATTTTGAGAAGGTCGCTACGGCTTGCCGCCATCTTGAGAAGGTCGCTACGTCTTGCCGCCATTTTGAGAAGGTCGTGCTGGTTCTTTTTGCTCCGAGACTTTCGAACCACGGGAATTTTGAACCCCGGGACTTTTGAACCCCGGGAATTTCGAATCCCGGGAATTTTAAACCCTAGGAATTTTGAACCCCGGGACTTTTGAACTCTGGGAATTTCGAACCCCACACTGACGCGGCTCAAAGTGTTTTTTGGGCACGACTGGCCCCCCAAAAACGAGCAAGAGCACCAAAGTTAACCAAAATCGCTGGGTTTATTGTAGAAAATCCACATTAGTGTTTATCCCGTAATTTCACTGCCTCAACAAGGAGCACGAGTTTCTCCGTACTGAGAAAATCTGAATTTTGTTAATTTTACGCCTTCCATGGAGATCTAGAGCCTCCAAAGTGGCACCTTGATCCCACAAGTAATGGAATATCCTCTTTTTTTCCCTTTTATTTTTTTTTTAAATTCCACAGCAATGGAACTCCCAAAGTCCTCCTGGATTTGTTTATTTTGAGCATAAAGAACTGGGAGGAGCTTCAGGGATTCCCATAGGTGCGGAATAAATTGCGGGATTAACTCCATGTTACTCCTAAATCAAATTTTCCCAATATTTCAGTAAAATTACACCCGACAACCCCCTCACCCCCCCCAATCCCTTTTAAAATCCAATTTCCAGCGACATCAAATGTTAATAGTGTTTGTAGAAAGTATAAAAAATATATAAACCCCCAAAATAAGCTCGTTAGGATGTGGATATAAAAATGGGGTACCTACAGATAATGGAATTATTCCAATTTTATCCTAAAACAATGATTATTGCTGGAATATCCTGTGGTCAGGCAGAGGGAAGGAGGAGGGTGGGAATAGTGGAATCTGCAGGGTTTAAGGGGATAAGAAGTGGGAAAAGCTCTAAGCTGGGGTGAAAAAGGAATTCTGGCTTGGAATTCAGTTTGTATTCCCAGTCTGCTGGGGAAAAGGGGAGTAAGATGGAAATTTCCATGGATAAATTGACATTTTCTTGGGTGAACTCGGAGCTGTTTGAACAATTCCATGCCATAAAAGGGGTTTTAAAGCTAAATATAGTCTAAGTTCCATATGGATACAAAGGATAAGGAATGATTAGTGCAAATCCCTCCCTCATCCACAAACTCTCCAAGACTTTTCCAACCTTCCAATGCTGATATTTGGCTCCAGACAGGGCAATTCCAGGGGGAAACTGCAGACCCTGCTGTGCTTGGGATTGGAATGCTGCAGGCTGATCCCAGATTTAATTCCAAAATTAAATCTAGATATTGCACGCCTTGGCACTCACTCACCTAATTAAGGAGCTCATCAAGGAGGTCTAATTGATCCCTTTCTGCTGCAGGAGGGAGGGGATCCAAGGGGTTTTTCCAGAGGAAACACTGGATTCCATGGAATCCCAACTGCTCCAGCAATGATGGAATGAGGAGAGGACAAAACCTGGGATCTGAACCCCGAAAAAAAAAGGGACAGGAAAAAAAACCTGTAGGGATTATGAGGGAATAAAAAGTTCCCTAGGGAATAAGGAGTTCTCAAGGGAAGAACGAGGAGGCTGAGAAGCAGCTCTTAAAAACCAGGATGAAATTGCTAAAATCCATTCAGGAGCTTTTTCCCTAAATTCAGGACCTTTTTTTTCCCCCCGCTAAATTTCTTCTAAATGTGCAAACGGGCTGGGATTTGGGGGAAGGGTTTTGGGATCACCAAGGGTGGAGGTTTTGGGGTTCAGCAACCAGAGGAGTGTGCTGAGCCCAGCTGACCAGCTGCCAGCAGCAGGATGTCCTTCTTCTCCTTGTGGAACCTCAGCTCCTTCCCGGCCAGCCGGGCCTCGTCCAGCTCGCGCTCGGTGGCCGCCAGCTCCCGGGAAAGGGCTCCTGGAATGTTCTGCTCCCGGTTCACCCAGTCCAGGGCCATCTGGTTTCGGATGTCATCGTCCAGAGCACGGTGGGAGTAGTGAGCAAGGACTTCCTGGTGGGAATGGGAGGCAGAGAATTGTTGGAATTGGGGGAAAAAAACCAAAACCCTGTGCGGGATGTAATAGGGTTGTTGGAAATTGGGAAGGAACTTTAAGGGAATGGTGGTGGTTTGTGGAGGTTGAGGTAGGGCAGAGGTTGGGCAGAGTTAATTGATAAAGTAGGGATTTAGGAAAAGGGGATCCTCAATGGATGCACTCTGGGCAGTGTGAGAGCCCAGGCAGGGCTATAGCCAAGGTGAAGCAAAATGGTCACAAACTGGACCTAAAATGGTCACAAAATGGACCCAAAATGGGTCACAAAATGGACCCAAAATGGGTCACAAAATGGACCCAAGATGGGTCATAAAATGGACCCAAGATGGTCACAAAATGGACCCAAAATGGTCACAAAATGGACCCAAAAGGGTCACAAAATGGACCCAAAATGGTCACAAACTTGACCCAAGATGGGTCATAAAATGGACCCAAGATGGTCACAAAATGGACCCAAGACGGGTCACAAAATGGACCCAAGATGGGTCCTAAAATGGACCCAAGATGGGTCACAAACTGGACCCAAGATGGGTCACAAAATGGACCCAAAACAGTCACAAAATGAACCCAAAATGGGTCACAAAATGGACTCAAAACGGTCACAAAATGAACCCAAGATGGGTCACAAAATGAACCCAAAATGGTCACAAAATGGACTCAAGATGGGTCACAAAATGGACCCAAGATGGGTCATAAAATGAACCCAAAATGGTCACAAAATGGACCCAAAATGGACTCAAAACAGTCACAAAATGGACCCAAGATGGTCACAAAATGAACCCAAAATGGGTCACAAAATGGACCCAAAACAGTCACAAAATGGACCTAAAACGGTCACAAAATGAACCCAAAATGGGTCACAAACTGGACCCAAGATGGGTCACAAAATGGACCCAAAATGGTGACAAAATGGACCCAAAATGGGTCACAAAATGGGTCACAAAATGGATCCAAGATGGGTCACAAAATGGATCCAAGATGGGTCACAAAATGGTCCCAAAATGGTCACCCAGTCACAGGTCTCTCACTTTCATAAGTTCTGCTCTATTTGGATATTGGAGTTAATTACAGCTGCAGCCCATCAAGTCTCATTTTCCCCGTTTTCTCTCTTCAGCCCACATTGTTCATGCTCTTGGGCCTGGAGATTTGGATCTTCTGTCCCTCACGAGGCACCAGGAGAAGCTCAGCAGTGGGAAGGAGCAGCAGGACGGAGCCGGGACTCACCTGGCGCGAGCACTGACGCTCCCTCATGGCCTTCAGGCTCCCATTCCAGTGCAGCAGCTGGAAAACTGTCATCAGCTCCTGGGATGGCAGGAGGGAGGGTTTAAAATGCAAAATCTGAAGCCACCAGATGTGCTGGGACTGCTCAGGGCTGGGTGACTTCCACTTGTGTGTTTTGGAAGGTTGGTACCATAAAATATTCTTTACTGCGTGTAAATAAACTGTCATAAAAGCTGGTGAGCAGGGTGATAGAATAAAGTGATTTAGGCACCTCGTTAGGGAATTCTGCATTTAAAATTAAATGCAGTGAGTCTCTGAAGTGGGAGGGTCACTAAGAGAATGTTCCCTGTGAGTATTTGCTTTGCAAATACAGGTACATATATTTATATCTGTAATATATTTATAACATGTTTCTATAATTCCATATATGTGTGTACTTGCACGAGAGCAGATATTCCATTCCCAGCTGTTCTCCTAATCCTGATCCACATTCCAGAACCTTCCCCTGGCAGGTCAGACTTCCCCTTGTCCAGATGTTTTCCCCCATCCATATTCCAATGGGATGCCAAGGTTGTGGTTTGGGGTCATGGCACCACTGACCCCCCAAACCCAGCACCAGACTTTGGGGGAAATACCTTTCCATCTTGTGGGAGCCCTTTGTGCCCCGTTTTTAAGGATGAATCCCACTAATTAACTGGACTGCTGCAATTTAGGACATTTGGAAATATCACAGGGACAGCGAGAAAAAACCAATTCTAAGGGTAGCATTGGGATTACCCCAAATCTGATCAGAATCAGAAGGAAAATCTGAGTTCATTTCCCATGAAAAAAAAAAAAAACCCTAAAAATACACTTGGGAGACCAACCCCAACATCCCTTGAGCAAACCAGGAGTGGGACCTGGGCAGAAGAGGAGCAGGATCTGCACAAACTGGACACAGCACCTGGAATTCCAGCATGGATTTCCCCTTGTTGGACTCCAGCATGAAGCGGAAGGCGCCGATCCCGGTGTTGGGATTGTCTGCCTCTTCTCGGTTGCCCTGCAGAGAAATCCCAGCTATGGAGCAGCCCTGTTCCCACTCCTGGGAATCCTCACTCCTGGAATCCCCAGTGGGATTCAGGAGGGCCTGATGGCAGCACAGGCTGAGCTGTCACACGTGGATGTGAGAGGCTGGTGAGACACGGGAAAAACTGGAGCAGTTTTCCCAGAATGGATTTGGGAAGCTTCAGGGAGCTGGAGATAAACAATGAGAGCCAAATATTACAACCAACCTGCAGCTGGTGCTCTGAACAATCTGTTTTGTGTGGAATTGGAAATAAGGTTAGAAATAAATTTAGAAATTTGAAATAATGAGCTTCTGATGGTGATGGTGTGAATTGTAACATCTGTATTGCTTCAGCCTACATGTGAGACTGAAAATGGAATTAGAAATAAGTTTAGAGATTAGAAATAAATTTAGAAATTAGAAATAAATTTAGAAATTAGAAATAATCAGCTTCTGATTGGGATGGTGTGAATTATAACACCTGTATTGCCACACCTGCCTCACCACACATGAAACTGAAAAAGCAACTAGAAATAAGTTTAAAAATTACAAATAAATTTAGAAATTAGAAAGAATCAGCTTCTGGTGGTGATGGTGTGAATTATAACACCTGTATTGCCTCACCCTACTCTTAAGACTGAAAAATCATATAGAAATAAGTTTAGAAATTAGAAATAAATTTAGAAATTAGAAATAATCAGCTTCTGATGGGGATGGTGTGACTCTACCATTTCTCTGTATTGCCTCACCCTACATGTAAGACTGAAAAATCATATAGAAATAAGTTTAGAAATTAGAAATAAATTTAGAAATTAGAAATAATCAGCTTCTGATTGTGATGGTGTGAATTGTAACACCTGTATTGCCTCACCCTACTCTTAAGACTGAAAAATCATAAAGAAATAAGTTTAGAAATTAGAAATAAATTTAGAAATTAGAAATAATGAGCTTCTGACTGTGATGGGTATGAATTATAACATCTGTATTGCTTCACCCTACACGTGAGACTGAGAATGGAATTAGAAATAAGTTTAGAAATTAGAAATAAATTTAGAAATTAGAAAGAATCAGCTTCTGGTGGGGATGGTGTGACTCTACCATTTCTCTGTACTGCCTCACCCTACACGTGAGGCTGAGAACGGAATGGAATTTTCCAAAGCGCCTCGGAACTGCCCCATCCCAGGGTCAGAAAAGGGCTCAGTGTGACCCAACCAAAGCCCAGAGAAGCCCCCATGCTCACGTTGAAGGACGCCAGGGCCTCAGAGACGCTCTTCTCGATGAAGTCGTCGGTGATGCGGCGCGAGGGGTGCTCGTTGAACACGGAGTTCATCAGCGCGATCTTGGCCGCGCTCCGGCGCGCCTCGGCCTTGGTGGGGCAGAACTGGGGACACACGGCCACGCTGGGGACACCCCAGGACCCCCACGGCCCCCCCAGAGCACCAGCAAAGGGGGCTGAGGAGGGGGGGGGTTAGGAAATGGCACCCCCAGATCAGAACTGCCCGCGGTGCTGGTGATTGGTTTGATGGAATTCGTTTTGTCAGACCCAAAGTGTTGGCAAATTCCCCCCTGAGATCAGGATCTGGGGACCAAAAGAGCTTCAGAACCACTCAGTATCTTCTCAATTAATGAATTTAATTTAATTAATTTTTTCAGACCCAAAGTGTTGGCAAATCGCCCCCCCGAGATCAGGATTTGGGGACCAAAAGAGCTTCAGAACCACCCAGTATCTTCTCAATTAATGAATTGAATTTAATTAATTTTCCAAAGTGTTGCCAAATCGCCCCCTGAGATCAGGATTTGGGGACCAAAAGAGCTTCAGAACCACCCAGTATCTTCTCAATTAATGAATTGAATTTAATTAATTTTTTCAGACCCAAAGTGTTCCCAAATTCCTCCCAAAGACCTGGATTTTGGGACAGAACCAAACATATTCAGCTCCTCCTGTTGCACTGTCAATTAATGAATTTAATTAATTTTTTCAGACTCAAAGTGTTCCCAAATTCCTCCCAAAGACCCGGATTTTGGGACAGAACCAAAAGAGGTTCAGAACCTCCCATTGCACTCTCAATTGATTCATTAAATTAAATTTAATCCTGGGAAGGAGGAGGAAGGATCAAATCCTGGGAAGGAAAAGGAAGGATCTAATAGGATCTAATCCTGGGAAGGATCAAATCCTGGGTAGGAAAAGGAAGATCAGATCCAACAGTTTTCCCTAATACCCCCTCTCCTACCTCAGCACTAACTTGGAAGTGACCAGAACCAGGCAATAAAGGCCACCAAAACCCCACAACCCACAGCCAAATCTTCCCAGACTAGGGATTTACAGACCAGGAGCAACTTGCAACTAAACCTCCTTGCAACTGAAGTGGTTTAGAGGCAGATGCAGGGAGAGGATATTTGGAAAATGATCCTGGTGGGGTCCTGGAGGGCATTCCCTGGAATTTCCTTGCAACTAAAGAGGTTTAGAGGCAGATGCAAGGAGGAGAACGCCCAGAAGGGAGGAGAATGCCCAGAAGGGAAGAAATATTTGGAAAATGATCCTGGTGGGGTCCTGCAGGGGCATTCCCCAGGAATTTCCTTGCAACTGAAGAGGTTTAGAGGCAGATGCAAGGAGGAGAACACCCAGCAGGGAGGAGAACACCCAGCAGGGAGGAGATATTTGGGAAACGATGCCGAGGGGCATTCCCGGGCTGGGGACGGTACCTGGAAGCTGCCGAAGCAGCTGCCCCCGGGCAGGGTGACATAGCAGACGTAGGGGGGGCTGGCGGCCGGCACCATCTCGTAGAGAACCAGGGCTCCGTTGCGCAGCTCGGCCCCGCGGGATTGCTTCATCTGCCAGAACTCCTGCAGCGCCTCCACCACGTTCACTGCCCGGAGGAGGCGCGGGGAGAGGGAAAAGGGGCATGGAGAGAGGGAAAAGGGGCGTGGGAGGAAGGAAAAGGGGCAAGGAGAAAGGGGTGAGAATGGGAGGAATTGGGGCATGGAAAGAAGGAATTGGGGGCGCAGAAAGAAGGAAGGGAATGGGGGAATGGAAATAAGGAAAAGGGAATGGGGAAGGAAGGAAAGGAAGGAAAGGAAGGAAAGGAAGGAAAGGAAATAGGGCACGAAAAGAAGAAATTGAGGCATGGAAAGAGGGAAAAGGGGGAAAGAAGGAAGGAAACGGGGTATGGAAAAAGGGAAAAGGGGGTGAGGAAGAAAGGAATTGGGGCATGGAAATAAGGGACGGAAATAAGGGAAGGAAGGAAGGAAGGAAGGAAGGAAGGAAGGAAGGAAGGAAGGAAGGAAGGAAGGAAGGAAGGAAGGAAGGAAGGAAGGAAGGAAGGAAGGAAATGGGGCATGGAAAGAAGGAAAAGGGGGTGAGGAAGGAAGGAAGGGAATGGGGCACGGAAATAAGGAAAAGGGACACGGAAATAAGGAAAAAGGACACGGAAATAAGGAAAAGTGAAAAAATGGAATAAGGGACAATCGCCCCCGGCGCAGCCCGGTCTGTCGGCATCCCCCGCTCACCCCGGCCGTAGCCCTGCGTGTGCTTGGCGAAGCTCCGCACCACGGCCTCCACCGCCTCCCTCAGGACCGCGGGCGGCCCGGGCACGGCCCCGGCCCCCGGCCCGGGGGGCGCGGGAGGGCCCTGCAGGCCCAGCGGCGGCGGCGGCGGCGGCAGCCCCAGCCCCGGGCCCAGCCCTGATCCCGCTGCCGGTGTCGGGCCGAGGCCCGCGGGGGCCCCGGTGAGGCCGGGCCGAGCCCCGCGGGGCCCGGTGCCCACCCCGGGCTGCAGCCGCTGAGCCCGCACCGCCTCCATAGCCGCGCTCCCTCCTCAGCGCCGCGCTGTCAATCAGCGCCGATCGGCGCTCAGCAAACCAATAGAAGAGCAGAAACGGGGAGGGGGAGGCGGGGAAAGCATCAGAAGACCAATCAGAACGCGGTGCGCGGCTGGAGGGGCGGGGTCAGGGCGCGGCGCACTCACCCACTAACACAAATAGCGGTGTGTGGTCACGGGGCGGTAACGGGGCCAGGATTTGGTGTCAATTGACCAATCGCGTTGCTGGATTTGTTAGATTGACAAGGAAAGAAACGAATCAAAAATGCAGAAAGCACAAACCAGGAGAGATGACGGTGTGAGATGATAGGCCCACTCTTATTGATCAGGAGAAGCAATTAATGACAAAACAAACCAATCAAACTCTCGGACACAGATTTAGAGGCGGAGATTACGCTGTCGCCCATTCACGGGCTCTGTTTTGGTAAAAGTGGGCGGCTCCGCGCTCAGCCAATGGGAAGGAGCCGCTGCCGTACCGGAAGTGACGCTGCCGTACCGGGCTCGGTACCGGGCCCGCGCCATGGAGGCCTGGGTGCGCTTCAGCGCCCAGAGCCAGGCCCGGGAGCGCCTCCTCAGGTGCAGCCGCGGCTCCCCGGGCCCTGCGGGCAGGGGAGGTTCGGAGGGGGTTACCGAGAGCCCGGGGAGGGGGATCACGGGGGTCCCGGGGCGGAGAGGCGATCCCAGAGAACGGGGGGGAGGGTCCCGGTGATGTCCCCGGTGCCCCCCGTGACTCCCTCGTTGTCCCCAGGGCCGCCCAGTACGCCTGTGTCTTGGCCGGGGCCGCGCTGAGCCGCTCCGCGAGCAGCTCCGGGGGCAGCTCCGGGACTCTGAGCCGGCTGCAGCAGCTGGAGGCGCACCTGAGCCTGGGCCGCAAGCGTGAGTGGGGCTGGGGGAGCAGCGAGGGTTGGAGGGGGGAATTTGGGGTCGGTGACCCCCCTGGTGTGTCCCCTCCCTCCCGTAATGCTGCATTTGGGGGGGTTTTGAGGGAGGATTTTGGGGTTGGTGTCCCCTCCCTCCTGTAATGCTGCATATGGGGGGCTCGGCTGAGGGGGTGAGGGGAGGCCAGGGAGGTTTTGAGGGGGGATTTTGGGGTCTGCACGCCCCCAGTGAGCCCCTCCTGTAATGCTGTGTTTGGGGGGGCTCGGCTGAGGGGCTGGGGGGGAATTCAGGGCGGGTTTGAGGGGACATTTTGGGGTCTCACACCCCCAGTGACCTCCTTGCATTTGGGGGGCTCTTGGGGCGATCAGGGCGGTTTTGAGGGGGGGATTTTGGGGTCTGCACACCCCTGCTCTGTCCCCCCCCTCCCTCTCCTGCAGTGCTGCCTTTGGGGGTGTTTTGAGGGGACATTTTGGGGTCTCACACCCCCGGTGACCCCACCCTGGTGTCCCCTTCTCCCGCAGTTCTGCGTTTGGGGGGCTCAGCTGAGGCTCTGGGGGGGGCCCAGCGCTCGCTGCACCTCCCTGACCCCGTGCTGCGTTTCTGCCTCACCCTGTCCCACCTGAACCGGGCTCTGTTCCTGGCCTGTGACAACGTCCTGTGGGCTGGGAAAACCGGGATCCTGCCCGGCCTGGCCATGGAAAAATGGAGCCAGAGATCCTTCAGGTGAGAGAGGGGTCGGGGTTTGGTGGGTGGGGAGGTTGGGAAGGGCTCCTGAGGTTGGGAAAGGCTCCTGAGGTGTGTGGGGTGGGCAGGGAATGGAATTACCCCGGGGAAAATAAGGAATGGGGATTGCCAAGGGAGAGCACGGAATGGAATTGCCAAGGGAGGACAAGGAATGTGATTTCTGAGGGAGGGCAAGGGATTGGGGTTCCCCTGGGGAAAGTAAAGAATGGAATTCCTGAGGGAGAGCAGGGAATGGGGTTCTCCTGGGTGAAATAAAGAATGGAATTCCCACGGGGAAAATAAGGAATGGAATTCCCGAGGGAAAGCAGAGAATGGGGTTCATGAGGGAGAGCAGAGACTGGAACTCCCCTGGGGAAAATAAAGAATGGAATTCCTGAGGGAGAGCAGGGAATGGGGTTCCCCTTTGAGGAAAATAAAGAATGGAATTCCTGAGGGAGAGCAGGGAATGGGGTTCCCCTTTGAGGAAAATAAAGAATGGAATTCCTGAGGGAGAGCAGGGAATGGGGTTCCCTTGGGGAAAATAAAGAATGGAATTCCTGAGGGAGAGCAGGGATTGGGGTTCCTGAGGCAAAGCAGAGAATTGAATTCCCAAGGGAGTCCTTGGATCTGGGAGCACAGGAATTTTCGGGATGTCCCTAAATTCCAGAGGCAGCTTGTCCCTGGGAGAGCAGGAATATCTCGAAGGCTTTTTGGGAGCTCCCTCCTGCGCTCCTGGGCCCGTCTGGGCTGTGCCACCCCTCCAGTCATTTCTGTGGCTGCTGGGGAGCCCCCAGACCCTTCGTGCTTGCCCCTCATCCTCTCTCTCTCCCATTTCCCCCCTGCTCTCCCCAGGTATTACCTCTTTGCCCTGGTGGTGAACCTCAGCAGGGACGCCTACGAGGTCCGGCTGCTGCTGGAGCGCGCTGAGGCCGCCCGGAAACGCGGCAGGAGCCCGGAGAGCAGAGCCCAGCTGCAGGCCGAGGGCAGGATGCAGCACCTGCGGCTCCAGCTGCAGCTCCAGCTGCAGCTGCTGCTGCAGGTGCTGAGGGACAACCCCCCCGTGCTGCTGGACCTGCTGAGGAACGCCTGCGACCTGGTGATCCCCCTGGAGAAGCTGGGGCTGTGCAGGAGCAGCCCCGCCATCGTGGGGTTCTGCGGGCTCGCCTCGTCCCTGCTCTCCATCATCACCATCCTCCACCCCTGGCTCAAGCTGAAGCCATAGTTAGCCTTGAGGATTTGGGGGATTTTGGGATTTTGGGGGGTTTTGGCACCTCTGGAAGTGACTGGTGGTTGTGACTGGCTGGTGCCATTGCCATCATTCCTGACTCTTTGGAGCCACAAAGTTCCAGCATTGGATCCCACAGGGACATCAGCTCCCCAAATGTGGTTTTGTTCCTATTGACTTTTCCAGGAATTTTAGGGGTTCAGTGTTCCCCCTTTCTTTTTGGGAAGAGCCCTTCACATGGATCCAGGGAATATTTGGGGCTGGAAAATGTGGATTTTGGGGCTGGAAAATGCGAATTTTGGGGCTGGAAAATGTGGGGTTCTGCGGGCTCACCTCGTCCCTGCTCTCCATCATCACCATCCTCCACCCCTGGCTCAAGCTGAAGCCGTAGTTATCATTGAGGATTTGGGGGATTTTGGGGGATTTTTGGGATTTTGGGGGGTTTTGGCACCTCTGGAAGTGCCATTGCCATCATTCCTGACTCTTTGGAGCCACGAAGTTCCAGCATTGGATCCCACAGGGACATCAGCTCCCCAAATGTGGTTTTGTTCCTATTGACTTTTCCAGGAATTTTAGGGGTTCAGTGTTCCCCCTTTCTGTCTGGGAAGAGCCTTTCATGTGGATCCAGCTAATGGAGAGTATATGGGGCTGGGAAATGTGGATTTTGGGGCTGGAAAATGTGGGGTGGTGTGGGCTCACCTCGTCCCTGCTCTCCATCATCACCATCCTCCACCCCTGGCTCAAGCTGAAGCCGTAGTTATCATTGAGGATTTGGGGGATTTTGGGGGATTTTTGGGATTTTGGGGGGTTTTGGCACCTCTGGAAGTGCCATTGCCATCATTCCTGACTCTTTGGAGCCACGAAGTTCCAGCATTGGATCCCACAGGGACATCAACTCCCAAAATGTGTTTTGTTCCTATTGACTTTAAGGGAAAAAAATAGGGGTTCAATGTTCCCCCTTTCTTTTTGGGAAGAGCCCTTCACGTGGAGCAGCTAATGGAGAATATTTGGGGCTAGAAAATGCGGATTTTGGGGCTGGAAAATGCGGATTTTGGGGTTGGAAAATGCGGGATTTTGGGGCTGGAAAATGCGGATTTTGGGGCTGGAAAATGCAGATTTCTTGGGGCTTCTCCTGGCTTTTTTTGGGGGGTAAAGCCACGGGGTTGGGGTGATTCTGGTGCCAGATAATGCATCCAACCCCGAATTGTTTGGATATTTTTTTTCCTGCCTTATAAAAAAACAAAAATCCGAGTGCAGGGAGAGGAGAACGTGTGTCAGGGATAAATCCATGGCTTTGGGGGCTCCAAATTCTTAAATTCCAGAGGTGGATTTTCCTTGGATCTGTCCCTGGGAGTGCAGGAATTTTTGGGATATTCTTAAATTCCAGAGGCAGATGGTCCCTGGGAGAGCAGGAATATCTTGAAGGATTTTTTGGGAGCTCCATCCCGAACTCCTGGGCCCATCTGGGCTGTGCCAAAGGTTTTTCAGGCATTGAAGGCTTTGGAGCAGGGTGTGAATCCCAGTGGGAATTGGGTGGGAAGCGCTCCAGGGGATCCCACGTGTCCGTGTAATTAATTAATGAATAATTGAATTATTAAAGTGCAGCAAACACGGCCTCAAACACTCCCGGAGCTCTTGGGGCCGTGGCCCTTCCCCGTTCAGGGGGAGGAAACTGGGGCTGATGCCCCCTAAAACCTGGCTCTGATATTAAACCTGGTTCTGATATTAAACCTGGTTCTGATATTAAACCTGGTTCTGATACCCACTAAACCTGGTTCTGATACCCACTAAACCTGGTTCTGATATTAAACCTGGTTCTGATACTAAACCTGGTTCTGATACCCACTAAACCCGGTTCTGAAACTAAATCTGGTTCTGATACCCACTAAACCTGGTTCTGATATTAACCTGGTTCTGAAACTAAACCTGGTTCTGATATTAAACCTGGTTCTGATACTAAACCTGGTTCTGATATTAAACCTGGTTCTGATACTAAACCTGGTTCTGATACTAAACCTGGTTCTGATATTAAACCTGGTTCTGAAACTAAACCTGGTTCTGATACCCATTAAACCTGGTTCTGATACCCATTAAACCTGGTTCTGAAACTAAACCTGGTTCTGAAACTAAACCTGGTTCTGATACCCATTAAACCTGGTTCTGATACCCATTAAACCTGGTTCTGAAACTAAACCTGGTTCTGATCCCCCCCTAAACCCAGTTCTGATGCCCACCTAAACATGGTTCTGACATTAACCTGGTTCTGATACCCACTAAACCTGGTTCTGATACTTAACCTGATTCTAATTCCCCCCTCAACCTGGTTCTAATCCCCGCCTAAGCCTGGTTTTAATGCCCCCCTAAACCTGGTTCTGATACTAAACTTGGTTCTGATATTAAACTTGGTTCTGATCCCCCCTAAACTTGATTTTAATGCCCCCCTAAACCTGGTTCTGATGCCAAACCTGGTTCTGATCCCCACCTAAACCTTGGTCTGATACCCCCATAAATGTGATTCTGATGCCCACCTACTGCGCTGAACTGGGAATGCTGGACTGGGAACACTGGGCTGAACTGGGATGGGCTGGGAATGCTGAACTGGGAGTACTGGGATGGACTGGGTTGAACTGGGAGCACTGGGCTGAACTGGGAATGCTGAACTGGGAGTACTGGGATGGACTGGGTTGAACTGGGAGCACTGGGCTGAACTGGGAATGCTGGACTAGGGGCACTGGGCTGAACTGGGATGGGTTGGGAATGGTGGACTGGGAGCACTGGGCTGAACTGGGAATGCTGGACTGGGAGTACTGGGCCGAACTGGTGGCCCCGTGCCTCAGTTTCCCCTCAGTTTCCCCGTTCCTCAGTTTCCCCGTGCCTCAGTTTCCCCTCAGTTTCCCCATTCCTCAGTTTCCCCGTGCCTCGGTTTCCCCGTGCCTCAGTTTCCCGTGCCTCAGTTTCCCCATTCCTCAGTTTTCCATTCCTCAGTTTCCCATGCCCCGGTTTCCCCGTGCCTCAGTTTCCCCGTGCCTCAGTTTCCCCGTTCCTCAGTTTCCCCGTGCCTCAGTTTCCCATTCCTCAGTTTCCCATGCCCCGGTTTCCCCGTGCCTCAGTTTCCCCGTGCCTCAGTTTCCCCGTGCCCCACCTGCTCCGTGCCCCAGCCTGGGCGGGGCCGCGTTTGGCAGCCGGGCCTGCACAGTCGCTGTTTGTCTGTTTTTCTCCTCATTCCTTGAGGTTTATTTTAAATTTTTTTTTTTTTTTTTTTATTCCCCCTGAAAATTCCAGCCCGTCCCACAACCTCCGGCAGCACAATTTTCCCTCTGTCCTAAATCGCAGAGTTTGAATTTTTTTCCTTTTTTTTTTTTCCTTTTTTTTCCTTTTTTTTTTGAACTCCGGGTGGTGGCAGTGTCACCCGGAGGACGTGGCAACCCAAAATCCACCCAAAATCCGCCCAAAATCCACCCAAACCCCACCCAACCCCCCCCCAAAAATCCCTTTTTCCACCTGACTGTCCCCACACGGAATATCCAGGTTCTGTGTAGTTCAAACGGGGGAAAATTCAGATTTTTTGGGGGAAAATTCAGATTTTTTAGGGGAAAATTCAGATTTTTTGGGGGAAAAATTCAGATTTTTCCCACCCCGTTTTCCCAGAGAAAAAAAGTGGAAAAATTCCCTTTCAAGCATTCAGGACCCCCCCCAAAAATCCTGCACCCACCTCCTCTCTTCTCCTCTCTCATTTTTTTCCCTGTTTTTACCACTTTGCCTGTTTTTTTCCCTGAAATTTCGCCTCCCCCCCGCCCCATCCAAAACCGCATTTATTTTTAGCAGCCAATTGAGGATGAAGGAGGAGGGAAAAACAAACTTAAAAAAAAAAAAAAAGAGGAAAAAAAGCCAAAAAAAAACCCCAAACCCGGGGATTTTGCCCTGCTTGGAGTCGGAGCTGCAGCCATGTGGGGTGTGAGGAACCAGGGGCTGCTCCTGGCCCTGATCCTGCTCCCAGGTAACCCAAAAAATTCCATTTATTTGGGGCGATTCGGGGCTTTTTCCGGGCTAAAACTGGGACCAGAATTGGGATTAAGGTCTGGGATTGGGGCTTTGAATGATCCCAGTGCAGCCACGTGTGGTTCTCCCCTCCCTTTCTGAATTTCCAGGGGGGGAATTTTGGGATAAAATCGACCAATTTTGGTCATTTCCCCCTTCCTAATTTATTTTGGATGGAGAAAACACCAAAATCATTTTAAAACCAACCAGTTTTGGTCATTTCCCCCCTCGTAATTTTTTTTTTTTGGAGGGAAAAAACACAAAATCCCTTTAAAACTGACCAGTTTTGGTAATTTCCCTCCTATTTATTTTGGAGCTTTTTAGAAGGAGAAAACACCAAAATCCCCTTAAAATTGACCAGTTTTGGGAATTTCCCCCCACTTAATTTAATTTTGAGGTTTTTTAGAGGGAAAAAACACAAAAATCCCTATAAAGTTGGCCGATTTTGGTCATCTCCTCCCAGTTAATTTATTTTGAGGGAGAAAACACCAAAATCCCTTTAAAACCGACCAATTTTGGTCATTTTCCCCCCACCTAATTTATTTTTGAGGAAGAAAACACCAAAATCCCTTTAAAACCGACCAATTTTGGTCATTTTTCCCCCACCTAATTTATTTTTGAGGAAGAAAACACCAAAATCCCTTTAAAAATGGCCAATTTTGGTCATTTCCCCCCATTTCATTTATTTTTGAGGGAGAAAACACCAAAATCCCTTTAAAACCGACCAATTTTGGTCATTTTTCCCCCACCTAATTTATTTTTGAGGGAGAAAACACCAAAATCTCTTCAAATTTAGGGCGGGCTCAAGGGGAAACACCAAATTTAGGGCGGGCTCAAGGTGGGAAGGGGAACTCTGTAAAGAGGAACTAAAAACCCGGAATTCGGGATGGAAAATCTTAATTTTAATGGGAAAAAAAATCTTATTTTTAATGGGGGTTTTTTTTTGAGGAAAAAAAAGACAAAAAAGGGGAATTTCCACCCGTCCTTCACCTCCGCAGGGGTCGCTGAGGGGTTCAACATCGACGTGGGCAGTGCCAGGGTGTTCCTGGGGCCACCTGAGTCCCAGTTTGGCTACCGGGTGCTGCAGTGGGGCAGCGATGGGGACAGGTGGTGAGTGGGGCACGGGGAAACTGAGGCAGGAACGGGGAAATTGAGGGAGGAGTGGGGAAACTGAGGCAGGAAGGGGGAAACTGAGGCAGGAAGGGGGGAGTGAGGGAGGAATGGGGAAACTGAGGGAGGAATGGGGAAACTGAGGGAGGAATGGGGGAACTGAGTCAGGAAAGGTGGGGACAGGGTGGGAAAGGGGAAACTGAGGTTGGAAAAGGGAAACTGAGGCAGGAGTGGCAAAATTGAGGCAGGAAAGGGGGGAAACTGAGGCAGGAAAGGGGAAACTGAGGCAGGAAAGGGGAAATTGAGGGAGGAGTGGGGAAACTGAGGCAGGAAAGGTGAGGAGAGAGGAGGGAGGTGGGGAGAAGGAAAACGCAGGAGGGGAGGGGGGAAACTGAGGCAGGAAAGGGGAGAAGGGAGGGGGAAACTGAGGCAGGGAGGGGAGGTTGGGGCGGGGAAGCGCGGGAGGAGCTGGAGGCTGCGGCCGGACAGACGGACAGACAGAGACAGACACAGACAGACGTGGGTGGCACAGCCTGGCACGGTGCCCACCCCCCTCCAAAAAAAAAAATAAAAGTTAAAAAACGTAAAAAACGTGGCCAAAGCCGGGTTAAAGCAGGGGGAGGGGGGCGGTGGTGACATCTTCGATGTCCCCTTTGTCACCCCCCCACCCCATTTTGTCCCCCCCCAGGCTGCTGGTGGGGGCCCCGTGGGACGGGGACGGCCAAGGGGACATCTACAAATGCCACGTGGGACCCCAAAACTCCTCCTGTGCCAAGGCCAACCTCGGTACCCGGGGTGAAATTTGGGGGTTCCGTGGGGGTTTGGGGCCTACACGGGGGTTTGGGGCCTACATGGGGGTTTTGGGGCCTCCATGGGGGCTTGGGGCCTACATGGGGGTTTGGGATTTCTGAGGGTTTGGGGATTCTGTGGGGATTTGAGGGAGTCCCACGTGGGACCCCAAAACTCCTCCTGTGCCAAGGCCAACCTCGGTACCCAAGGGGAGGGGATGTGAAATTTGGGGGATCCCTCTGGATTTGGGGGTTCTGGGGGGGTTTGGGGGACCTTGTGGTCTTTGGGATTTCTGGGGGTTTGGGATTCCCTGTGGGGTTGGGGATCCCTGTGAATTTGGGGGTTCCCTGGGGGTTTGGGATTTCTGTGGGTTTGAGGGATGTCCCTGTAGATTTGGGGTTCCCTGTGGGTTTGGGGGAAGTTTTGGGGCTCCCTGAGGCTCTGACCCTCCCTGTTCAAAGTGGGGATGCTGCACTATGGGGAGCCCCCCACAGCCCAGAGCCCTGCTGAGGTTTTGGGGTCCCCCCCCCCCCCCGAGGTGCTCACCCCCTTTTTGTCCCCGTTGTCCCCAAGGGGCTGCAGTTCCGTGGCTCAGCAGCAGCGCCGGGCACCTCGGCATGACCCTGGTGGAGTCCAAGGACGGGGGATTGGTGGTGAGCAGAGGGAAACTGAGGCAGGAGCAGGGAAACGGAGGGAGGAATGGGGAAACTGAGGCGGGAGTGGGGAAACTGAGGCGGGAATGGGGAAACTGAGGGAGGAGTGGGGGAACTGAGGCGGGAGCGGGGAAACTGAGGCGGGAGCGGGGAAACTGAGGCGGGAGCGGGGAAACTGAGGCGGGAAGGGGGAAACTGAGGGAGGAATGGGGAAACTGAGGCGGGAATAGGGAAACGGAGGCGGGAGCGGGGAAACGGAGGCGGGAATGGGGAAACTGAGGCGGGAGCGGGGAAACTGAGGCGGGAATGGGGAAACTGAGGCGGGAGCGGGGAAACTGAGGCGGGAGTGGGGAAACTGAGGCGGGAATGGGGAAACTGAGGCGGGAAGGGGGAAACTGAGGGAGGAATGGGGAAACTGAGGCGGGAATAGGGAAACGGAGGCGGGAGCGGGGAAACGGAGGCGGGAATGGGGAAACTGAGGCGGGAGTGGGGAAACTGAGGCGGGAGTGGGGAAACTGAGGAGGGGAAGAAGGAGGCTGAGGGTGTGTGGGGGAAACTGAGGCAGGGGGTGTGGGGAGGGTGGTGCTGTCACTGCTGTGACCTCGTGTCCCCCCCTCCCCAAGGCCTGTGCCCCGCTCTGGTCCCAGCAATGCGGCACCTCCGTGTTCAGCTCCGGCCGCTGCGTCCAGCTCGACCAGGAGCTCCAGCTGGTGGCCACCATGGCCCCCACGGCCCAGCGTGAGTGGGGTGGCACCTCCTGGGACCTCCTGGGACCTGCCACCCCCGGTGTCACCGTGTCCCCTGCCAGGCTGCTCTACCTTCATGGACATCGTGGTGGTTCTGGACGGCTCCAACAGCATCTACCCCTGGGAGGAGGTGCAGGCCTTCCTCGGGAACGTCCTGGCTCGCTTCTTCATCGGGCCTGGGCAGACCCAGGTCAGGCTGCCACGGTGTCCCCAGGGCTGGGGTGGTGTCCCCAGGGCAAGGGGACTGTCCCCGGGGCAGTGCTGTTATCCCTAAAGCGATGGCATTGTCCCTTGGGGTGATGCCATTGTCCCTTGGGGTGATGGCACCTGGTGTGGCACCTTGGCCACCACGGTGTCCCCAAGGCTGGGGTGCTGTCCCCAAGGCTGGGATGGTGTCCCCAGAGCAAGGGGACTGTCCCCAGGGCAGTGCTGTTATCCCTAAAGTGATGGCATTGTCCCTTGGGGTGATGGCATTGTCCCTGGGATGATGCCAGCCTTGGGGTGATGCCATTGTCCCTTGGGGTGATGGCACCTGGTGTGGCACCTTGGCCACCACGGTGTCCCCAAGGCTGGGATGGTGTCCCCAGAGCAAGGGGACTGTCCCCAGGGCAGTGCTGTTGTCCCTTGGGGTGATGGCATTGTCCCTTGGGGTGATGCCATTGTCTGCCCTAGGGATTTCAGGGGTCCCCATGGAGTTGGGGATTCTCTGGGGGTTTGAGGGGTGTCCCTGTGGGTTTGGGGGTTGCCTGGGGGATTTTGAGGGATGTTCCTGTGGATTTTAGCATTCCTTGGGGGTTTGGGGGTTCCCTGGGGGTTTGAGGGGTGTCCCTGTGGATTTGGGGATTCCCTGGACGTTTGAGGTGTTCCCATGGAGTTGGGGGTTCCTTGGAGCTTTGAGGGGTCCCTGGGGATTTGAGGGATGTGGGTTTGGGGTTCCCTGGGGGTTTGGTGGATGTTTTGGGGTTCTGACTGTCCCCATTCCAGGTTGGGGTGCTGCAGTACGGGGAGCACCCAGTGCAGGAGTGGGCGCTAGGGCAGCACCGTGGGGATTTGGGGGTTCCCTGTGGATTTGGGGTTTTCCCTGTGGATTTGGGGGTTCCCTGTGCATTTGAGGGAGGTTTTGGGGTTTTCTCTGGCTCTGACTGTGCCCGTTCCAGGTTGGGGTGCTGCAGTACGGGGAGCACCTGGTGGAGGAGTGGGCGCTGGGGCAGCACCCCACAGCTCAGAGCCTGCTGGAGGCTGCACGGAACCTGACCCGGCAGGAGGGCAGGGAGACCAGGACGGCCATGGCCATCCGGGAGGCATGGTGGGATTGGGGCGGGATTGGGGCGGGATTGGGGTGGGACTGGGGCGGGATTGGGGATGAGATTGGGGCAGGATTGGGGGTGAGATTGGGGCGGGATTGGGGGTGAGATTGGGGGGTGGGATTGGGGCGGGATTGGGGGTGAGATTGGGGTGAGATTGGGGCGGGATTGCGGGTGAGATTGCAGGTGGGATTGGGGTGGGATTGGGGATGAGATTGGGGCGGGATTGGGGTGGGACTGGGGCGGGATTGGGGTGGGATTGGGGCGGGATTGGGGATGAGATTGGGGCGGGATTGCGGGTGAGATTGGGGACGGACCAGAGCTGGGATCGGGATGGGATTGGGGGCAGGATCAGGACTGGGAGTGGGGGCAGGATCGGGGTGGAATTGGGGGTGGGATTGGGGTCAGAGTTGGGTCTGGGACTGGGGCTGGGATTGGGGTCAGAGTTGGGTTTAGGGTCTAGGTTGGGATCGGGATTGGAATTGGTATTGGGTTTGGGATCAAGTCAGGATTTGGACTGGGATTGAGGCTAGGACTGGGGTCAGGGTTGATGCTGGGATCAGGATCAGGGTTGGGAGCAGGGTCAGGGTTGGTACTGGGATCTGGATCAGGGTTGGGACTGGGATCAGGATCAGGGTTGGGATCAGGGTCAGGGTTGGGAGCAGGATCAGGGTTGGTACTGGGATCAAGGTTGGGAACAGGATCAGGGCTGTGACTGGGATCAGGATCAGGGTTGGTGCTGGCATCGGGGTTGGGATCAGGATCAGGACCGTGACTGGGATCAGGATTGGGGTTGGTGCTGGCATCAAGGTTGGGATCAGGATCAGGCCTGGGGCAGAGCTCATCCTGGCTGCCCAGGGGCTCACTGTCCGTCCCCCTCCCACAGCTCCGAGTCGTTCAGCCCCGCGCGGGGCGGGCGCCCGGGGGCCGCGCGGCTGCTGCTGGTGCTGACGGACGGGGAGTCCCACGACGGGGACGAGCTGCCCGCGGCGCTGGCCGAGTGCGACCGCCGCAACGTCACCCGCTACGCCATCGCCGTGAGGGCCCCGCCACCCTCCCCGTGTCCCCCTGGGCCCCCGGGGCTCCTGCTGAGCCCTGTCCCCCCCCCTCAGGTGCTGGGGCATTACCTGAGGAGGCAGCAGGATCCCGAGGATTTCATCCGGGAGATCAAGTTCATCGCCAGCGACCCCGATGAGAAATATTTCTTCAACGTCACGGATGAGGCCGCCCTCAATGACATCGTGGATGCTCTGGGAGATCGGATCTTCAGCCTGGAAGGTGCTGGTTTGGGGCTGGGATGATGGGAAGGGCTGGGGATTCCAGCTGGAGGAGCTGAGTGTCCTTCCTGCCCTGCTCAGGTACCCACGGGGACAACGAGAGCGCCTTCGAGCTGGAGATGTCCCAGATCGGCTTTTCCATCCACCACCTCGAGGTGATCCTGTCCCTACTGAGTCAGAAAGGCTAAATCCACTTTATTATGCTACAGAAGGCTAAATCCACTTTATTAGGACACCCATTCCTTTTTATATTCTGGTTTATGTTCTGATTGCTCCTTTAATCAAAACATTGGCTAATTAAAAAGCCACCCTTCGGTAATCAACACACATTAACGTGTTCACAAACACCAGGTGCAGAAAGTTAAGACAGGAATTGTTTAAAATTCTTTTCCCTGAGCTTCTCACGGCCTTGGGAAAGCTGTGACCACAATGATCCCACTGGGAAAGGTGGAAAACAACCCTGAGCCCATCTCACCCCTGGCATGGCAGGGGGACATTGGTGGGGTGTTGTATTTGTGAGGTGCCCCGTGGCAGGAAGCAATGATGAATCTGACTCCACGTTCTTAGAAGGCTAATTTATTATTTTAAGACACTGTATTATGTAAAAGAATACTAAACTAAGCTATACTAAAGAATACAGAAAGGATACAGGCAGAAGGCTGGAAAGATATTAATGGAAAACTCTTGTGACTCTTTCCAGAGCTTTGACACAGCTTGGCTGTGATTGGTCATTGAGTAAAAACAATTCACGTGAAACCAATGAAACGAGATGTCCAGACAAATTCCAAAGCAGCAAAACACAGGAGAAGCGAATCAGAGAATTATTGTTTTCATTTTTCCTTGAGCCTTCTCACCTTCCCAGGAGGAAAATCCTGGGCAAGGAGATTTTTCCAGAAAAAATCTGACAGATCCAGCGGGGCTTGGGGACACTGGATGCATTGTGGTGACGTGTGCCACCCATCCCAGCAGGACGGGATCCTCTTTGGAATGGTGGGAGCCCACGACTGGGAGGGGGGCGTGCTGGAGGAGAGGCAGCGTGGGCGCGTTGTCCCAGCCCGTGGGGCCTTCCAGGAGGAATTCCCGCCGCAGCTGAGGAACCACGCGGCCTATCTGGGTATGGGGGAGCCCCCTGGGGGCGTGGGGGGTCAGCCGGGTTTGGTTCCAAATCCCCTCGGGATTCGGGATGAATCAGGGCTGTTCCACATCCTGGAGGGCAGCGGTGAAGTGGGGGTGCTTTGTGGAGTGGGGTGTTTGGGGTGCTGGGTGATACAGAAATGTTCTGTAAATTTGGGGTGCCCTGGGGATAGTCCATGGAATGGATATTTGGGGTGCTGGGTGATACAGAAATGTTCTGTGAGTTTGGGGTGCCCTGGGGATAGTCCATGGAATGGATATTTGGGGTGCTGGGTGATACAGAAATGTTCTGTAAATTTGGGGTGCACTGGGGATAGTCCATGGAATGGATGTTTGGGGTGCACTGGGGATAGTCCATGGAATGGATATTTGGGGTGCTGGGTGATACAGAAATGTTCTGTAAATTTGGGGTGCACTGGGGATAGTCCATGGGATGGATATTTGGGGTACGCTGGGGATGCTCCATGTCTTGGATATTTGGGGTGCTTGGTCATACAGAGCTGTCCTGGAAATTTGGGGTATTGTGGGGATACTTCATGTAAGGGATATTTGGGGTGCTTGGTCATACAAAAATGTTCTGTAAATTTGGGGTGCCCTGGGGATGCTCCATGGAATGGATATTTGGGGTGCCCTGGGAATGCTCCATATAATGGATATTTAGGATCCTTGGTGATACTCCATGTCCTGGAAATTTGGGGTGCCCTGGGGATGCCCCAAACCCGGATATTTGGGGTGCCCTGGGGATGCTCCATGTCCTGGATATTTGGGGTGCCCTGGGGATGCTCCATGTTTTGGATATTTGGGGTGCCCCGGGTATGCTCCATGTCCCGGATATTTGGCTGCCCTGGGGATGCTCCATGTTTTGGATATTGGGGTGCCCTGGGGATGCTCCATGTCCCGGATATTGGGGTGCCCTGGGGATGCTCCATGTCCCGGATATTTGGGGTGCCCTGGGGATGCTCCATGTTTTGGATATTTGGGGTGCCCTGGGGATGCTCCATGTCCCGGATATTTGGGTGCCCTGGGGATACTCCATGTCCCGGATATTTGGGTGCCCTGGGGATGCTCCATGTCCCGGATATTTGGGGTGCCCCAGGACCCCCCTGTCCCTCCGGGGCCGTCCCCCCCTGACCCTGCTGTCCCCCCAGGGTACTCGGTGTCCTCGCTGCAGCTGCCGGGGGGGCAGCGCCTGTTGGTGGCCGGTGCCCCCCGGTTCCAGCACAAGGGCAAGGTCGTCCTCTTCCAGCTGGACCCCACGGGCACTGTGACGGTGGCCCAGGCGCTCCTGGGGGACCAGGTGAGGGGTGCTGGGGTGGGGACCAGGTGAGCGGTGATGGGGTGGGGAACCAGGTGAGCGGTGCTGGGGGGCCCTGAGGGCTTTGGGGGAGGGAGTTTGGGCCCCCTCCCCTCAGCCTCACAGCCCCTGCACCCCCAGATTGGCTCCTACTTCGGCAGCGAGGTGCTGGCCCTGGACCTGGAGGGAGATGGGGACAGCGAGCTGCTGCTGGTGGCCGCGCCCTCCTACCTGGGCGGGCAGAGCTGGGAGACCGGGAGGGTCTACGTGTACCGGGTGGGGCAGGTGAGACTGGGAGGGGCTGGGGGTGTGGGGCAGGGGAGACTGGGAGGGGCTGGGTGTGCTGTGTGGGGCAGGTGAGACCGGGAGGGGCTGGGGGTGTGGGGCAGGTGAGACTGGGAGGGGCTGGGGGTGTGGGGCAGGGGAGACTGGGAGGGGCTGGGGGTGTGGGGCAGGTGAGAGGGGTGAAGGGAGGGTCTCTGTGTGCTGTGTGGGGCAGGTGTGGGTCTGGGGGTGTGGGGCAGGTGTGAGGGGAAAGGGGAGGGTCTGTGTGTGCCGTGTGGGGCAGGTGAGGGGGCAAGTGTGGGCCTGGGGGTGTGGGGCAGGTGAGAGGGGCTGGGGAGGGTCTGTGGGTACCTGTGGGACAGGTGTGGGTCTGGGGGTGTGGGACAGGTGTGAGGGGAAAGGGGAGGGTCTGCATGTACCGAGTGGGGCAGGTGAAGGGGCAGGGTCTGTGTGTACCTGTGGGGCAGGTGTGGGTCTTGGGGTGGGGCAGGTGAGGGGATGGGAACTGGGGCAAAGTGAGGCAAACTGGGGCAAACTGGGGCAGGGGATGGGAGCATCAGCGGGACGCAGAGGGACTGGGAGGGAATTTGAGGCGATGGTGGGAACACGGTGGCATTGAGGGGGCGCCTGTCCCTTGGGGGGTACCGAGGGTCCCCCCCTGCACCCCCAGGAGCGCCTGAGCCCCGCGGGGTCGCTGCTCCCCGAGCCGAGGCCGCAGGATTCCCGGTTCGGCTCCGCCCTGGGCGCGGTGCCCAACCTGAGCCAGGACGGGCTGGCCGGAGCCGTGGTGGGGGCGCCGCTGGAGGACGGGCACCGAGGGGCGCTCTACGTGTTCCACATGGCCCCGGGCACGCTCCTGCCCCGCTGCAAACAGGTGAGACAAGGCTGGGGGCGGCTGCAGCGAGCGCCGCGTCAACACTTGTGGGGCTGGGGTACATCGTCACTGGATAGGGACACACCGGGAATGGGGACATGGAGAGGGGACAGGGACACACCGGGAATGGGGACATGGAGAGGGGACAGGGACAGCCCAAAATCAGGGACATGGAGAGGGGACAGGGACAGCCCGGGAATGGGGACATGGAGAAGGGACAGGGACAGCCTGGGAGTGGGGATATGGAGAGGGGACAGGGACACCTCGGGAATGGGGACAGGGACAGCCCAAAATCAGGGACATGGAGAGGGGACAGGGATACACCAGGAATGGGGACATGGAGAGGGGACAGGGACAGCCCAAAATCAGGGACATGGAGAGGGGACAGGGACAGCCCAGGAATGGGGACAGGGACAGCCCAAAATCAGGGACATGGAGAGGGGACAGGGACAGCCTGAGAATGGGGACATGGAGAGGGGACAGGGACACCCTGGGGACAGGGACATGGAGAAAGGACAGGGACACCTCGGGAATAGGGACATGGAGAGGGGACACTCTTATAGTGTATTGTAATTAAGAAATAATTAGCTTCTGATTGTGATGGCGTGAATTAGAACACCTGTGTTGTCTCACCCTTCACATGAGACTGAAAATAGAATAAAAGTTTTAAAAACTTTAAAAATAAAAGTTTATTTTATTTTAACTTTTTTATCTTTACTTGATTTTATATTTTATTTAACTTTATTTTAAAAGTTTTAATTTATTTTATTTTTACTTGATTGTTACTTGATTTCATATTTTATTTAACTTCATTTAAAAAGTTTCTATTTAAAACTATTTATTCTATTTTATAAGACCAACTGAGCCTCTCAGCCACCCCATCTCTGGGCCACAAAAGGGCTTAAAAGTTAAAAATTCAAAATTCTCGTTTGCCAGCGCATCGAGGCGGCGGCGCTGGGCTGGAGCCTCCGGTACTTCGGGATCAGCGTGGACGGACGGACGGACATGGACGGGGACGGACTGGTGGACGTGGCCGTGGGGGCGCAGGGGGCGGCCGTGGTGCTGCGGTGAGCAGGGGATGGGGACAAGGGACAGGGACACCCCGGGAATGGGGACAGGGAGAGGGACAGGGACATGGAGAAGGGACAGGGACACCCCAGGAATGGGGACATGGAGAGGGACAGGGACAAGGGACAGGGACACCCCGGGAATGGGGACAGGGACACCCTGGGAATGGGGACACAGAGAAGGGACAGGGACAACCCTGGGAATGGGAACATGGAGAGGGACAGGGACATGGAGAAGGGACAGGGACAAGGGACAGGGACACCCTGGGAATGGGAACATGGAGAGGGACAGGGACATGGAGAAGGGACAGAGACACCCAAGGAATAGGGACAGGGACACCCTGGAAATAGGGACAGGGACATCTTGGGAACAGGGACATGGAGAAGGGACAGGGACACCCCAGGATCAGGGACATGGAGAAGGGACAGGGACACCCTGGGAATGGGGACATGGAGAGGGGACAGGGACATCCAAGGAATGGGGACATGGAGAAGGGGACAGGGACACCTTGGGAATGGGGACATGGAGAGGGGACAGGGACACCCTGGGAATGGGGACATGGAGAAAGGACAGGGACATCCTGAGAACAGCGACATTTGGGCCATGGGGACATTGAGGAGGAAAGGCACTCGGTGCCTCAGTTTCCCCTTGTGAGAACCTGGGACGCTGCCGGGACCCTCCCGGCGCTCTGCAGGCCTCAGCCCGGACCCAGGGCAGGCTGTCCCGGTCCCCAGGCTGAGGTGCCCGGTGTGGCCGTGTCCCCAGGTCCCGCTGGATCCTCCAGGTGGCCGCGGCGGTGTCGGTGGAGCCGGCGGCCGTCAGCGTCACCCGGCGGAATTGCCGGCGCGGCGGCTCCGGCGCCGTCTGCCTGCGCGCCCGCCTCTGCTTCCGCGCCCAGAGCCGCGCCCGCAGCGCCCCCCAGGGCATGCACGTGGGTGAGTGCGGGCCTGGCCGTGTCCCTGGAGCCGCCCAGAAACGTCTCAGAGCAACCCAAAGCGTCCTGGAGCCACCCAAAGGGGTCCTGGCGGTGTCCCTGGAGCAGCCGTGGCTGGGTGGGGAGCACCCCGGGAACGTCCCAGAGCATCCCAGAGGGTCCTGGGAGTGTCCTTGGCGCACCCCAGGAACATCCCAGAGCATCCCAAAGGGTCCTGGAGCATCCCAGAGCATCCCAGAGGGTCCTGGAGTGACCTAAAGGGTCCTGGGAATGCCCTTGGAGCACCCCTGGCTGGGCAGGGAGCACCCCAGAAACATCCCAGAGCATCCCAAGGGGTCCTGGAGCATCCCAGAGGTTCCTGGAGCATCCCAGAGCATCCCAAAGGGTCCTGGCAGTGTCCCTGGAGCATCCCTGGCTGGGCAGGGAGCATCCCAGAGCATCCCAAAGGGTTCTGGAGCATCCCAGACCATCCCCAAAGGCTCCTGGCAGTGTCCCTGGAGCATGCCCGGCTTTCCCTGGGGGTCCCTCCCACCGGAGCAGCCTCTCCCGCAGCTCTCCCGGCGCTGACCCGGCCCCTGTCCCGCAGCTCTCCGCTACAACGCGTCCCTGGAGGAGCGGAGCCCGGGATCCCGAGCCGCCTTCGACTCCGGGGCCCGCCGGCTGCTGCGGCGCCGCATGGAGCTCCCGCTGGGCCGGCAGAGCTGCGCCCGCATCCCCTTCCACGTCCTGGTGAGCCCCGGGGCTCCTCCCTCCCTCCCGGCCCGCGGGCGGCTCCTCCCGGCCCCGTTCCCGGGGTCCCGCCCGGATGAGGCTGACGGGGTCCCCCCGGTTGTGCAGGACACCTCGGATTACCTGCGGCCCCTCAGCCTCAGCCTCACCTGGGCGCTGGATGAGGCCGCCGGGTCTGTGCTGGATGAGGCCTCTCCCACCTCCCTCCGCAAACTGGTGTGTGCTGGGAAGGGCGGGCCCGGGCACTGGGATTGCCCCTGGACACCGGGATCGGCACTGGGCACTGGGATTGGCACCGGGATCACCCCTGGGCACTGGGATCGGCACTGGGATCACCCCTGGGCACTGGGATTGGCACTGGGATTGGCACTGGGATCACCTCCAGACATTGGGATCATTACGGGGTACTGGGATCACCCCTGGGCACCAGGATTGGCATTGGGATCACCCTCAGACATTGGGATCACCCCTGAGCACTGGGATCACACCAGGATCAGCCCCAGACATTGGGGTGACCCCCAGACACTGGGATCACCCTCGGGCACTGGGATCACCCTCAGACATTGGGATCACCCCTGGATCCCAGGATCACCCCTGAGCACTGGGATCACACCAGGATCACCCCTGGACCCCGGGATCACCCCCAGACATTGGGGTCACCCACGGACACTGGGATCACCCCTGGGTACTGGGATCACCCTGAACCCCAGGATCACCCACAGACACTGGGATCACCCCTGGGGCACTGGGATCACTCCTGGGGCACTGGGATCACCCCTGAACCCCAGGATCACCCCTGGGGCACTGGGATCACCCCTGAACCCCAGGATCACCCCTGGGGCACTGGGATCACCCCTGGATCCCAGGATCACCGCCAGACACTGGGATCACCCCTGGCTCCTTCCAGATCCCGTTTTTCAAGGATTGCGGCGACGACGACGAGTGCGTCACCGACCTGGTGCTCAAGGCCACCACGGACATCGTGGGCTCCAGGTACCCCTGGTGTCCCCCCAGTGTCCCCATGGTGTCCCTGGGATGCCAGGAGCCCCCTGTGACCCCCCTGGCCTGCAGGCAGAGCCCCCACGTCCTGCGGAAGGGCCGGAGGCGGATGCTGGTGGAGGTGGAGCTGGAGAACCGGGAGGAGAACGCCTACAACGCCAGCCTGTGGCTGCAGCTGCCTGGGAACCTCCACTTCTCCAGCCTCGTAGTCCAGGTACAGCCTGGGGGAGCCCAAATCCCTCAGGAGCCCCACCAAGTCCCTGAGGAGCTTATCCAAACTGTCCCACCAAATCCCTGAGGAGCCCCTCCAAAATGTCCCACCAAGTGCATGAGGAGCTCCTCCAAACTCTGCCACCAAATCCCTGAGGAGCCCCTCCAAACGCTCCATCAAATCCATGAGGATCTCCTCCAAATTCTCCACCAAATCCTTGAGGAGCTCTTCCAAAATGTCCCACCAAAACCTTGAGGAGCTCCCCCAAACTCTCCATCAAATCCATGAGGAGCTCCCCCAAACTCTCCATCAAATCCATGAGGAGCTCCCCCAAACTCTCCATCAAATCCATGAGGAGCTCATCCAAAATGTCCCACAAAGTCCTTGAGGAGCTCCTCCAAACTCCCCCACCAGGGTCAAGATGGAGACCCAGGTCTTTGGAGAACCTCTGGGGTCATTCTTGTCCCAACCCCTCAGCCCATTGCAGGTGGGATGGGTTGGAGTCTGTTGGGTCCCCAAACTGATTCCAAGGGGGACGAGGGCGTCCATGGTGTCCCCAACTCCTCCCAGATGGCAGCTGGGGCTCCCTGGTGTCCCCAACCTCTCCCAGGTGCCAGCTGGGGCTCCCTGGTGTCCCCAGCTCCTCCCAGGTGGCAGATCATGTTCTGTTGGTCCCCCCAGGGGTCCATTGCTGCCACCTCCAGGTGTCCCAAGCCCCCCAGCTCCATGTCCCCGTGGTGTCCCCCTGGCAGGAGCCCAGCTCGGTGAAGTTGGAGTGCTCAGCCCTGGGGGGGCACCGCCGGCGCTGCAGCGTGGGGTACCCCGTGTTCCGCTCGCAGGCCAAGGTAGGACCCCAGGGAACCCCCAGGGAACCCCCCCTTCCCCAGCCTCGTGCTCCAGGTACAGCCTGGGGGGAGCCCAAATGCCGGAGGAGCTCCTCCAAACTCTCCCACCAAATCCATGAGGAGATCCTCCCAGTTGTCCCACCAAATCCCTGAGGAGGTCCTCCAAAATGGTCCACCAAATCCTTCCAAACTGTCCCACCAAATCCTTGAGGAGCATCTCCAAACTCTCCACCCAATCCCTGAGAAACCCCTCCAAAATGTCCCATCAAATCCCTGAGGAACCCATCCAAACTCTCCACCAAATCCTTGAGAAGCTCCCCCAAACTCTCCCACCAAATCCCTGAGGAGCGCCTCAAAAATATTCCACCAAATCCATGAGGAACCTCTCCAAACTCTCCACCAAATCCATGAGGAAGCCTTCCAAATTGTCCCACCAAATCCTTGAGGAGCCTCTCCAAAATGTCCCACAAAATCCATGAGGAACCCATCCAAATGGTCCCACCAAATCCTTGAGGAACCCATCCAAACTCTGCCACCAAATCCCTGAGGAGCCCTTCCAACCTCTCCCACCAAGTCCCCGAGGAGGATCCCTGTCCTCCAGAGCCCCTCGGGACCCCCCAAACCCCCCATGCCCCCAGGTGTCCTTCACCCTGGAGCTGGAGTTCAGCTGCTCCGTCCTGCTGGACCGTGCTGAGCTCACGCTCAGGGCCACCAGGTATGGGCGGGGCCGAGCCCTGGGGGGGGAGGAGCCGCAGCCCAGGGGGCGTGGCTGGGATTTGGGGACACTCCCGAGTGTGTCCCCACCCCCCCCATGTAGTGACAGCACCGAGCTGACACCGCAGGACAACGTGGTGGAGCTGTCGGTGCCCATCCGCTACGAGGCCAACGTGTTCCTGTCCAGGTGGGGCTGGGGGGGTCACAGAGCGGGGGGACACCCGGGAGGGATGGGACACCCCAAAAATACCAACCTGCAGAGTGGGGTGGGGGTCACTGATGGGGACACCCACGAGGGATGGGACACCCCAAAAACACCGACCTGCAGAGTGGGGGTGTCATTGATGGGGACACCCGGGAGGGATGGGGCACCCCAAAAACACCGACCTGCAGAGTGGGGGTGTCACTGATGGGGACACCCAGGAAGGATGGGACACCCCAAAAATACCGACCTGCAGAGTGGGGGGGTCACAGAGGAGGGGGACACCCGGGAGGGATGGGATGGGACCCCCCCCAAAAACACCGACCTGAAGAATGGGGGGTCACTGATGGGGACACCCACGAGGGATGGGACACCCCAAAAACACTGACCTGCAGAGTGGGGGGGTCACTGATGGGGACACCCGGGAGGGATGGGACCCCCCCCCAAAAATACCGACCTGCAGAATGGGGGGGTCAGGGGACGCCCACCATGGGTGTGACCCCCCCTGTGCCCCCCCAGTGCCACCAACCTGCCCCGCTATGAGCTGCACCCCCTGGGCACCTTCAGCCCCAGCCCCGGCCCCGAGTTCACCACCACGCTCAAGGTGAGGAGACGAGGAAGATGATGATGATGATGATGATGGTGGTGGGGGGGGTCTGGGGGATCCCGAGGGGCTTTGGTGGGCAGGGATCCTCCTCAGGGATTTGGTGGGACAGTTTGGAGATGCTCCTCAAGGATTTGGTGGGACAATTTGGAGGGGTTTTTTGGGACAGTTTGGAAGAGTTCCTCAAGGATTTGGTGGAGAGTTTGGAGATGCTCCTCAGGGATTTCGTGGGACATTTTGGAGGGGCTCCTCAGCGTTTTGGTGGGACATTGTAGAGATGGTCCTCAGAGTTTTGGTGGGACAGTTTGTAGGAGCTCCTCAAGGACTTGGCGGGGGGTTTTGGAAGAGCTCCTCAGGGTTTCGGTGGGACAGTTTGGAGATGCTCCTCAGGTTTTTGGTGGGATAGTTTGGAGGGTTTTGGTGGGACATTTTGGAGCGGCTCCTCAGCGTTTTGGTGGGACAGTTTGTAGGAACTCCTCAAGGATTTGGTGGGAGATTTTGGAAGAGCTCCTCAGGGATTTGGAGGAGCTCCTCAAGGATTTGATGGGACAGTTTGGAGATGCTCCTCAGGGTTTTGGTGGGACATTGTGGAGATGCTCCTCAAGGATTTGGTGGGACATTGTGGAGATGGTCCTCAGAGTTTTGGTGGGACAGTTTGTAGGAGCTCCTCAAGGATTTGGTGGAAGATTTTGGAAGAGCTCCTCAGGGATTTGGTGGGACAATTTGGAGATGCTCCTCAGGGTTTTGAAGGAGCTCCTCAGGGTTTTGGTGGGACGTTTTGGAGATGCTCCTCAGGGATTTGAAGGAGCTCCTCAGGGTTTTGGAGATGCTCCTCAGGGTTTTGGTGGGACGTTTTGGAGATGCTCCTCAGGGTTTTGGTGCAGCTCACCTCGCTCCCCGCCCCTCCCCAACCCAGGTGCAGAATTTGGGGTGCTACCCCCTCCAGAACATCACCCTGCACATGGCCCTGCCAGCTCTGGGCCACCGTGGGGCCACCATCCTGTCTGTCACCAAGGTCCTGGCTGAAAATGTGAGTCTGGGGGACACCTGGGGGGCCTTAGGGGGGTCCCCCCTGTGGTGGTGCCCCCTGAGCCCCCCCTGTGCCCCCCCAGGCCTCCTGCAGGCTGCACCCCCCCCATGAGGGGACCCCGGTGCCCCCCGAGGAGCTGCTGCACACAGAGAGGCTGGTAGGGCTGTGCCCCACAAGGGGTCCCCAAAAACTCCAGGGGGATCCCCAAAACTCCAGGGGGGGGTTCAGGGGGGATCCCCAACAGTCCAAGGGGTTTGGGGGGGGTTCAGGGGTTTGGGGGGTTCAGGGGGGGATCCTCACCCCACCCTGGGATTTGGAGGGTTCAGGGATTTGGGGGGTTCAGGGGGATCCCCACCATTTCCAGGGGGTTTGGGGGGGTTCAGGGGGGTCCCCACCATTTCCGGGGGGTTCAGGGGGCTCCCCACCATTTCCGGGGGTTTTTTGGGGGGGTTCAGAGGGATCCCCACCACTCCCAGGATATTTGGGGGGTTCAGGGGGATCCCCACCATTTCCAGGGGGTTCAGGGGGATCCCCACCATTTCCAGTGTATTTGGGGGGGGGGTTCAGGGGGATCCCCACCATTTCCGGGGGGTTCAGGGGGGTCCCAACCATTTCCGGGGGGTGTTTTTGGGGTTCAGGGGGATCCCCACCATTTCCGGGGGTTTTTTTGGGGGGTTCAGGGGATCCCCACCATTTCCGGGGGGGTCAGGGGGATCCCCACCACTCCCAGGATATTTGGGGGGTTCAGAGGGGTCCCCACCATTTCCAGGGGGTTCAGGGGGCTCCCCACCATTTCCGGGGTGTTCGGGGGGGGTTCAGGGGGGATCCCCACCATTTCCGGGGGTTTTTTTGGGGGGTTCAGGGGGCTCCCCACCATTTCCAGGGTTTTTTTGGGGGGTTCAGGGGGGTCCCCACCATTTCCGGGGGTTTTTTGGGGGGTTCCGGGGGCTCCCCAGCGCTGCCCCCCGTTTCTGCCCCCAGGACTGCTCCAGCTGCCGCTGCCTGGAGCTGCGCTGCAGCCTGGCCCGGAGCACAGGGGGCGCCTGGGAGCCCCCCCAGTTAAATTACATTAAATAGATTAAATTCAAAATCCCTCAGTTAAAAAGAAGGGAAAAAAAAAAAAATTGTTTGTGTTAATTTCAATTTTTCGATTTTTATTAGAATTATGATTTTAAAAAATTATTCTTATTTTATTTAATTTTATTGGTTTTTTTACTTCTATTGTATTTTGTTGTTTTATTCAATTCTATTCCTATACTTTATTTTTACTTTATTATTGTGTTTAATGTTATAGTGTTATTTAATTTTACTATAATTTTATTTAATTTTATTATAATTTTATTTACTTCTAATTATTATTTTATTATTGTATTTAACTTTATTATTATTGTGTTTAATTTTGTTATTATTATATTTAATTTTATTATTGTTTATTTAATTTTACCATAATTTTATTTCATTTTATTATAATTTTATTTACTTTTATTTATTATTTTATTTCACTTTATTGTTTTATTTAATTTTATTACAATTTTATTTACTTTTAATTATTATTTTATTTCACTTTATTGTTTTATTTAATTTTATTACAATTTTATTTACCTTTAATTATTATTTTATTATTGTATTTAACTTTATTATTATTGTATTTAATTTTATTATTATATTTAATTTTATTATTGATTTTATTTCATTTTACCATTATTTTATTTCATTTTATTATAATTTTATTTACAATTAATTATTATTCTATCACTGTATTTAACTTTATTATTACTGTATTTAACTTTATTATTACTGTATTTAACTTCATTATTACTGTATTTAACTTTATCATTATTTTATTTAATTTTATGATAATTTTATTTAATTTTATGATAATTTTATTTAATTTTACGATTATTTTTTTCCATTTTATGATGTTTGTTGTTGACTTCCCCTCACCCAGGTGCAGTTCAGGAGCCTCAGGCTCATCAGCAGCGTCTGGCTGGGGGTCGAGGGGGGGCTCCTGGTGCTGGAGGAGGGGGCACAGCACAGGGAGGTAGGGACCCCCCAATTCCCCATTTCCCCCCTCCATCCTTGCTTTGCTCCCCAAATTCCCCATTTCCCTCCCCAAATTCCCTCCTTTCCCTCCCCAAATTCCCTCTTGCCCCCATCCCCATTTCTCCCCCAAATTCCCCATTTTCCTCTCCCCAAATTCCCTTTTTCCCCACCCCTCAATCCTGGTTTTCCCCCCACAAATTCCCTCTTTCTCCCATCCCTATTTTTCCCCCTAAATTCCCCATTTTCCCCTCCCCAAATTCCCCATTTTCCCCTCCCCAAATTCCTTCTTTCCCCACCCCTCAATCCCATTTTCCCCCCAAATTGCCCTTTTCCCCCCCAAATTCCCCCATTTCCCCCCCTCAATCCCATTTCCGCCCCACTAAATTCCCCATTTTCCCCATAAATTCCCATTTCCCCCCCAAATTCCCCATTTTCTCCCCGATTCTCGTCCCCAGCTGGTGCTGGAGGTGCTGCGGGGCCGGCGGCTCCCGGTGTCGCTCTGGATCCTGGGGGGCAGCGCCCTGGGGGGGCTCCTGCTGCTGGCCCTGCTGAGCCTCGGCCTCTGGAGGGTGAGGGGACACTGGGGGGACACCGGGGGGGACACCAGGGGGGCACGGTGGCACTGAGGGGTCACACAAAGGGGGGGCACCAATGGGAGGGGCCATGGTGGCACCTTGGGGTGACACCGAGGGGTGACACTGAGGGTGGGGGGGCCATGACGTCACCTTGGGGTGACAGCGAGGGGGGGCACGGTGACACTGAGGGTGACACTGAGGGGGAGCATGGTGGCACCAAGGAGTGACATTGAGGTGGGGGCACGGTGGCACCTTGGGAGGGTCATGATGCCACCTGGGTTGGTCGTGGGGGTGACACTGAGGGGGGAGACGTGATCAGCTTGGGAGGGTGACAATGTCACTGTCACCTAGGGGTGGGCATGATGTCACCTTGGGAGGGTGGCAATGTCACCCCCAGGGTGAGGGGTGGGCCCATCCCCATTCCCCATTCCCCATTCCCCATTCCCCATTTCCCCATTCCCATTCCCCATTCCCCATTCCCCATTCCCCATTTCCCATTCCCCATTCCCATTCCCATTCCCCATTCCCCATTCCCATTCCCATTCCCATTCCCATTTCCCCATTTCCCCATTCCCATTCCCCATTCCCCATTCCCATTCCCCATTCCCATTCCCATTCCCATTCCCATTCCCCATTCCCGTTCCCCATTCCCATTCCCCATTCCCATTCCCCATTCCCCATTCCCATTCCCATTCCCCATCCCCATTCCCCATTCCCATTCCCCATTTCCCCATTCCCATTCCCATTCCCCATTCCCATTTCCCCATTCCCCATTCCCATTCCCCATTCCCATTCCCCATTTCCCCATTCCCATTCCCATTCCCCATTCTCATTTCCCCATTCCCCATTCCCCATTCCCCATCCCCATTCCCATTCCCCATTCCCATTCCCATTTCCCATTCCCCATTCCCCATCCCCATTCCCATTCCCCATTCCCCATTCCCCATTCCCCATCCCATTCCCCATTCCCCATTCCCCATTCCCATTCCCATTCCCCATCCCCATTCCCATCCCCATTCCCATCCCCATTCCCATTTCCCCATTCCCATTTCCCATTCCCATTCCCATTTCCCCATTCCCATTCCCTCCTCTCCCCCCAGCTCGGATTCTTCTCCCACCCAAAGCCCTCCCAGGAGGAGGAGGAGGATGAGGAGCAGGATGAGGATGAAGAGCACTGAGGTCACAGCTCTGCTGGTGGCACGAGGACATCCAGGAATGTCCCTCTGGAGCCCATTCCAGGCCCATGCCAGGGTTTGGGATTGGTGGAGGGACGAGGAGGAGCCGCTGGAGCCCCGGGCATGGAGCAGGGGGAACATCTGGGAGTGGGAAAAGTGGGAATGCCCTGGAATGGAGCAGCTCCAGCAATAAAGCTCCAGCCTGTGGAACTGCTGTGGCCTGCACGTCAGCTGGGGACAGGAATTCTGCATCCAAAGGGGGAAAAAACCCTGGAATTATCCCAAATGTAACACAGAGAGAGGGGGGAGATCCAAATCCCAGCTCCCCACACTCAAATCCAGGCTCAAGTCCAGGAATCTTGGAATTCCTGATTTGAGAATCCAGGATTTTGAGGATCGGGAATCTTGGAATTCCTGCTTCTCAAATCCAGGATTCTTGGAATTCCTGATTCTCAAGTCCAGGATTTTGAGGATCAGGAATCTTGGAATTCCTGATTCTCAAATCCAGGCTCAAATCCAGGATTCTTGGAATTCCTGATTCTCAAATCCAGGATTCTTGGAATTCCTGCTTCTCAAATCCAGGCTCAAGTCCAGGAATCTTGGAATTCCTGCTTCTCGAATCTGGGCTCAAATCCGGGATTTTGAGGACCAGGAATCTTGGAATTCCAGATTCTCAAATCCAGGTTCAAATCCAGGATTTTGAAGATCAGGAATCTTGGAATTCCTGGTTCTCAAATCCAGGATTCTTGGAATTCCTGATTCTCAAGTCCAGGATTTTGAGGATCAGGAATCTTGGAATTCCAGATTCTCAAATCCAGGCTCAAGTCCAGGATTCTTGGAATTCCAGATTCTCAAATCCAGGCTCAAATCCAGGATTTTGAGGATCGGGAATCTTGGAATTCCTGCTTCTCAAATCCAGGATTTTGAGGATCAGGAATCCTGGAATTCCCATTTTCCAGCAGGATGTGGCAAAGGGAAGCAGGAACCGATGGATGCCACCCCCAGAAATGCCCATTATCAGGAGAGCTGGATGAGAGAGGAAAGTCCTGGGATCAGTTTACAAACCCAGCTGGATTTTCCCAAAAAATCAAAAGCTCCTGCCCCGGGATTGGGGTGTCCCTGTGTCCCACTGCAGGAGGTGCTTGGATCTCTTCCCTTGGGGACAAATTCAGCAAATCAGGGTTTTCCTTCCCAAAAAAAGCTTTTTCTGAGCTCATTTCTGCCCCACCCCAGCCCAGCTCCTTCCTCCCTTTCCCAGCTCCAAGGAATACTTGGGAATGGGGATTCATTGAGAAAGGCCTTTATTGGACGGAAGAGCAAAGAAAATCAGGAATTGGATCCACGTGGACGTGGAGCCACTGAGCCCAAGGGGTTTGGGAACATTTTCCCCCCCTTATCCCAGGGCAGGCAGTGGATGCCACGAGGATGAGGAAAACTCCCAGGATTCAGACCTGGAAAAGTCACAGGAAATGGGAAAAAACCAAAAAAAAAAAACCCAAAAAAACCCAACAAAACCAAACTCTGAAAACAACCAAATAATCAGGAAAAAAAAAAATCAAGAGTTTCCTTAAGTTATGGGGGAGGGCAGGGGGATTCCCAAGGGAATGGTCCATAATTCCATAATTCCATAATTCCATAATTCCTGCCTGGAATGACTCGTGGAGGGCACAGGGAGGTTTGGACACACCTGGGGCCACGGGCAACGTGGAAAAGGGTCAGAAAAAAACCCCAATCGACCCCAAAAAATAGTCCAGGATGAGAGAAAATCCTGCTCAGAGCATTCCTGACACCACAGAGTTCCCAGAGCCTTTCCAGGACCACGGGGGCTCCTGAGGCTCCAGAACCTTCCTCCTTCCACCTGCCAGGATTTTAGAGACCCCCAAGGATCCCATCCCAAGCTGGGGCAGTAAAAATCTCTCGTGGCTACAATTTCCAACCTCCTGGAGTGCAGGAAGATCCCTAAAATCCCCATTTTTTGTTTAATCCCAACCTTTTTCTCCAGAGAAGGCTACGAGGGGGCTTGGAACTCCCTCTTCACGCTGGGCCCCTACTGGGAAAAAAAAACAACAAAAAACCCAAAAAAAAACCTTTTCTGATCCAAAGAATGAAATCAAATCACTCCCAAAAAACTCCCAATTTAGGGCAAACGAGGCAATTCCATGGAGCAGGAGGAGAAATTCCTGGGAGAAGAGCGCCCGGTGCTGCCATCCCACAGGCTGGGCCCCCCCTGATTCCTGCTTTGTTGGGGTTTGCTGGAATTCTCAGACCCATGTGCACCTCCAGGAGCCTGGGATGCCTCTGGAACCTTCTGGAACGCTGCAGGAGCTTTCAGGAGGGTCAGAAAGTCCATCTCTCCTGCACGGGGCTGTCGGAAGCTTCGGGATTTGGGATTTGCCTGGTGGAATCTTCCCCCTTTAGGCTCTTCCTGCAGACTGGACACGTGTCGTGCTGTGGGAGGGGGGAACACACAGGATTTGTCCTAAATGCTGAGAATTTCACACTTTCTGTGCTCAAAGGCACAAGAAAATGTTATATTTGAGCTGAAGTTTTGGAGAAAAATTCCAATTTTTTGGTAACAGTGAGATCACCGGTGTTCGGTTTGAATAGAAGTCACAGGGTAGAAAAATCTGAGTTTAAGGCTTTAGAATGCAGCAATATTTATAAAGCAAAATAGAAGTTTTAGGACAGTTAATTTCATTTATTTTTAGGAAGTTTTTCACTTTTTTCTTCATGAGATTGAGCATTATTACATAATTATGTAATGATCCAATTCCCCCTTTAGGCTCTTCCTGCAGACTGGACACGTGTCGTGCTGTGAGGGAGGGGAACACACAGGATTTGTCCTAAATGCTGAGAATTTCAAACTTTCTGTGCTCAAAGGCACAAGAAAATGTTATATTTGACCTGAAGTTGTGGAGAAAAAATCCAAAATTTTTTGATATTCCAAAATTGTTTTCGCCAGGAGTGTGGAACATCACCGGGTAGAAAAATCTGAGTTTAAGGTTTTAGAATGCAGCAATATTTATAAAGCAAAATAGAAGTTTTAGGACAGTTAATTTCATTTATTTTTAGGAAGTTTTTCACTTTTTTCTTCATGAGATTGAGCATTATTACATAATTATGTAATGATCCAATTCCCCCTTTAGGCTCTTCCTGCAGACTGGACACGTGTCGTGATGTGAGGGGGGGGAACACACAGGATTTGTCCTAAATGCTGAGAATTTCAAACTTTCTGTGCTGAAAGGCACAAGAAAATGTTACATTTGAGCTGAAATTTTGGAGAAAAATTCCAATTTTTTGGTAACAGTGAGATCATCGGTGTTCGGTTTGAATAGAAGTCACAGGGTAGAAAAATCTGAGTTTAAGGTTTTAAAATGCAGCAATATTTATATAGCAAAATAGAAGTTTTAGTACAGTTAATTTCATTTATTTTTAGGAAGTTTTTCACTTTTTTCTTCATGAGTTTGAGCATTATTACATAATTATGTAATTATCCAATTCCCCTTTAGGCTCTTCCTGCAGACTGGACACGTGTCGTGCTGTGAGGGGGGGGAACACACAGGATTTGTCCTAAATGCTGAGAATTTCAAACTTTCTGTGCTGAAAAATTCCAAAATTTTTTGATATTCCAAAATTTTTTGATATTCCAAAATTTTTTTCCACCAGGAGTGTGGAACATCACAGGGGTAGAAAAATCTGAGTTTAAGGTTTTCGAATGCAGCAATATTTATAAAGCAAAATAGAAGTTGTAGGACAGTTAGTTTAGTTTTAGGAAGTTTTTCACCTTCTTCTTCATGAGTTTGAGTAGTTAGAAATAATAATAGTAAGAAATAATAATCAGTAAGAAATAATAATCAGTAAGAAATAATTAGAAAAATCCGCACTGTGGGCTTGGGGTGATTAATTATTAGGTTAAAAACTAAAAACTAATTTAAGTGTCAATTCTTAATTGGACAGTTTATCCTTAAAAGGCTTTAGAGAGAAAGTTAAGTTAGGGTCAGGTTTAATTTGTAGCTTGTTTGTTGAATACTGCAGAACTCAACACACAATAAATGTCATATATTATATTAATAAAAAAAAAAGATAAAATATGATAAAAGATGGGTTTTTTTTTATTTTGGGATCTTACCAGCTCCAGCCAGGGCACGATGCAGCTGCTGTGGAAGACGTGGTTGCAGGGCAGCTGCCGGACCTGCTCGGCCAGGGCGTAATCCTCCTTGCACACCGGGCACTCCAGCCCCGTGTCTGCGCAAAGGGAACGGGGCAGCGCTGACGGACACGGGGCTGCCCCGGGGGTTTGACCAGAGAGGGGGGGAACGGGGAAAAGGGGGAATGGGGTGTGGGGGTGTAGGGGGAATGGGGTGGGAGGGAGGTGGAGCAGGGAGAAAGGGATTCCTGCCAGGGAAGGAAGGGATTCATGGCAGGGAGGCAAGGGATTCATGCCAGGGAAGGAAGGGATTCCTGCCAGGGAAGGAAGGGATTCATGGCAGGATCCATCCACGCAATATCCATCCATCCATGCATGATCCATCATCCATAAATCCATCCATGCAATATCCATCCATCCATGCATGATCCATCATCCATCCATCCATCCATCCATGCAATATCCATCTATCCATGATCCATGATCCATCCATCATCCATCCATCCATCCATCCATCCATCCATTCATCATCCATCCATCATCCATCCATCATCCATCATCCATCATCCATCCATCCATCCATCATCCATCCATCATCCATCCATCCATCCATCATCCATCATCCATCCATCCATCCATCATCCATCATCCATCCATCATCCATCCATCCATCATCCATCCATCTATCCATGATCCATGATCCATCATCCATCCATCATCCATCCATCCATCATCCATCCATCATCCATCCATCATCCATCCATCATCCATCCATCCATCATCCATCCATCCATCCATCATCCATCCATCATCCATCCATCCATCATCCATCCATCCATCCATCATCCATCCATCCATCCATCCATCATCCATCCATCATCCATCCATCCATCCATCCATCCATCCATCCATCATCCATCCATCCATCCATCCATCATCCATCATCCATCATCCATCCATCCATCCATCCATCATCCATCTATCCATCATCCATCATCCATCCATCATCCATCCATCCATCCATCCATCATCCATCCATCCATCCATCCATCCATCCATCCATCCATCATCCATCCATCCATCCATCCATCATCCATCCATCCATCCATCCATCCATCCATCCATCCATCCATCCATCATCATCCATCCATCCATCATCCATCCATCCATCCATCCATCATCCATCCATCCATCATCCATCCATCCATCCATCCATCCATCCATCCATCCATCCATCCATCATCCATCCATCATCCATCCATCCATCCATCCATCCATCATCCATCCATCATCCATCCATCCATCCATCCATCCATCATCCATCCATCCATCATCCATCATCCATCCATCCATCCATCATCCATCCATCCATCCATCCATCCATCCATCCATCCATCCATCCATCCATCCATCATCCATCCATCCATCCATCCATCCATCCATCATCCATCCATCCATCCATCCATCCATCCATCATCCATCATCCATCATCCATCCATCCATCATCCATCCATCATCCATCCATCATCCATCCATCCATCATCCATTCATCCATCCATCCATCCATCCATCATCCATCATCCATCATCCATCCATCCATCATCCATCCATCATCCATCCATCCATCCATCCATCCATCCATCCATCATCCATCCATCCATCCATCCATCCATCCATCCATCATCCATCCATCCATCATCCATCCATCCATCCATCCATCCATCCATCCATCCATCATCCATCCATCCATCCATCCATCATCCATCCATCCATCCATCCATCCATCCATCCATCCATCCATCCATCATCCATCCATCCATCCATCATCCATCCATCCATCCATCCATCATCCATCCATCCATCATCCATCCATCATCCATCCATCCATCCATCATCCATCCATCCATCCATCCATCCATCCATCCATCCATCCATCATCCATCCATCCATCCATCCATCCATCCATCCATCCATCCATCCATCATCCATCCATCCATCCATCCATCATCCATCCATCCATCCATCCAAAATCCTCTGAATCCTGAGCTCCTCCTGGGATCAAGGAATTCCTGCCAGGATCCATCCACCCCAAATTTTCTGGGGATGGAGCATCCAGACAACCAAGACCTCCTGAGCTCCTTTGGTGATCCCAGGGATCCTTGGATATTCCAGAATTTCATCATTCCTGGCCTGCTCTGTGGGCTCAGCCCCGTGGAATTCCAGCCAGCCCTTCGCTTCCCAGAAAAGAGGAGGACACAGGGGTGTGGAAAACCACAGGATAAAAATATCCTGGCTAGAAATGTCCATGGTTTAACCATAATGGAGGAGCAGGGTTCTGGGAGGGATCCTTGGGCTGAAAAATTCCTGGGATTTTTTTAATTGCAAACCCAGGATTGAGCTGAGCCTCCCCACCCCAGGCCCCTGCTGGGCAGGGTTCCATGACATTTCCAGAGCGGAGAGTGGGGAGTTTGGAAAGGGGAGAAGGGAGGAGTTGAGAGCAGCAACAGGGATTTGGGATGGGAAAACCATCATGGGGATGGGAAAATCATCATGAGAGGGGAAAATCATCATGAGAGGGGAAAACAATCGTGGGGATGGAAAAATCATCATGAGAGGAGAAAATCATCATGAGAGGGGAAAATAATCATGGGGAGGGGGAATCATCATGGGAGGGGGAAATTATCATGGGGAGGGGAAAAAAAACATCATAGGGAGGGGGAAAATCATCATGGGGAGGGGGGAAAAACCATCATGGGAAGGGAAAAATCATTGTGGGGAGCGGAAAATCATCTTGGGAAGGGGAAAATCATCATGGAGAGGGGGAAAAAACCATAATGGGGAGGGGAAAATTATTGTGGGAAGGGGGAAATCATCTTGGGAAGGGGGAAATCATCTTGGGAAGGGGGTACAGTTCCAGGGGGGACAAAGCGGGAATGAGGGAGAGCTGAGGATGTCAAAGAGCAGCACCCAAGGGGCCCTGGATGTTGGGGAGATGCAGGCACCCACCGACTTGTTCCTGTGTCACCGGCACCGTCGGCAGGGACGAGATCTTCTCCTTGTCTGCTGGTGGTGGCCCCGTGTTCTCCAGCTGTCCCAGGAGCTGCGCAGAGGAGAAACGCCAAGCTCAGGAGCAGGGATGGGACACTGGCACTCCATCCATCCATCATCATCATCCATCATCATCCATCATCCATCATCATCCATCCATCCATCATCCATCATCATCATTCATCATCATCCATCCATCCATCCATCCATCCATCCATCCATCATCCATCCATCATCATCATCCATCATCCATCCATCCATCCATCCATCCATCATCCATCCATCCATCCATCCATCATCCATCATCCATCCATCTATCATCCATCCATCCATCCATCCATCCATCCATCCATCCATCCATCCATCCATCATCCATCCATCTATCATCCATCCATCCATCCATCCATCCATCCATCCATCCATCCATCCATCCATCATCCATCCATCCATCATCCATCCATCCATCCATCCATCCATCCATCCATCCATCATCCATCATCCATCCATCCATCCATCCATCATCCATCCATCCATCCATCCATCATCCATCATCATCCATCATCATCATCCATCCATCATCCATCCATCCATCATCCATCCATCATCCATCCATCCATCCATCATCCATCCATCCATCCATCCATCATCCATCCATCATCCATCCATCCATCATCCATCATCCATCCATCATCCATCCATCCATCATCCATCATCCATCCATCCATCCATCCATCATCCATCCATCCATCCATCATCCATCCATCCATCCATCCATCCATCCATCCATCCATCCATCCATCATCCATCCATCCATCCATCCATCCATCCATCCATCATCATCCATCATCATCATCCATCATCATCATCCATCATCATCATCCATCATCCATCCATCCATCCATCATCCATCCATCATCATCATCCATCCATCCATCATCCATCCATCATCCATCCATCCATCCATCCATCATCCATCATCCATCCATCCATCCATCATCCATCCATCCATCCATCCATCCATCCATCCATCCATCCATCCATCATCCATCCAACAGGTGGCCCTCACCTGTTGAATTTGCAGTCAGCCCCGAGGAGGGGAGAGATGAGTGAATGTGAGTCCGTGCTTGAATTTGTTATTTTATGATGTTAAATTATGTTAAAGAATGAGATTCTCAAGAACAGAGGAAGGATACAGAGAGAAGGCTACAAGGAATGATAATGGAAACTCCTGACTCTCTCTTCATTGGTCATGAAGTAAAAACAATAAAACAATTTACATGGAACCAAGCAATCAATGGATAAACAATCAATTCATTAATTGATGAACAATCAATTGATGAAACCAATCAAACAATGAATAAACAATCAATTCACATGAAACCAAGCAAACAATGGATAAACAATCAATTGATGAAACCAATCAAACAGTGGATAAACAATAAATTCACATGAAACCCATCAAACAATGGATACACAATCAATTGATGAAACCAATCAAACAATGAATAAACAATCAATTCACATGGAACCAAGCAAACAATGGATAAACAATCAATTTACATGGAACCAATCAAACAATGGATAAACAATCTCCAACCACATCCCAAAGCAACAAAACACAGCAGAAGCAAATCACATAATTATTGTTTTCATTTTTTTTTTCCTCTGAGGCTTCTCAGCTTGCCAGGAGAAGAAATGCTGGGCATAAATAAAATTAAAAAAAAAAGGATTTTTGGCAGAAAATGAGAAAATGTGACAGTGCCACTGACCTGGGTGACGATGGCGTCGAGGCCGCTCTGTCCCCACGCGTAATCGCCGGGGCTGGAGTGCAGCATCCCGCTCCTGCCAAGGGGAGAGGCCAGGGATTCCCCAGAATTCCCAAATTCCCAAAGCTTCCTGGGATTGACTTGCTGGGATCTGGGAGATCTACTCACCAGGAGAAGGGATGCTGGGAGCCAGGAAGGGCTGAGTTGGCAAAAAAGCCAGCAAAGATCTGCTGGATTATCCTGAGGAAAGAGGTGGGAAGGGGGAGTTAAGGGAGGAAAGAAATGGTGGGAGGAGAAAAAAAGGGTGGAAAAGCAGGAATTCCTGCTCTGGTGATGGCTCAGGGCTGTGAAAATCCCTGGAAAAAGCTCCAAAATAGAGAGAGAGCAGGTGTTGGGCAATACCCTGGGTAACTCAGAGGTGTTTTCAAAAAATTTGGTTTTATTTTCAGTCTCAGGTGTGAGGTGAGGCAATAGAGGTGTTAGAATTCCCACCATCACAGTCAGAAACTAATTTCTAATTTCTAAATTTATTTCTAAACTTATTCCTAATTTCTAAACTTATTTCTAATTTCTAAACTTACTCCTAATTTCTACATTTATTTCCAGTTCCATCCCTCTCTCAACAACATCTGTCCAATCCCATAACATTTTTAAATCCCCAATTTCTAACCTCAAAATTTCCATACAAACACATTCTATAGAAACCTTTTATTCCATTTTCAGGGATCAAGGAATTCAAGATCAAGAAATTCAAGACCAAGATCTATACAGTCTCATCTGTAGGGTGAGAAGCCAACTATTTCTAATTTCTGAATTTATTTTTAATTCCATTCCTCTCTCAACAACACCTCTCCTACCCCATTACATTTCTAAATCCCCGATTTCTTACCCCAAAATTTCCACACACAAATACATTCTGTATTTATTTTTATTTTCTAAATTTATTTCGAATTTGTTCCTCTCTCAACAACGTCTCTCCTACCCCATTACATTTCTAAATCCCCGATTTCTTACCCCAAAATTTCCACACAAATACATTCTGTATTTATTTTTATTTTCTAAATTTATTTCAAATTTGTTCCTCTCTCAACATCGTCTCTCCTACCCCATTACATTTCCAAATCCCCAATCTCCTACCCCAATTTTCCCTGCAATCCCACACCACACAAACCTTTTCTCAAACTCTAAAAACCCCATCCAAACCCCCTCTCCTGCTCTCCCAGCAGAGCTCCCTCAGCCCTTTCCATGCTGGATTTTTACACTCTGGATCAGTTATTGAACCATCACCACTCCTGTTTTTGATTGTGCCACCCAGCAGAGCTCACTCACCCTTCCCACATTGGATTTTTTGCACTTTGGATCAGAGTTTTTGAGCACAGCTCACTCACCCTTTCCCATGCTGGTTTTTTGCACTCTGGATCAGTTTGTAGAGCAGATCCTGACACCCAGCAGAGCTCACTCACCCCTTTCCATGTTGGTTTTTTTCTGGATCAGAGTTTCCCAGCAGAGCTCACTCACCCTTTCCCATGCTGGTTTTTTGCACTCTGGATCAGAGTTTGTAGAGCAGATCCTGACACCCAGCAGAGCTCACCCATCCCTTCCCACATTGGTTTATTTGCACTCTGAATCAGAGTTTTTTGAGCACAGCTCACTCACCCTTTTCACATTGTTTTTTTTTTGCACTCTGGATCAGTTTCTCAGGAAAGCTCACTCATCCCTTCCCATACTGGTTTTTTTGCACTCTGGATCAGTTATTGAACCATCACCACCCCCATTTGTCTGAGCAGATCCTGACACCCAGCAGAGCTCACCCATCCCTTCCCACATTGGATTTTTTGCACTCTGGATCAGAGTTTCCCAGCAGAGCTCCCTCACCCTTTCCATGTTGGTTTTTCTCTGGATCAGTTTTTGAGCAGAGCTCATTCCCCCTTCCCACATTGGTTTATTTGCACTCTAGATCAGAGTTTCCCAGCACAGCTCACTCACCCTTTTCATTGGTTTTTTGCACTCAGTTTCCCAGCAGAGCTCACTCACCCTTCCCACATTGGTTTATTTTCACTCCAGATCAGAGTTTTTGAGCAGAGCTCACTCACCCTTCCCACATTGGCTTTTTTGCACTCTAGATCAGAGTTTCCCAGCAGAGCTCACTCACCCTTTTCATTGGAATTTTTGCACTTTGGATCAGAGTTTTTGAGCAGAGCTCACCCATCCCTTCCCACATTGGTTTCTTTGCACTCAGTTTCCCAGCACAGCTCCCTCACCCTTTCCATGTTGGTTTTTTTCTGGATCAGTCTCCCAGCAGAGCTCCCTCACCCTTCCCACATTGGTTTCTTTGCACTCTGGATCAGTTTCTCAGCAGAGCTCACCCATCCCTTCCCATGCTGGTTTTATTTGCACTCCAGATCAGAGTTTCCCAGCACAGCTCACTCACCCTTTTCATTGGATTTTCTGCACTCTGGATCAGAGTTTTTGAGCACAGCTCACTCACTCTTCCCACATTGGTTTATTTGCACTCAGTTTCCCAGCAGAGCTCACTCACCCTTTTCATTGGATTTTTTGCACTTTGGATCAGAGTTTTTGAGCAGAGCTCACTCACCCTTCCCACATTGGTTTCTTTGCACTCCAGATCAGAGTTTTTGAGCACAGCTCACTCACCCTTTTCATTGGAATTTTTGCACTTTGGATCAGAGTTTTTGAGCAGAACTCACTCACCCTTTTCATTGGATTTTTTGCACTCCAGATCAGAGTTTTTGAGCACAGCTCATCCATCCCTTCCCATGCTGGTTTCTTTGCACTCCAGATCAGAGTTTCCCAGCACAGCTCACCCATCCCTTCCCCACATTGGATTTTTTGCACTCAGTTTCCCAGCAAAGCTCACCCATCCCTTCCCACATTGGTTTATTTTCACTCCATATCAGAGTTTTTCAGCAGAGCTCACTCACCCTTCCCACATTGGAATTTTTGCACTCTAGATCAGAGTTTCCCAGCACAGCTCACTCACTCTTTTCATTGGAATTTTTGCACTTTGGATCAGAGTTTTTGAGCAGAGCTCACCCATCCCTTCCCACATTGGTTTCTTTGCACTCAGTTTCCCAGCATAGCTCACCCATCCCTTCCCATGGTGTTTTTTTTGCACTTTGGATCAGAGTTTCCCAGCAGAGCTCACCCATCCCTTCCCACATTGCTTTGCACTCTGGATCAGACTTTTTGAGCAAAGCTCAGCCATCCCTTCCCACATTGGTTTTTCTGCACTCTAGATCAGAGTTTCCCAGCACAGCTCCCTCACCCTTTCCATGCTGGTTTTTTTCTGGATCAGAGTTTCCCAGCAGAGCTCCCTCACCCTTCCCACATTGGTTTCTTTGCACTCTGGATCAGTTTCTCAGCAGAGCTCACTCACCCTTCCCACATTGGTTTCTTTGCACTCTGGATCAGTTTCTCAGCAGAGCTCACTCACCCTTCCCATGCTGGTTTATTTTCACTTTGGATCAGAGTTTTTGAGCAGAGCTCACTCACCCTTCCCACACTGGTTTATTTGCACTCCAGATCAGAGTTTTTGAGCAGAGCTCCCTCACCCTTCCGTCATTGGTTTCTTTGCACTCAGTTTCCCAGCAGAGCTCCCTCACCCTTTCCATGTTGGTTTTTTTCTGGATCAGAGTCTCCCAGCAGAGCTCCCTCACCCTTCCCACATTGGTTTTTTTGCACTCTAGATCAGAGTTTCCCAGCACAGCTCCCTCACCCTTTCCATGTTGGTTTTTTTCTGGATCAGAGTTTCCCAGCAGAGCTCCCTCACCCTTCCCACACTGGTTTATTCTCACTCCAGATCAGAGTTTCCCAGCAGAGCTCCCTCCCTCACTCACCCCTCGATGGCCGGTGAGCGATCCGGGCGGGAGCTGCCCCGGGCCCGGTACCTGCGGGGCACCGGCAGCCGTGGGGGGCGGCTGGGACCCCAAAGCTCCGCCGGGGGCCCCCTCTCCACGTCCCTGGCCTCTGCATCCAGGGAGCTGCTGCTCAGGAAGGGCCGGAAATCCGGGAAGAACATGGTGTGGTCCAGGTGGTCCCAAAGCTGTGGAGAGCGGGGGTTTAGGCTGAGGGGTGTGGATTTGATGGAGCTGTGAGAGGAGGGGCAGGTGCCTGCTGGAAATGGGGAAAATTGAACAGCTGGGGTAATTAGCAGCTGGTAATTGGGAAAATTTAACAGCTGGGGTAATTAGCAGCTGGTAATTGTGGAAATTTAACAGCTGGGGCAATTAGCAGCTGGAAATTGGGAAAATTTAACAGGTGGGATAATTAGCAGCTGGTAATTGTGGAAATTTAACAGCTGGGGCAATTAGCAGCTGGTAATTATGGAAATTTAACAGCTGGGGCAATTAGCAGCTGGTAATTGGGAAAATTTAACAGTTGGGGCAATTAGCAGCTGGTAATTGGGAAAATTGAACAGCTGGGACAATTAGCAGCTGGTAATTGGGGAAAATTTAACAGGTGGGGTAATTAGCAGCTGGTAATTGGGAAAATTTAACAGCTGGGGCAATTAGCAGCTGGTAATTGGGGAAATTTAACAGCTGGGGCGATTAGCAGCTGGTAATTGTGGAAATTTAACAGGTGGGGAAATTAGCAGCTGGTAATTGGGAAAATTTAACAGGTGCGGCAATTAGCAGCTGTTAATTGTGGAAAATTTAACAGCTGGGGCGATTAGCAGCTGGTAATTGGGAAAATTAATGCTGTTAAAACCAGCTGTTAATTGTTACTCAGCTGTTAATTGTTACTCAGCTGTTAATTGTTACCCAGCTGTTAATTGTTACTCAGCTGTTAATTGTTAACCAGCTGTTAATTGTTAACACACACAGAGCTAGACCCTGGTGGGGCAGTTAATGAGCTGCTGTTAATTGGACACTTTCTCTCTCCTATAATGAATCCTCTGTTAACTGAGTGTCCCTGCCTGGGTGATCAATCCCAAACTCCACTGGGAGCTGCTCCAGGGGGAGGAGCCAAAAATTCCTGCCTGGACACGATCCCGGGGTTGGGACAGCAGGGCAGCCTCTGCCTGCTGAATTCCCAACCTTTTCCCAGTGCATTCCCAACCTTTTCCCAGTGCATTCCCAACCTTTTCCCACTGCATTCCCAACCTTTTCCTACTGCATTCCCAACCTTTTCCCACTGCATTCCCAACCTTTTCCCACTGAATTCCCAACCTTTTCCCACTGCATTCCCAACCTTTTCCCACTGAATTCCCAACCTTTTCCCACTGCATTCCCAACCTTTTCCCACTGATTTCCCAACCTTTTCCCACTGCATTCCCAGCCTTTTCCTACTGCATTCCCAACCTTTTCCTACTGCATTCCCAACCTTTTCCCAGTGCATTCCCAACCTTTTCCCACTGCATTCCCAACATTTTCCTACTTCATTCCCAACCTTTTCCCACTGCGTTCCCAACCTTTTCCTACTGCATTCCCAACCTTTTCCCAGTGAATTCCCAACCTATTCCCAGTGGATTTCCAGCCTTTTCCCAGTGCATTCCCACAGGATCAACCCTTTCCCACTGGATTCCAAAAGGATCAGCCCTTTCCCACTGCGTTCCCAACCTTTTCCCACTGCATTCCCAACATTTTCCTACTTCATTCCCAACCTTTTCCCAGTGCATTCCCAACCTTTTCCTACTGCGTTCCCAACCTTTTCCCACTGCATTCCCAACCTTTCCCCAGTGCATTCCCAACCTTTTCCCAGTGGATTTCCAGCCTTTTCCCAGTGGATTTCCAGCCTTTTCCCAGTGGATTTCCAGCCTTTTCCCAGTGCATTCCCACAGGATCAACCCTTTCCCACTGGATTCCAAAAGGATCAGCCCTTTCCCACTGAATTCCCAACCTTTTCCCAGTGCATTCCCAGCCTTTTCCCACTGTGTTCCCAACCTTTTCCCAGTGCATTCCCAACCTTTTCCCAGTGCATTCCCAACCTTTTCCCACTGAATTCCCAGCCTTTTCCCAGTGGATTTCCAGCCCTTTCCTACTGGATTCCCACAGGATCAGCCCTTTCCCACTGGGTTCCCAACCTTTTCCCAGTGGATTCCCATAGGATCAGCCCTTTCCCAGTGCATTCCCAACCTTTTCCCACTGCATTCCCAACCTTTTCCCAGTGGATTTCCAGCCTTATCCTACTGCATTCCCAACCTTTTCCCACTGCATTCCCAACCTTTTCCTACTGCATTCCCAGCCTTTTCCCACTGCATTCCCAACCTTTTCCCACTGCATTCCCAGCCTTTTCCCAGTGGATTCCCAACCCTTTCCCAGTGAATTCCCACAAAATCAGCCCTTTCCCTCTGGATTCCCAACCCTTTCCCTCTGGATTCCCAACCTTTTCCTACTGGATTCCCACAGGATCAGCCCTTTCCCACTGCATTCCCAACCCTTTTCCCACTGCATTCCCAACCTTTTCCCACTGAATTTCCAGCCTTTTCCCACTGAATTTCCAGCCTTTTCCCAGTGGATTTCCAGCCCTTTCCTACTGGATTCCCACAGGATCAGCCCTTTCCCCCTGGATTCCAGGAAGATCAGCCCTTTCCCACTGGAAATTGTCAGGAAAAGAGGGGAAAACAGCAGGAAAACTCACCTCTGAGAACTGAGAGGAGGGGCTGTCATCCAGGGAATTGCTGTCAAAAAAACTGGGAAAAAGAAGGAAAGTGAGGGCAGAGCTCATTGCTAAAATCCCCCCCTTGTGATTCCCAAATCCTCTCCTGTGTTGGATGGGATAACCCCAGAAGGGGTTCAAAAAAAAAAAAAAAAGGAGAAAAATAAGTAAAAAAATTAAAAATCAATTAAAAAAAAGGGGTTTTACTATCAAGACACTAAAATATTTTAAAATATTTAAAAAAGTAAGAAGAAAAATTACAAAGGGAAGAAAAAAAAGACCAAAAAAGTTAAAAAAAAAAAAGAACAAACACAGAAAATAGTAAAAAGATGGGGTTTTTTTCCCTAATAATGAAAAAGGGTAAGAAAAAATCAAAAAGGGGAAAAAAAAAAGCACCAAAAAAGAAAAAACAGATGCAAACACCAAAAATAATGAAGGGGATTTTTTTTTCCCCTAAATACTAAAAAATACGAATATTTTTATTTTTTTTTAACTTTTTTTTTTTTCCTTAAATACAAAAAATTTGGAGTTTCAAATGGAAATATTCTGGAAAATCTGGGAGCCTTAAATACTAAAAAGGGTAAGAAAAAAATCAAAAGGGAAAAAAAAAAGACCAAAAAAGGAAAAAAGAGGCAAACACCAAAAATAATGAAAAGGGATTTTTTTTTCCCCCTAAATACTAAAAAATACAAATATTTTTATTTTCTTTAGGAAAAAAAACCAACTTTTTTTTCCCTTAAATAGAAAAAAATCAAAAGGGAAAAACCCAAAACACAAAAGGCTAAAAATATCAAGAAGACCAAAATTTTTTGTTGCTGTTTTTGGGGTTTTTTGGTAAAAGATAAAAGGGGAAAAATACATCAAAAAAAGGATAAAAATGGCATTTTTATGTTGAGTCTCCTTGGTATAAATTGAATTTCCCTGGATTTTCTGGTACCTGGAATCATCAGTGACTTCCTCGATGAAGCCGGACTCACAGCGAGGGCAGGTGTATTCCTGGGAAGGCAAAAGAGTGGAAATTAAACCCAAAATCTTTGAAATTCCAAAGAAAAATCTCCCCCTTCAGGAACATTCCTGATCCTGGATGCCAAACAGCTCCAAACAACAGCAAAAAATCGGAAAAAAATCGGAAAAAAACCCAAAAATCCCTTGGAATTTGGGCAGCAGAGAGGAAAACACAACTGCAGAGGCAAAGAGCAAAATTCCTCCCAAGAAGAAAAATTTTTCCTGTTCTCATTCCCAGAATGAAGAAAAAAAACTCAAAAAAAAACCCCAAAAAAGACTCTCATGGATCTTCCCTCTCCACATGCCAGGAACTGAGAGCATCCCAGATTTTTTTATTGGAATATTCCAAATTTTCAGCCTGGATTTTGTGGGAATTCCTCCCAAATCCAAATCCTGGAGCAGACTTTTGAGTTTTGAATCAGATTTTTTTTTTGGATCAAATTTTACCATCACCAGCAGCAGGTGGGATGCTGCTGCATCCCTGGGAGCTTTGGAATATTTTTAATTTTGGAATATTTTTAATTTTGGACTATTTTTGCTCTTGGAGTCCATCTGGAAAGTCTCAGTTTGCCACCCAGGAGCTGGAGAGAGATAAAAATGGCATTTGGGATAAATAACTCTGCAGGGAGGGAAAGGGAAAGGGGAACAGATGGTGGGTGGGATCCTGCAGATTCCCTGGATTTTCCCTGGGATATTTCCAGGGATTATTCCCTAAAACTGGGATAATTCCCAGGATTTTCTGGGGGATATTTCCAGGGATTTTTCCCAGTGACTGGGATAATTCTCTGGATTTTCCCTGGGATAATTCCCTGCATTTTCCTTGGGATACTCCCAGGAATTGGGATAATTCTCTGCATTTTCCTCGGGATATTTCCAGCGATTTCCCCCAGGAACTGGGATAATTCCCTGGATTTTCCTTGGCATATTTCCAGGGATTATTCCCTAAAACTGGGATAATTCCCTGGATTTTCCCTGGGATAATTGCTGGGATAATTTAGCAGGAATGGACAATCCCCACTCTGCCGGAGGAGCAGACGCTGCTCAGGGAGCAGGATGGGAATGGGATGAGGGTTATGGAATGACCCGCTTCCATCAGGAACAGGACATTCCTCCAGTCCTTTCCCAGATTTTAGGGGATCTCCTGTTCCATGCGGGAACAACTTCGGGCACTGGAGGTCACCCCTCCCTCAGGGGCCCAGGGAGCCATTGGGGGATCACCCCTGCCCCTACACCCGCCCGGGCAGCTCGGGGCTCTCCCCCCCGGCCCTCCCCGCTCGGGGCTCCCCCTCTCCGACCCTCCCTTCCCGGGGCTCACCGGCAGCTTGGGGCTGACCTCGCCCTTGCAGCTGTGGCAAAAGAACCGGTGCTGCTGCACCGCCGCCGCCGCCTCCGCCATCTTCCCTCACAGCCGCCGCTGCCGTCACTCCTCCCAGAGCAGCGAGCGCGGGCCAGAGCGGCCCCGCACTTCCGGTCAGCTCGTCTGCTCCGCGCCCAACCTGCAAAGCGCGGCTGAGCGGGATAGAGCGGCCCCAAGGGGGCGGGAAGCGGAGTGGCGCCCCCTGCTGGGAACCTCCCATTGGGAGCCCGGCAATGCCGGGTGGCGGCAGCGGAAGTGACGTAGACGGAAGTGGAGGCAGGACGGCGCCGTTGTCATGGCGGCGGTGATGGCGGCCTAGGCCGGGCCTGGTGGTGAGAGCGGGGAGCACACCGGGACACCGGGATGGGGTCACGGAGGGGAAAATCCCATCTAGGGGGACACGGGGGCCGCGGGGACAGCGCTGATCCTCCCGCGGGACGGGATCTGCAGCAGGGTCAGCCTCTGTCCCCTCTCTCTCCATCCATCCAGCTGTTCGTTCTTTCCTTCCTCCCGTTCCGTTCCCGGGATTCCGGAGCCGCTGCGATGACCCAGGCCGAGCTCCGGCTCTGCTCCCTCCTGCTGCGGGAGCATTTCGGGGAAATCGTGGAAAAAGTCGGGAATTCCCTGCTCCGGACGGGCCCGCGGCCGCTGCGGCTCCTGGTGGGGGACACGGGGCTGCTCCCGGATCAGGTACGGGGTGGGAGGGAGGAGGGAATTTTAAAATAATTTCGTATTATTTGAAATTAACAGGAAATTATTTGAAGTTATACGAAATTAATAGGAAAGCAATATGAAATTCTATGAAGTTAATATGAATATAAAATTAATTTGAAATTAATATGGGTTTATTCCCATGAAAAGGAACGGGGTTATTCCCACTAAAAGAATGGGGTTATTCCCACTAAAAGGGATGGGGTTATTCCCATTAAAAGAGATGGGTTTTTTCTCATTCTTCCCATTAAAAGGGACAGGTTTATTCCCATTAAAAGGGATGAGATTATTCCCATTAAAAGGGATGGGGTTATTCCCACTAAAAGGAATGGGATAATTCCCTTTATTCCCATTAAAAGGGATGGGGTTATTCCCATTAAAAGGAATGGGTTTAGTCCCCTTATTCCTATTAAAAGGGATGAGATTATTCCCATTAAAAGGGATGGGGTTATTCCCACTAAAAGGAATGGGATAATTCCCTTTATTCCCATTAAAATGGATGGGGTTATTCCCATTAAAAGGAATGGGTTTAGTCCCATTATTCCCATTAAAAGGGCCAGGGTAATTCCCATTATTCCCATTAACAGGCACGGGATAATTCCCACAAAAAGAGACCAGTTTATTCCCATTAAAAGGGGAATAATGGGAATTACCCCATGGGTTAATTTCCATTTTTCCCCTTAAAAGGGACAGAGTTACTCCCATTAAAAGAGCCAGGATAATTCCCATTATTCCCATTACCAGACGCGGGGTTATTCCCACTAAAAGCGCCCGGTTGATTTTATCCCTTTAATTCCATGATGATTTTTTTTTCTTCTTCCCACTAAAACCCGCATCCCCCGCGTGTCCCCGCAGGTGAAGAAGGCGCTGTGCGTGCTGATCCAGCACCACCTGGTGCGCTTCGAGGCGCAGCCGCGGGGCTGGGTGGAGTACGAGGCGCGGCGCGAGCGCGTCCTGCGCATCCTGCGCTACCCCCGCTACATCTACACGGCCAAGGCGCTCTACGGGGACCCCGGGGAGCTGCTGGTGGAGGAGCTGCTGCTCCACGGGCACCTGCCCATGAGCTCCGCCGTGGCCAGGGTGGCCGATCGCCTCACCGAGACCATGGAAGGTGGGAAGGAAGCTCCTTCATCCCAGAAAAATGGGATTTGGGAGTGGTGGATGGTCAATGGGATCAGAGGTTCTTTGAGGGATCTAGGAGAGCTCTATGAGCTCCTATGCTGGTGGAGGAGCTGCTGGTGGTCCATGGGCACCTTCCCTTGAGCTCTGCCGTGGCCAGGGTGGCCGATCGCCTCACCGAGACCATGGAAGGTGGGAAGGAGGCTCCTTCATCCCAAAAAAATGGGATTTGGGAGTGGTGGATGGGGTCAGAAGCACTGTAGGATGTTCTTTGAGGGACCCAGAGGAGCTGCTGGTGGAGGAGCTGCTGGTGGTCCATGGGCACCTTCCCTTGAGCTCTGCTGTGGCCAGGGTGGCCGATGGCCTCACCGAGACCATGGAAGGTGGGAAGGAAGCTCCTTCATCCCAAAAAACTGGGATTTGGGAGTGGTGGATGGTCAATGGGATCAGAGATACTGTAGGGAGCTGTTGGTGGTCCACAGGCACCTTCCCTTGAGCTCTTGGCCGATCGCCTCACCGAGACCATGGAAGGTGGGAAGGAAGCTCCTTCATCCCAAAAAAAAATGGGATTTGGGAGTGGTGGATGGGGTCAGAAGCACTGTAGGGTGTTCTTTGAGGGACTCAGAGGAGCTGCTGGTGGTCCATGGGCACCTGCCCATGAGCTCTGCCGTGGCCAAGGTGGGTGATCGCCTCACCGAGACCATGGAAGGTGGGAAGGAAAGTCAAGAAAATGGGATTTGGGAGTGGTGAATGGGACCAGAGATACTGGGGAGCCTCTGCTCCATGGGCATCTTCCCATGAGCTCTGCCGTGGCCAAGGTGGGTGATCACCTCACCAAGACCATGGAGGGTGGGAAAGAAGCTCCTTCATCCCAAAAAAATGGGATTGGGGAGTGGTGGATGGTCAATGGGATCAGAGGCACTGTAGAGTGTTCTTTGAGGGACCTAGGAGAGCTCTATGAGCTCCTATGCTGGTGGAGGAGCTGACCATGGAAGGTGGGAAGGAAGCTCCTTCATCCCAAAAACTGGGATTTGGGGGTGATGAATGGGACCAGAGTTACTTTAGGGTATTCTCACCACTCCGTAGTGGTGGCCATGGTATCACTGTGCTCTCCTGAGCCTCAGGAACATCCAAGATCCAAGATCTGCTCTTGGATGTCGGGTCCGTCCGTCTGTCTGTCTGTCTGTCTCTGCCCAACACGGGTAGGGTGGTTCTTGGGTGGTGCGCGTTTCAAAGGACGAGTCTGGACTCTTCAGCTTTTCCATCTTCACATTGTTGATTGTTTCTTATCTACAAAATTTTCTGTCTGCCCAGCAGAGGTCTGACCTGCAAGGCAGCCAAGGGCACTCTGCCCACCCACGGGGCGGTCATGTCTTTTTATACTAAAATCTATGTACATGATATTTACCTTTATTTTCCAATACTTTTCACCCACATTAGCAAGTGCACCTTCACCATAAACCAATCCCCAAGTGCCAACATCACCACAGGAGATGGAGGACAAGAAGAAGAAAGAAGAAGGACGAGACACGCCCTGATCCCTCCATCTTGTCTCCATAACCCCCCTGTACCAAAAACCTTAAAGTTTATATTTCACCCTATAAATGTGTCCCTTTCACACCCTTCACTCTAAAGTGATTCTCGTATCCTCAAACTGCTGTCACTCTTGGCAACATTCCAGGATTTCTGAGACCCCCAAGGGTTCTCCTGGCATCTCTGGACATCGGGAGCGATGTGCTGAGATCCCACACTTGGACAACCTCACGGAGAGCATGGATGGTGGGAAGCTCCTTAAAACCCGGGGGTTCATTTGGGTTTGTGAAGGTCCCAAAGGCTCTGTGGGGTGCTCCTGGCAGTGAGGACACCATGACCCCGTTCTCCAAAGCTTCAGGACCATCCCAAATCCACCCACCGAGCGTCTCCTCTCTCCTAGATGGGAAAACCATGGATTACACGGAGGTGTCCAACACCTTTGTGCGCCTGGCAGACACTCACTTCATCCAGAGGTGCCCCATGGCCCCAGAAATGCCCCAAAACGCCAAAGTGCCACCAGCCCCTGCCCTGGCCATCGCTGACAAGGACATGTACGCGGTGCCTCGGTTCAGCCTCGTCGGTGAGACCTAAAATCTTAAATTAAAAAATTTTTAATTTAATCTTGGGATTTTAGGGGTAGGAAATTTGGGTTTTTGGGTAGTTGACTGCTAGGATTAAGTAGAAGTTGTTTATTTGTGTTATTAATAAATGAAATTTTCAAATTTTCAAAAAATGATTTCAAAATTATTTTAGAATGATAGTTAAAATTTGGATTCTTGAGTTGTTTTAAAATTAAAATTGGAAATTTTAAGGTTATTTTAAAATTAGAATTTAACTTTTAAAAATTATTCTTAAATGAGTTAAAAATTGTAATTGAATTGTTTAAAAATTATTTCAAAATTATTTTAGAATGATAGTTAAAATTTGGATTCTTGAGTTGTTTTAAAATTAAAATTGGAAATTTTAAGGTTATTTTAAAATTAGAATTTAACTTTTAAAAATTATTCTTAAATGAGTTAAAAATTGTAATTGAATTGTTTAAAAATTATTTCAAAATTATTTTAGAATGATAGTTAAAATTTGGATTCTTGAGTTGTTTTAAAATTAAAATTGGAAATTTTAAGGTTATTTTAAAATTAGAATTTAACTTTTAAAAATTATTCTTAAATGAGTTAAAAATTGTAATTGAATTGTCTAAAAATTATTTCAAAATTATTTTAGAATGATAGTTAAAATTTGGATTCTTGAGTTGTTTTAAAATTAAAATTGGAAATTTTAAGGTTATTTTAAAATTAGAATTTAACTTTTAAAAATTATTCTTAAATGAGTTAAAAATTGTAATTGAATTGTTTAAAAATTATTTCAAAATTATTTTAGAATGATAGTTAAAATTTGGATTCTTGAGTTGTTTTAAAATTAAAATTGGAAATTTTAAGGTTATTTTAAAATTATAATTTAACTTTTAAAAATGATTCTTGAATTAGTTAAAAATTGTAATTGAATTGTTTAAAAATGATTTCAAAATTATTTTAGAATGATAGTTAAAATTTGGATTCTTGAGTTGTTTTAAAATTAAAATTGGAAATTTTAAGGTTATTTTAAAATTATAATTTAACTTTTAAAAATGATTCTTGAATTAGTTAAAAATTGTAATTGAATTGTTTAAAAATGATTTTTAAATTATTTTAAAACTATTGTTTAAATTATAATTTAATTTTTTAAAATTATTCTTAAATTATTTAAAAATTATAATGTAAAATGTTAAGGTTATTTTGAATTATAATTTAAATTTTTAAAAATATAATTAAATTATTTAAAATTGTAATTTAACTTTTAAAAAATTATTTTTAAATTATTTAAAAATTATTATTTGAATTTTAAAAATATTCCTAAATTATTTAAAATTATTGTTTAAATTTTAAAATTATTCCTAA